GTAATCTGGAGTCTGTGAAATGCTACACTACATCTCTGGCGGCTCCATCTCTGCCTCTGCTATTAGACCGTTGTTTACCCCATCGTCAAGTGTTTCATTGCAGCAGATCGTCTGTAGCACAAGTTTATCCTGAGTTGCAAAGGGCCCCGTGCGTAGATCGGGCTATGGGGCTGCCGAGAGCGAGAGTGAGAAGGCCGTTTTTTTTTTTCTTCAATTTTTTTTTCTTCGATTTGTTTTCTCATGGCAGCCCGCGGTGGTTCTAGTTTGGAGGCTCGTAAGGCCAGGAGGACTAGTTAAAAAGCCATGGACGACCATGGTTCATAGCCCCCCGCAGCCCAGCCCAGCCCGGCGGAGTCCTGGCTTCACCACCAAACGATCACGAGTTTCCAATGCCTGGCGAAATATTACGGATAACTAGTTATGGAGAGACTGGTCGGACGAGACTACCCGGTTGCAGGTCCTTCAACCCCAACCCAGGCCGAGCTCCTCGGTTACAGTCTCTTTGACTCTTTTGTCCCGGCTCACCTGACTCGGTGACGGGCTGGACGAAAACAAGCCAAGACCGAGAAGCTGCCTTGTCCTCGTCACCAACAATAAATAGCAAGCCCTACCTGAGACTCAATGTATATAGATAGCATCAACGAAGACTTGACCCCAGCCTCTTCCCCGGCCTACGATTGAACTACGCAACCACGGAGGCTTATCATGTTTTAGTGTCCAAGGGGTTTTCCTGGTTCTCCGCCTGAAGGAGGCGTTTTTTTTTCTCGCTCGCTGTTACGTACAAGGGGGCTACCCCGAACAATTGCCACATGCTCCGACTCGTCCGTCCTTGGTTCGATGGCGAAGGAATACAAGCCACCACCACCACGGAGGGGGGATCCATTGGGCCACCCCCGAGGCACAAAAAGAGGCATGATGGCGTCGCGCTAGGGGCTGGAGACAATCTCGGAAGTTATTAATCGAGAAGGGGTCAAACAGGATGTGCTGCTAGGGTTCAAGCCAGCCAGGCCAGGCCAAGCCAGGGCAGGAAAGACGGAGGAGGCTAAAACCAAAAACTACGCAACTAACGAATAACTGACTGGCTGACTACCAGCGTTGTGCTGTAACTAGCCAGAGACTATGTACATAGGTTATCCCATCTTGCCAAGTTATACCTGTGGCGGAGCTCCGTTTTGGAAAACCTGCGACTTGTATTACCATTGCCCATTTATCCACGGCATCCCATGGCATGGGCCACGATGAGCATGGCGAAGCGTCACCACTCTCATCGGTGAGATGACTATCAAATGTATTAATAACAAAGTTATTAATAACAAGAAACAGGGGCTTTCTCGGACAAGGAGCGGCCTTGGCTTGTGCTTGTGCCTGTAGCTGGTCTGTTCGCCTTCACCTTGGTGTACCTGTGCGTCGTCCTTTTTTTTTTTTTTTTTTTTCCCCCCCGCCTTTTTTCCTTTTCATGTCTCGTGTATCCGTAACTCTCGGTGGCCTCACCTCACCTCGCTCACTCGGAAACGTCTTATCATAGATGAAAATGGGGTCGACGATATCGGAGAGAGGGGCTCGGTCGGCGACAACCCGCCGGCCCCTGATGGCCTTGCTTGTGTGTAGTACATATGGGACGCGCCAGTTTTTACGACTCATGAGTGCCTACTTGGCTTCAAAGCGAGATATGAAGAGGACGTGGTGTTGCTCGTCGCCGTGCGTATCAGACGTGGCTGGCTGGATTTGGCTGTGCGCTGCAGTACTGGATAGCTACGGGTAACTAGTTGCCTGGCAGTTTCTGGATAGACTGACCCTCCTTCTCAAACTCGTCAACCGTAGCGGAGGAGGCGCGCCGGACTCACCGGTTGGTGTGGCATAATACCGTGCGCGAGCCTTGAGGGTTATTCGTACAACAGCCACGGTACATTGAGCATGAATCAATGGCCAGTACATACTTTCGTGCCATTACCGAGAGCATTGCATTGTTGCTGTCAATTGTTGTTTCTCCGAGCCGCCAACTAACTTTGACAGCTACAGTAGCAAACATATACTCCGTATGGAAACTCAGACATTAAATACCAGCGGGGAGCAAAGGGCGACGACCAGACGCTAAGTATTGACTGGGAATATCAACTACAAATAACTAGTATTTAATAACTAGCAGTTGCTGGCATGGCATGGCATACAGTCGCTACCAAGTAGTTAGTATGCGGAGGCCAACTAACCAACTAACCAACTAACCAACTTAAAAACCCATGTGTGTTTTAGGTTCCCCGGTCCCTTTGCTTTACCATGCTGCACTCTACAAGAGCCATGGCATGACCGCATTGTCGTCAATGACTTGTGTGGCTAACAAACAGACTAACACACTAACCAACTTAACTCCGGTAGGTCAGTTAGCAGTATAAGCGCTCTAGGTAGCTGTCAAGTTGGGCAGTCGTCCACCAATGCAATCCAAGCCCCGGCCCGGGCTATTTCATTCCATGTACCAGGGCAGGACAGGGTCCAAGTTCCCATCTGTTTTATAGAGAGACGCCCGGGTTGGGGGTGGACCGAGATTCAAGAACCAAGAAACACAGACAGACAAGACGACGCAGTCCGTCCCTATGTCTGTACTCTAACTAGTTACTACACGTACGTCTCTCTGTCTATTCCCCCGTACGCTACTCCATCCATCATACATACTGTACATGCCTACATACCTCCATACTCCCTCTGTACATCCATACATGCTCTCTAGTCTCTAGTTATCCGTAGAAGCTCCCGCCCCCCCATCCCCTCCCCCCCGTCTCCCGTGCACACACGCCACCATGGATGGATGGATGGATGGATGGATGGATGGATGGATGGAGGGTGTTATAGGTGTGCTGCGGTGATGCCGTGGTCAATACCTTCTCCATAATACGATGGAGTGCAGCACATATTGGAAACTGCCCGAGCCCGTCGTCTCTCTCTGTCTTCTATCTGTCTTGTCTGTTCAACCCATTTCCCTTGCCCTTCCATTAAGCTTCGCCTGCATGACAGGGCACATCCCGCAACCATACCGTGGCAGTGGCATGCTCTTTTTCTTTCACATCTGTCACCTATTTACACACTCAACTCCTCCCCTCTCCCCCTCCTCCTACTCTTTCTACTCCTTCTACTCCTTCTACTCCCCCTCCTCTTCTTTTTGCTGCTCCTCCTTCTCCTCAGAATCCGGTGGCTATTGCTGTCTGTGGACCACGAACTCTTCGCCACGCCTTCCTTGACCAGCCTGCCTGTCTGCCTGTCTGCCTGTCTCTCTACTAGCTATCCGTCTATCCCAAAGCCGGAGCCAAGAGTTCTTGAGATCGCCGCGGCGCCCACTATATACGCTGCATTCCCTCTCCACCCACCTACCAACCGTTTTAGACGACCTTCTCGACCGCACTTGCCGACAGCTGCTTATTCTCTTTTTATTTTATTTTACTTTTTATATATTGCTCTGTGTATGCCTTGTCTAACTCTGCTCCTGCAAATACCCTTCCCCAAGACACCCATTCGTCCATTCCCTTTCTAGATTGCCGGCTCGGTCGATTCTACTCCCGTCCGCTTCTAACCTTCTCCCCTCGAAATCGCCCTCATCTTTCTCTTTCCTTCTACTTTCGAAACCTTTCTGGCACCCGTCCACCATACCATACTCCCCTGAATAGTGCCCTTTCCTAATACCTCTTAATACCCTAGCGCAGATCCCTCCCTGCCGGTCGGAGGGAGCAGAGTCCCGAGCATCTTAGCCGATTTGTCTGTGGCATCGGCAATGTCTCATATTGACTAGGCCAAAACCCTCGACCAAGATTGACCAACTCCGTCTTACAAGCGTTTCTTCCTCCCCAGGGCTGGCTTGTCGTTTCTCTCACGCAGCACGATTTTTCTGAATTTATTCTCCAAAAGGCAACCCCAAGGTCCATTTGAGCGGAAATCAGCAGCGGCAAACATCGACAGCGGACTTGTCGCCTTCCGAAAGGGCGACCAGAAACAAGACGAACTAACAACAAAGGCTCGACAGCAGAGACATTGGCCCGATTGGCTGGCACGCTGCCGTTTCTAGAGTCTCAGTTTCGGCCCTTTGTTTGCGAGACTATATTGAGACACGTTCTTGTCAATTCGACGCATCTCTTCTATTCATCTCTCTTCTTCTATCGAGAAAGGCCCGCCGGGGAATACTACTTGTCCTGTTATGCTACGCCGCGACTCGCAGACTTGGAATGACGGACGGTGATTTTTTGAGTCATCTCGAGATACCACACTAAACAGCTCGATTGCTCCGCCCAGCAAGTGTCGATGGTATATTCTCGATTCGCCGCTGGTTTGCCTCCCTGCAACTCCCGTGTCCCCCAACACCGACACGCCAAGAATCCAGACGTCTATGCGTGCTGCTGAATCTGCTCCGAGATAAAAATAGCCTCGCTACACTGTTTACTATTGAGGAAAACTACCGACCACCTGCTTCATCTCGACGACTGTGCTGCGGCTCGCCAAAGCAACCTGAACAACCGAAACCACGCAGTACAAGGTTGCACCAGAGGCATTGAAACTGCCAGTACTACCCCCAGTGGCCTGTTTCAATCAAATTCCCCTTCGGGTGTTTATGTTGGTGTACAAATACACAAGATTCAGGACGGGAAGTTTTCAGCGATCACGGGAGGTATTTCCAACGACGCCGCAAGGCCCGATTGCGACCGCCACCATCCATTAACAAAGCCACAATTCTGACCGAAAGCTGCTCTCCGAGATCTCGAAGCTTCATCGCCATAGCGAATTGCACCACGAGAGTTGCTCTAAAAAAGGGCTTGCGTGGACAATTACAAATCTAGCAAAAACCACACAGAATCCCCTCGATGCTCTCTGTCAGCAGACCCCCCGTGGAGAGTGCGCCTTTCCCCCCAGGCAATCGCCACGGACTCCCGAGCAGGTTATTACACCAAGGGCAGCTCTCTCTATATCCACCAAAGCAAAGAGCAGAACCGACGACCAGACACGGCGGTTATCCGTCTCCGCCCATGTCCGGATCCCCGCCGTTTGAGCCGGCCAGGACTGCTCACGAACTGAACTCTGCTTCCGGCGGCAGCTCTCGCCACGGGATGCACTCGGACGCTTCCCAGACGACACGATGGCACGTCGAACAGCAGCCGGGCAGAATCTCCAGCCAGCCCCGGGGCTTGCTCCCATTATCCAACACGTATCCGCAGGAGACGACTCGCGGATCCCATATTCGTCGGGTATCGGATCATCGCTTACCGCCGCTCTTGACTCACAACGCGCCCGAATCCATCGGCAGCCTACATGGCGCGCCGAGACGGGCATATGACACGTCAGTATCGTCAATGACTCACCAACACGGCACTCCACTGCCTCGAGGCTCCATGCCTGAGCCCAGTGTCAGACCCTTGTCTCCCAGATCACAACGCAAAACAAAGGGCCACGTCGCTTCTGCCTGCGTTCCATGCAAGAAGGCGCATCTGCGCTGCGACTCTCAGCGTCCCTGCGCGAGGTGCGTCTCCCATGGCAAGGAAGACACTTGCGTCGACGTTCGGCACAAGAAGCGAGGACGACCTCGTCTGAGGGACGATCGTGATTCTCGAATGGATGCCGCTCGCTTTTCCCATACTCCAGATGACGGCATCGGAAAGCTGTCAAATATCAGGCCGGCCTCGATGGGACAACACCATCCCCTCTACGATGGCCCCGGTGGCGCCGCCCGATCTGCTCCCGGTTCCGCTTTCTCGTCTCCCGAAGCGCCGGGGGCTCGATTTCTGTCCCGAGTCGTCTCCGCCGACGCCAGCTTTCACCACGGCGGCGAAAGGCAACCGCGACTGGCGGCCGAGGCGCCGGTTGTCTACATGAGGACCAACATGGAGGTCGTCAAGGTGTCGGCGTCCTTTGCGGAGGCCGTCGGCGCCGGCGGGTACGTCGGGCGCAGGATCACGGAGCTGGTGGCGCCCGAGACGGCCGAGGCCATGATGGAGATTTGTGCGGTGCTTAACGCCGAGCAGAAGCGGAGGGAGCCGACGTACCTGCCGCCCATCTTCGACAAGGGCAGCGAGGCGGCGCGCGCGCTCAGCTTCGCCTCGGAGGTCGTCGGCCGCCTGGAGCTCAACCACCAGACGTGGGCGACGTTTAGAGCGCATGACGGGCAGCCCCGGTCGTATCCCGTCCGCCTCGGCCTGCTGAAGGAGGGGTCCATCTTCTTCATCGCAGCCGTGCTCACCGGCCAGGCAGCGCGCCCGCTGTACCAGCATGGCGGCGTCCCACATCCGCGTAACGTCGGACACGGCCTGCCGCGTGCTTCACCGGCATACGGCGCCCCCACGCCGATTGATTCGACTCGGCGCCAATTTAGCGATGGGCCGTCGGCGCTGCGCAGAGAAGTAGGCATGGCAAGGCAGTCGACTCCCCAGGGGACCTCGCCCAGCAGCGGATACCAGTCCATCTACTCGCCTTCGCCGCACGGTAGCGATTACAGGAGGCCGTCTCCTCTGCAGACTCCCCGGAGCGAGTTGGGCCCGCCGCAGCCATCCTCACGCCCGAGCGAATCGCATTATACCCTGCCGCCGATCCGGTCATTGGCAGAGCGACCACGCGATACGTCGGAGAGAGATGGCAAGCAGCGGCGACTTAGCATCGGAGGACTGATTAATAGGACTGGAACCTGAAAAAAATGCATCGAGTTATAATTAAATTATGCGCTTTTCTTAATATTGTACGATCATGTGGTCACGAGGGTACGCGGGTACGTTGTAGTTGGGGAAGCTTGAAGGACAGGATAGAGCTTTTTTTCCATAACACCAAAATAGATATCCAGAATTTTATGAAATGCAATATCGACGATTTGCGTAAATGACCTAAAATATTTCCCCCTGAAATCCAGTAAAAAAGTAAGAGTGGCTTGCCGGCCAAGTACCTATGTGTGTACTTAACACCATCCATCACGTGAAGTCGTGAGGCATTCGTGTTTGGTGCGGGTCGTGATGAATCGCCTTCAAACACCAACGCCTGTCACAAAGCCCGCGAACCCGCGCTTGTCTAAATGGCTCGAAATCGATGATATATTCAACTTTGATGAAATAATTACAGGGCCAGAAGAGTCTGCGGGACAGAAAAATGGCTGATATGATGGATGTCGATGCCGTGGCTGGCACCAAACGCAAGGCAAACGAAGAAAATGATGAGCCCGCCCCGCCACGTCGCATTCAGGTAAGGAAGCCCAGGGATATTCTCCAGTTCTCCAAATTACGGGAAAAATACTGATTGTGAAAAAAAAAAAGGCTCTTGACATCGATGTGGTGAACAAGATTGCCGCGGGCGAAATTATTGTTGCCCCTGTCAATGCCCTCAAAGAGCTTCTGGAGAACGCCATTGACGCGGGCAGCACTGCCTTGGAGGTGCTTGTGAAGGATGGCGGGCTGAAGCTTCTTCAAATTACGGACAACGGATCTGGCATCCAAAAAGACGACCTTGCCATCCTTTGTGAGCGTCACACCACCTCAAAGCTTGTCGCCTTTGAAGACCTCACAGCCATCGCCACCTACGGCTTTCGCGGCGAGGCCCTTGCCAGTATAAGCCACATCGCGCACCTGACAGTCACCACCAAAACGAAGGACTCGGCCCTGGCCTGGCGCGCGCACTATCTGGATGGCAAGCTCGTGCCTAGCAAGCCGGGGCAGCCAGCAGAGCCCAAGGGCGTCGCCGGCCGCCCCGGGACACAGATCGCGGTCGAGGACTTGTTCTTCAACGTCCCTACGAGACGTAAGGCCTTTCGTTCGTATGCGGAAGAATTCAACAAGATAATCGACATGGTCGGTCGGTACGCCATCCACTCCGCCGGCGTCGGATTCACTTGCAAAAAGGCTGGCGAGTCATCGGCAACTCTTTCGATACCGGCCGTCGCGTCTGCGGTGGATCGGGTGCGCCAGATATACGGCGGAGGTGTCGCCAACGAGCTGGTGGAAGTCTTCGCCTCGGACGAGCGCTGGGGCTTCAAGGCCAGCGCGCTGGTGACAAACGCCAACTACCACATCAAGAAGACGACCCTAGTGCTATTCATTAACCACCGCGCCGTGGAGTCAAGAAATGTAAAGAAGGCTGTCGAGCAGGTGTACTCGGCATTCTTACCCAAGGGCGGACACCCGTTTGTGTACCTGAGCCTTGACATTGACCCAGCAAGAGTCGATGTTAATGTGCATCCCACCAAGAATGAGGTGCATTTCCTCAATGAAGATGAAATCATCCAGGATATCTGCAATGAGATTACAGAGGCCCTCACGGCAGTGGACACGAGTCGCACGTTCAAAACCCAGACGCTGATTCCGGGCGCGCGGCCCTCCGAACGCCCGGCGAAAGAAGGCGAGGGGCCAGTCGACACGGTGCTGGCCGGCGCCAAACGCGTGCGGCGCAATTCAAACGACCTCGTCCGCACCGACACCTTCGAGCGTAAAATCACTAGTATGTTCACGCGCACCGAGTCTAGCGAGGCGGGCGGCGGCAGCAGCAGCCGCCGCGCGGACGAGCCCCTGGCCGTGCCCGAGCCCGTCGACTACGAGACCGTCGACCGCGCGTACGTGTCCTGCGCGCTCAGCAGCGTTAAGCAGCTGCGCGCTGAGGTACGCGCAGCCGCCCACCGCGAGCTGACCGACATGTTCGCCACGCACACCTTTGTCGGCATCGTGGACGAGCGCCGGCGGCTGGCCGCCGTGCAGGGCGGCGTCAAGTTGTTCCTCGTCGACTACGGCCACGCCTGCTTCGAGTACCTCTACCAGCTCGGCCTGACCGACTTTGGCAACGTCGGCGCCATCCGGCTCCGCCCGCCGCTGGACCTCGAGGAGCTGCTGACGCTGGCGGCCACGGAAGAGCGGGCGCTGCTGGGAGACGACGGCGACGGCGCGTTCGATACAGCCGCGGTGGTCGCGCGCGTCAGGGACCGGCTGGTCGAGAAGCGCCAGATGCTGCACGAGTACTTCTCGCTCGAGATCTCGCCAGCCGGCGAGCTCATGTCGCTGCCGCTGCTGGTGCGCGGGTACACGCCGTCGATGGGCAAGCTGCCGCGCTTCCTGCTGCGTCTCGGGCCGCACGTCGACTGGAGCGGCGAGCGCGCCTGCTTTGAGACGTTCCTGCGCGAGCTGGCCGCGTTTTACGTCCCGGAGCAGCTCCCGCCAGAGGGAGAAGAAGAAGGAGAAATGCACCCGGAGCTGCGCAAGAGGAGGCAGCACGTGCGCTGGGCCGTGGAGCACCTCTTCTTCCCGGCGTTCAAGGCGAGGCTGGTGGCGACGCGCTCCCTCATGGACGGCGGCGTGCTGGAGGTGGCGAGCCTCAAGGGGCTGTATCGGGTGTTTGAGCGTTGCTGATTGGGAAGAACCTGTATGTGTATCAACCTGGCGCCATTAATGACGTGAATATGCTGGGACATGTGCCATTTTTTATGACTATTTATAATAGAGAAATGCGCGTATTGGGTGGGAATGGAGGAATAAATGTTTGCCAATTGGAGCTACATATTCGAAACTACCAATAGATAAACCCTATATGCTTTTACTATCCAGTCTGACTTCCTTCTCTTCCCAAGTTTTAGTTCTTGGGCTTGTTCTTGGCCTTGTACGCGATGAAGCGCGGCAAGTTCATGACGACCTCGTCGGCGCGCAGCCGCAGCTCCGGGTGCGCCTGCTTGTCCACCGCCTTGGCCATGGCGCGCACCCTGGGCAGCGCCTCCTCGAGGCGCGCCGCGAAGCCGCCGGCCCAGAAGACGTCGGCGTCGTACGCGTAGGCCTCGTCGCCGTAGACGTCGAAGAGCTGGTTGAGCGCCTCGACGGCCTCGGCGGGCGGCGTGCGCGGCAACTCGGCGACGACGGCGACGAGGAAGGTGCCGAGCTCGCGGTTCGTGTCCGCGGGACAGGGGTCTATGGCGAGCTGGCCGACGACGCCGATGCACTTGACGCCGAGGCTCTGGAACGGGTCGTCCTCCTGGTCCTGCGGCTCTGCGGACGTGGCGCCGGCGCCGCTCCGCGTGGCCTGGTAGAGCGTGATGAACTTGCGCTGCTCGCCGGGTTGTAGGGGCGTGTTGCTGCGCAGGGCGCGGGCGACGGCCCAGGAGAGGCCGGTGACCTGCGTGGCGAGGCCGAGATCGGCCGTGTCGGAGGCGAGGATCGGGGAGATGACCTGTTCCCAGATGGACTTGGCCGCGGGGGACCAGGCGGCGAGCATGCCGGCATTCTGGGGTTCGGCAAAGTCGACGACGGAGAGGGACCATGCGATGTTGTTGAGGGCGGAGAGGGCATGGCCTTGCATAGACATGGCAACTTCGTTAGCTGGTTGGGAGGCTGCAATACGAATGAGCTCGGGCAGCGCTTGCTGTAGCAGGGCTTGAAGAACGGGAAGATCGTCAATGCTTTCGTCGTCATCGCCGCCAAGGACCATATCCATGTCGGCCTGCATTTCTTCGTGCGTCATCTCGTCGTCATCCTCTTCTTCGTCCATACCCTCGTCGCCACTCGCAGAGTGCGCATCATCGTCAGCTTCGTTCATGTCCATGTCGTCGCCCGCGTCTTCTGCCTTGGGAGCAGGCGCCCCATTCTTTCCGACAGCCTTGGTAGCTTCTGCAGGACCGCCGATGGCAGCAGTCAAGCTGGTGCCGATAGAGGCGAGGCTCTCCAGGGCCAGTTGCTGGTACTGGGCCGGGTCGGACCAGCTCTCACCGGCCGGCGCCGGCGCGTCGGGGGAATAGGAAGCGAGAACTTTGGTGAGAGTGGGTATCCAGACGGACTCGTCGCCTTTAATGGGTATTGAGGCATCGCGTGACGTCTCCAGCGAGGCGAAGAGGTTGTGCAAGACAGCGCAGGCCAAGACGCCCTCGCCATCCAGTCTGTCCTTGAGAGACAGGAGCGTCTCAAAGGTGTTGTTGCCTGCAACGCTAATGGCTTGCGCCAGCTTCTCGTTATCCTCGCACAATAGCATTAAGCAGGCCAGTGCGTCGGCGCGGAGTGTGGATACGCCGTCGGAGTCGCCCGAGATGTCATCGTGTTTTGTGATGAGCACAACAAGAAGTTGTGTAAGAGTGGTGTTGGACGCGATGGCCTCGAGTATGTCGTCGCCGGCCTCGGCAAGGGCTGTGATGAGTGAAAGGAGAGAGGCAACAATGCTGATTATTGTGGTTTGTTCGGCTTTGGGAAGTTTAGAAAAGCTGGGTTCGGCAGTGGTGATTGTTTGTGTGAACTGCAGCTTTGAGTCAGTATTGCAGGCGGGCGGGTGTCGAGAAAGGCACAGCATCACGCACATTCTTGGCAGCATATTCAATGGCAGTCAGCACGTCTGACCGGAAGAGGTGGACGCAAAAGTCGGCCTCCTCCTCTTGCGCGAGAACCTGGAGGATCCCCCACCCCGCGGCGCGGCTCTCGAGGGCTGTGTCGGTGATGGTCTCGTTGAGGACGGTGTGGACGACTTGCTCGCGGAGTAGCAGCTTGCGGCACTTGGTGTCCTGGATGATGTTGGAGATGGCCGAAGCGGCGGCGGTGCGCTTCTTGGTATCGGTGCTCTTGAGGTCCTTGATGACGGGGAGGATCTTGGCCTCGCGCAGGGCAGCAAGCTCTGGGTCCGAAGGCGGTTTGACGGGCTTCGCGAGGGGATCTTTGCGCGCGCCGGCACGGTTGCGTCTAGACTTGGCCATGGTGAGTGAGGGGCGTCGACTCGATGGCTGAGAGTCTTGAAAATGGTCCCTTTCCTGGAAAAAGAGCCGGCAGTAGGCGACGTAGCTACCAAGTACTATAATTGAGAGGACAAGATTACTATCGTCGGGTCTCTGGTGATGTTTGTTGCCCCGCCAAACTCCAAAACTTTTTTTGCAGGCAATTTTTTTTTTTGGGCTTACCTCAAGGGTGGCGGGGAAGGCCAAGTTACAGCGGCTCCACCAACCAAAGCCTTTGTATCTTCAGTGGCTTCAGCGGAGCGGGGGCCTAACAGTTTGGCCGTTTAGCGGGGGAGGCGGGAGCAATTACACTGCTTTAGGTACAGGTAAGCTTAACGGCAGTTGTTTTCTCGAGTCTCCGATCAAGTATTTGGCAAGCCATGCTGTATTAAATAAATTTTTAAGTGCTATATTCAGGTTGTATGATGTATATTGAAATTCCTTTTACTATGATATTAATATATAATTTGTTAGGCAAGGTTGAGGCGTCCAGGCACCTAGCGCTAACAGGCAACGGCAAGCTCCAATTTGGCCACGAGGCCACTTCCGATAGCAAGACGCCATGGCCCGCCAAGCATCCTTTAATAACTGCCCACCAACTCGTCACAACGGTCAGCTCTCGTCCTCTTCATAGCCTCATCTACCAACAACAGAATCCCAGAACTACAGCATGTATTGCCTGACCCCTCTCACATAAGGGAACACGAATCGAATCCCAAACTCCCAAGCTCGCTACGATTTGTCGTCTTATCTGTCGCGGCGCAATGTGACACATCTTGACCAACCACCATTCTGATTGACTTCGTTTGCGCCTCCCACGAGCGCCATGGCAACTTCACATCGCGGTGGCTGGTTCTCGCGGAATGAAACACTCCCTAAAAAGGATGACGATTTGAAGCTTCCCCATCACAATGGGCCCAGCTGGCAGGCTCGCACTCCTCGGCGGCGGACGCTTCGCTTCGCTATCTACGCTATTGTGCTCTTGGGCCTCTTCCTTTTGCTTCGCGGCATGATTTACTCGCACAATAAGGACATGGTCCGCCGTCCGCACCCGCATGACCGGAACAATGACCCAATAGACACAGGCGTGCCGACGCAACTCACAAAACCAAAGTCGACACCCAAATCCCCAGTCATCGACTCCAAGCCCATACCCACCGACCACTCCGTCGAAACGCACGAATCTCCCGACGATGCAAGACATTATAGAGGCACACTCAAGTTTAAGGCGCTTAGTGAAAGCCTTCGCCAACTGAGTTCGACCCCCCTTGGCTTTAAGTTCGCCAGCGTCATCTTCGCGGCATCCAACCTGCAGAGCGCAGCGACCATCCTACCGATGGCGTGTGAGAGAGCGGCTGCCCAACAAAAGGAGCGCGTGCTCTTTGCCCTCTTCGGTGATGCTGATGTCAAGTTGGAGACTTTGCTCAAGGTCAATGGTGTCGGCGAGTCTTGCAAGATTCAAACTATTGGTAAGTGGTCGACTTGCGATCTGTGAAACTGTCTAACAATGTCTCCAGATGCGCGCGCTGATCAGAGTCGTCAACTGAGCAATCCTCGACTGGCTTTTGCTACTGCACGTGCAATATGTAAGCCCACCACCAAGAATACGTAGTCGTATCCTCTAACAGGGACAGATTATCTCGCAACATATTTGAGACCGCTTGCAGTTGTTGTAGACGGCTCCTCCGCCGAGGATCGTCCATTTTTAGACGGCATAAAGGAGCAGACGTCAGACGCACCTCGAACAACTCTGATAGAGCTGCCTGCTAGAGCGGGAACTCGCATGTCGTGGATGTCCAAGTTGGATGCTGCCGCCTTGGCTGGTAAGTGGCAAGGCTGGATGGTGAAAGCAGCAGTGGCTAACTTGTTGTACAGAGTGGAATAACGTCCATTTTGACATTTTGGTCCACGCGCCACCTACGGGAACCGGGAACCTTAAGCGTTTGTTGCGGTCGCTTGCTGCGGCCGATTTGGCAGGCCACAGCATCCCTCAGCTTACAGTTGAGCTACCTTGGACTCTCGACCTCTCGCTCGAACGATTTCTGTCTGATTTTAAATGGCCTCGATCTAGTTTGGCTGGTTCTAGCCCTAGTATGCTGAAGCTGCGGCATCGTATCGAGCAGGAAAAGCCAAGCGCAAGTCAAAGCGTCGTCCGTTTACTCGAATCGTTTTGGCCCAGCGATGCTTTCAAGAGCCACGCTCTCATCCTATCACCTCACACGGAGGTATCTCCGCAATTCTTTCACTGTATGTTTGAAAACCGCCGCCAAGGGAACTTCGGCTAATTGAAAGAATAGACGTCAAATATGTGCTGCTCCGTAGGCGCCATAGCACAGCTGGGAGTGAAGATGATCCTTCTGGACTCATGTTTGGCATCTCATTCACCGTGCCCAAAACTCACATCCACAACACTGCATCGTTTTCTGCACCAGCCGCCGCGAGCGGCGGCTCATCATCATTCATATGGCAGGCACCAGGCAGTGACGCCATGCTTATCTTTGGTGATAAGTGGGCTGAACTGTACGGTTATGTATCACACAGTTTACAGGCGCAAAAGGCAGGGACTACTGTACCGAGTCTTGCACAATCCAAAGACGTCGTGGAGACCAAGCCGGCCTGGCTAGAATACATGCTGCAGCTTTGTCGTCTTCGCGGCTATTTTACGGTGTATCCGAGCAAGGAAACTGCAGATGCCATCGTCGGGGTCTATACCGATCTCCCCGATGTGCCGGAAGGGCGTGAGAAGAGCGAAGCAGGCGCACGAGTCGAAGCAAAAAAGGGCAGCAGCTTCGATGCGGGTTCGCAAGTGGATATTCTCAACACGCTACCTGACGGCGGTGCGCTCCCAAGCCTAAACTTGCTCCCTCTTCTATCATGGAATGGTGGGACGAGCACGATGAAGGATATTATTCGAGAAGCCACCAAGCAAGCGGCCGAGTTTCGGCGGCAAATTGGAACGTGCAAAGACCCAGAGGCTGTTTTGAAGCGGGACAAGTTGGCAGCGGATCTGTTTTGCGCCGTAAAGGAGGGGAAGAGTGGTTGAAAATAGCGAAGGCCGGAGTAGCACCTTGAATCTTTGTTTTTACTTTTGCCTTTAATGGCGAAGCGTCATAGGTTTGAGGTTATTTTCACTATATTACATGAACGCATATATTGTACAGTGGTTTCATTCAGTCGTCTTTCCTGAATCCCTCATTGTGTTGATGACGAGAAGAACTATGCAGGTGCCAAAGATGCAAGCAGAGACAAAACCGAGGACCTGGAGTTTACGGCGTTAGTGTTTGACTGGGTTTCAGAGGCAAGACTTTTGCGGAGAGCAGGCGTACGGTTTGCGTTCGCCATCCGGACTGGACAATGGCGGCGCGCTTGCTATAGAGGTTGACGGTTCCTGTGCGTCACAACTGGTCAGCATCACGATGACGCGACACGCGCAAGTCCCATCAAGGTATTAGAGGTTTGTTTCCCGTACGGATGTAGTTGGAGATGCCGACGACGAGGATGAGCACGGCAAGCAGCCAGAAGATGGCGCCGAGGGGCTTGGCGATGTGCCTCTCGAGGGCGGTGGGCTGCAGCTTGAGGTGGAAGGAAAGCGTCATGGCCATGGAGACGATGGCCATGAGGACGGACAGCCGGAGGTAGGAGAGGAATGCTTCCGAGAAAAAAGGTTAGCGACACAGGCGCGCACCGAGTAAATTTGAGGATGGGGGGGGCTCCAGGACGTACTGCGTTCGTTGGCGCAGTGGTCGCGGGCGTCGCTGCTCTCGTTGTCGAAGAGCAGCGCGCCGAGGATGGGCCAGCGGAAGAATGTGGAGGTGCCGGCGTGACCGGAGCTGCGATGCGGGCGGCGTCAGCGCTTTGTAGGATGAGTTTGACCGGGGCGGGGGAGAGCCGGGTTGCCGTCCCGGAAGCGGAGGAGGAGGAGGAGGACTCACCCGATCTGGCCGACCTGGACGGGCTGGTACAGCGAGGTGAGGGGCACGCAGCGCCGCGTCGTCTGCGCCTCGTCATCGCGGTCGACTGGACGCGGCGCGGACATATTGTCCGATTTCCCTAATATGAGGTGGTTTCGATGGGTTTCGATGCGGAGGGATGATTTGGTGCGGTGGCTGTTGACCGAGGGTGAGGGATGGAAAGTGTAAAGTGCAAAAGCGGCTTTGGCGCCGAGGTCGTTTGTGGCTTGGCAGAGTCAAGATCTGGCGGGGGTGGCGTCATTCAGCCAGTGCTGGCCGCCATAGGCGCGATGATGATACGTTATCTAAGATGGAAATAAGGTAAGGAAATTTAGAGAATTTTTATGGTTATCATGGTAAATAGTTATAAAAAGAAACAAGGATTTGGCAAGTCAAATATGTAGCCATGGATCAATACTGACTAACCTAACCCATCTGCGCGGCTATCGCGAAGTTGCCCTGCAGGTCGATTCACATCATTTTGATAATTTTAAAAATTGAATTCTCCGTCCTGTATTAAGTAGAGTAACGTAACGTTAGTAGCGGTTATAAGCCTCCTCATAACATCACCGTGCTCTTCAAGAATACCATCAGCACAGCCAAGACGCACGATCCAATCAGGGCTGAAAGACGCATCGAATACGGCAAGGCTGGTCCAAATGTAACAATGTTCGACCTTTACAACGTATGAGCTGAGCTGACAACCGGTCGATCCGGTAACCGTACCCTCGTAAACAGTCTGAATAGCGTCATGTAGCATCTGCAGCCACGACACGCCAGCACTAGTACACTTATAGTATATCCCGAGCGCATACACCCATAGTATATAGATGGCGTCCCAAGTCCAGGTTTGAGGCCTCTTCTGTGACGTTCCAATACCTAGCAGTCGATGCATGCCAGAAGCTCTCCTACCATGAGGAGTCTCGCGGTTCTGTTGCTCGGCGCCAGCCTGCTTGCTCATGCCGCCCCTGCAGACGGCATTCGCGACCTGGCAGATCGCTTCCTGGACGGAAAGGGAGACGCTTTCGAGTTCACCTTGTCAGGTAATCACGGTAACTGGTCTCGCTGGAATCCGCCGACCAACGACAATTACACGATCGCAGCGACGGCCGCGGGCAAGATTCACATCCAGGGCACCACTCTCAGCGCCTTGGCTCGCGGGTATGGGTGACCAACTTCCGAGTTCAGTATGCAGCGAATCTGACACAGAGTTAGGCTACGACACTATGCAAACGATGTGCTGCATGTTGATGATTTCTGGTTCTTTGATCGGGACCACGAGCTCCCCAGCCATCTGCCGCTGCCGGCAGAGCCCATTGCCAGCTCCAGCTCGGTTCCGTGGCGCTACAACTTGAACACTGGTAAGGACTGGGAGCTGCCAGTACAACTCATGTACAGGCTAACACATCTCTCACGCAGTCACGTTTGCCTACTCCTTTGTCTGGTATCAGTGGAGCGACTGGGAGAAGCTCCTGGACTGGGCCGCCCTCCACGGCGTCAACTTTCAGCTGGCCTGGGTGGGCTATGAGAAGATCTACCTCGACTGCTTTCGCCAGCTCGGGCTCGCCGACGACGACATCCTGGCCTTCTTCACCGGCCCGGCCTTCCAGCCCTGGAACCGCCTCGGCAACATCAAGGGCACCTGGGGTCCCGAGCAGCAGCGGCGGCCGCTGTCCATGGCGTGGATCGAGCAGCAAGCCGCGCTGCAGGCGCGCATCGTCGCGCGCATGGTGCGCCTCGGCATCACGCCCATCCTGCCCGCGTTCCCGGGCTTCGTGCCCGACGCCTTCGCGCGCGCACGGCCCGGCGCGCAGCTCGTCCGCGCGCCCGCCTGGGGCGGCCTCCCCGCCGACAGCCCCAACTCGGGCGTGCTCTTCCTCAGCCCGCTCGACGACGCCTACGCCGAGCTGCAGGCGCTTTTTATTGACGCGCAGCTCCGCGCGCACGGCAACGTCACCAACCTCTACGCCATGGACCAGTTCAACGAGATCAACCCGGCGTCCGGGGAGCCGGCGTACCTGGCGGCCGTCTCGCGCGGCTCGTACGCGGCGCTGACGGCGGCGAACCCGGCGGCCGTCTGGGTCATGCAAGGGTGGCTGTTCTACCTGAGCGCGGGCGACTTTTGGACGCGGGAGCGCGTGGAGGCGTACCTGGGCGGACCGGAGGACCGGCAGGGGCTGGTGGTGCTGGACCTCTTCGCGGAGACGGCGCCGCAGTGGCAGCGGACGGGGGGCTACGCGGGCCGGCCGTGGGTCTGGTGCCAGGTGCACGACTTTGGCGGCAACCAAAACCTGTTCGGCAAGATCACCAACACGACCGTCGGCCCCGTGGAGGCGCTGAGGGAGGTCGGGTCCTCCATGGTGGGACTCGGCGTGGCGACGGAGGCGTACGAGGGGAACGAAGTTGTCTACGACCTCTTCCTCGACCAGGCCTGGTCCGCGACGCCCCTCGACACCGCGTCCTACTTCCGCGACTGGACGGCGAGGCGGTACTCGGGTGTGCGGGGACTGCCGGCCGCGGTGTACCAGGCGTGGGAGCTCCTGCGCGCCACCGTCTACGACTACCAGTCGTCGGCGCTGGTCGGCGTGCCCGTGTCCGTCTACCAGCTGGAGCCCAACGTGACGGGCCTGTACAACACGACGACCGGCAAGCCGACGGCGCTGCACTACGACCCGGCGGCGCTGCGCCGCGCCTGGCGCATGCTCCTCGAGGCGGCCGCCGAGCAGCCGCTGCTCTGGCGCGAGCCCGGCTTCCGCCTCGACATGGTCGATGTGACGCGCCAGGTGCTGAGCAACGCCTTTGGCGAGCTGTACGCGGACACGGTGGCCGCGTTCACCCGGGGCGGCCGGGCGTCAGAAGTCGCCCAGCGCGGCGAGAGGATGCTGGCGCTGCTCGGAGACTTGGACGCGCTGCTGGCGACGCAGGAGCACCTTACGCTGCGCCGGTGGCTGGACGCCGCGCGCGCATGGGGACGGAGCACGGGCGAGGAGGAGGCGGTCGCGTACGACGCGCGCAGCCAGGTAACCATCTGGGCGCCCGACACGCTGCTCAACGACTACGCGGCCAAGGCCTGGTCCGGCCTGGTCTCGACGTACTACGCCGAGCGCTGGCGCATCTTCCTGGACAGGCTGGTCGACGCGCTGGAGAACCACGACGGCAAGCTGGACTATGTCGCGCTGCACGAGGAGATACAACAGTTTCAGACAGCCTGGCAAACCAGGGGATACGAAGTTGAAGGCTCGAGGGCGGCAGTGCATGTGCAAGATGTCGTCGAATCGGTCCAGAGGCGATGGCATGACATTCTATAAGTATTTTGGTCCATTAGAAGAGCGGTGTCAGGAAATGTCAGACTGAGGGTTATGGGGGGCAATCCTCACCATCCTCCAGGCTGCCTCGTTTAAGACTGACGATCAATGACTCCGTGCGCGTGAGACAGTCGTTTCCTCGCAGCCTTGTTTCTCGGAAGGCTTCCTAATCCGCCGCTAGCTGAACGGCGAGGCAATTTCGAACAATGCACTTGTAATGATCAACCATCCTGCAGCCTTGCTGTGTGGAAAGCCCTAGCTAGTTAGTTGCGGCGACTTCTGCATTTGGACCTTGACGGAGGCCGAGGACTTTAGGTACCTGGTATCCGAACATCCGCAACGTGGTTTCGTCTCCAAAATACAAATTACTGAGATCCTATGTGGGCTGGCTGACTCGGCCCAGCTCCTACCGTCACCGCTGCTGCATTTGACAGGCGCCCGAGCGAGATGCAGTGCTTACTGATGCTTGCTTTCGAGATGGAGACAATACATCAAGTCACCCTGCGCTGCAAGGATCCAAATATAGCATAATGCAGTCTGGTATAAGAAGCCGCCGTCTGCCACTCTTGCTTGGCCGATTTGGCAAGGCATTGGCCGAGTAATCGCTCCGTACAAGTCGACAGCTTTCGTCTGCCATCATGCCGTCTCGCAACAGATCCTCACTCTACGCCTTCGGCCTCGCCACCGCCGCGAGCACCCTCGCCAATGCCGGACCTTGCGACATCTACGCCCGGGGCGGCACGCCCTGCGTCGCCGCCCACAGCACCACCCGCGCGCTGCTCGACGCCTACGCCGGCCCGCTGTACTCGGTGCGCCGCAGCACTGACGGCCGTGTGCAGGACATCTACCCGCGATCCCCGGGCGGCGTCGCCGATGGCGATGCCCAGGATCGCTTCTGCGCCGGCGCCGTGTGCACCGTCGCCACCGTGCACGACCAGTCCGGTCACGGCAACGACGCCGTCCGCGCCGTCGGCGGCCCCGACTACATGAAGGGCGAAGACACGGGCGACGCCGACTGGGAGGCCGGCGCGATGGGCGCCCCCGTCACCCTCGGCAAGGGTCAGCGCGCGTACGGCCTGTTCGTGCCGCCGGGTACGGGCTACCGCGTCGCCGCCGGCAACGGCACCGCGCGCGGCGACGATCCCGAGGGCATCTACGCCGTCGTCGACGGCACCCACTACAACGACCGTTGCTGCTTCGACTACGGCAACGCCGAAACCAGCCTGACCGACACCGGCAACGGCCACATGGAGGCGCTCTTCTTCGGCAACACCGGCGGGCCCCCGGGCTCCGGCCCCTGGATCATGGCCGAGATGGAGAACGGACTCTTCCTCACGCAGCACGTCAACGAGCGGCCGCCGGGGCTCGAGATGCGCCACCGCTTCGTCACCGCCACGCTGCGCGGCAAGCCGCACCACTGGGCCATCCGCGGCGGCGACGCCACGGCCAGCAGCGGCAGCCTGCGCACCATCTACGAGGGCGCGCGGCCGCCGGCCAACAAGGACGGCGCGTACGACCCCATGTCCAAGGAGGGCGCGGTCGTGCTGGGCATCGGCGGCGACAACAGCCACACCTCGCAGGGCACCTTTTACGAGGGCGCCATGACGGCCGGCTACCCGCCCGCCGACGTCGAGGACGAGGTCCAGGCCGACATCGCGCGCCAGCGCTACACGCCGGCGGGCCGCAACTCGGGCCCGGCGGTGCAGGTCGGCGCGCGCGTGTCGTTCCGCGCCACCACGCCGTGCTGCACCACGCGGTACGTCGCGCGCGACCCGGGCTCCGACGACGTCCGCATCGACTTCGCGACGGACGAGGGGCAGCGGCGCCGCGCGCGCTGGGTCGTCCGCGAGGGGCTTGGAAGCGCAGACTGCTACTCGTTTGAGAGCGACGAGCGGCCCGGCAGCTTCGTCCGACACAGCGGCAACGGGCTCGTGGTCAATGCCAATGATGGGTCCAAGCTGTTCGCCGAGGACGCCACGTTCTGCATCCAGGCGGGCGTCAACGGCCAGGGCGCGACGATTCGCTCCTGGAGCCAAGCTGCGCGGTACTGGCGCCACTACGACACCCGCGTGCACATCTCGTACCCCGGCGGCAAGTACAGCTTTGACAGCAAGAAGTCGTTTAACGATGACGCTAGTTTTGTCATTACCGCCGCAGTCTGAGGCGGTGGATATGACGGACTCATGGCGGGCGGTTGGTATGTGAATGTGTGTGTATTTTTCGGTGTATATAGTTCAAATGATAATGCCGGTGAGCTATAGAAAGTATGGTATAATTTAGCATTCAGAAGACGAAGAAAGAGAGTGGAATAACAACGCTGCAATTGGCATGACGCATATGTAACTTTGCCCGTTTCTTAGGTTATATTCAAGTCATGGTACATAGTAGCAGAGCTGCTCTTACCTCTATTCAGAAGCGAACCCCCAGATCAACTGCCACCGGCTCTCGTTGTTCCTTAATGGCCCATCCAGTCGACCGAACCGTGCGGGGAGCCCCGTATTAGCCTCTGGCAGGCATATCCACTCGCGTACGCAGTCGGGCACCTCTTCCTTGATGTGGGCGATGCAGATGAGCGCCTGCCACTCCGTCAAGCCGCTCACGGTCACGGTCCCCGTCTTCGCCTGCTCGCTGTCCACGACCTTGCCGTCGACGAGGGCCTTCCTCTCGCCCGCGGTGAGGAACAGGCAGCACTTGTCGCGCACGGCATCGTCCATGCCGCTAAACGCCTCGTCGAGGACGACGATGTCGGTGCCCTTGATCATGGAGCGGATGAAGAGCGCCACGCGCTGCGCGCTAAACGACATCTCGCCAAACATGTAGTCGTCCGCCCACTGGAGGTCGTCCTCGTCCGCTTGCCCGCTCGTCGCGGCGCTGACGGGCCGCAGCTCGGCCGCGAACCACCGAAGCGCGGCGTCGACCTTGCGCCGCGAGGCCCCGTCCAGCTTGGCCTTGGTGCCAAACGTCAGGGCCCACGCGTTCTCGATGACCGTGCGGATGGAGTGACCGCGCGGCATGTGCTGGTGCACCTCAGGGCTGGAGTGGCCGACGCGCGCCTGGACGTCCCAGAAGGTGAGCGGCGTCTGGCCGGAGCCGGGTTCCGGGATGCGCGACCGCCTGAAGAGCTTGACGGGCTGCGAGTACGTCTGCGGGTGGTCGGAGCTGAGCATCGAGACAATTGTTGTCTTGCCGGAGCCGTTGGGCCCGAAGACGCCCCAGCGCTCGCCGCGGCGAACGGTCCAGACGAGGCCTTGTTTCTGTCGGCCGTCAATCTCCTGCGACCAGTTGCCGAGCACGACCTTGTCTTTGTAGCTGATCTTGCAGCCGTCCATCTCCACGAGCGGCTCTGCCGTGGACGTTGACTCTTGTATTGTGGCGTCTTTACTGCTAGCTGTGGCGGAAGGGCCGGTGGAGGAGAGGACCTTGCCGACCTCGGCCAGTGTCCGCAGCGGCATCTTCTTGTCCTCGGCCAACGTGCCGGCCTGCACGCCCTGGACGTACTTGCGCAACCCGTCGAGCACGACGTCCTTGGGCCCCATAGATCCGATCTGGCAGTCGCTGCGGAGGTAGATGAGGTGCGTGATCCACTCCGGCAGGGGGTCCTGCGGCCGCGCGCTCAAGACTAGTCGCGGGCTCGCCTTTTCGGCCAGCGATTGCAGCAGCGGGCTCAGCCCGGACACGGTCGGCGGGTCCAGGCCCATGAAGGGCTCGTCCAGAAGCAGCACCTCGGGTCGCGTCAGCAGGGCGCGCGCGATGCGTGCCCGTCGGCCCTGTCCGTTGCTGAGGAAGGTCACCGGGAGGTCTAGTAGGTGGCCCAGCTTGAGATCCGTGACGACGCGGTCCAGCAGCGCCGGCTCGACCTGGTTGTCGAGCGACGTCTCGAGAGGGTTGAGCTCGGTGTTGCCTCGCAAAAAGTCGCGCAGGGAGAAGTCGGTGATTTCACGATGTGACTCGTAGCGGGCTGACAGGAATGCGGACGTGGTAGTAGCAGCAGCCGCGAGGCCGCCGCCGCACGCCTGGTCGGCGTCGAACCCCACGTACTGGATGGCCCGGCCGGGGCTACGGAGGCGCGTCGGCACAACGTCCGAGGACAGGTATGGGAATGACCGCGCCAACGGGGGGTCGCAGATGAAGCGGCCGCGGAGAGCTTGCAGCAGCGTCGTCTTTCCAGAGAGAGAGGAGCCGACGATGCACCAGTGCTGCTGCGCGGCTGCGCTGGACGGCAGCTCAAAGCTCAGGTCGTTGAAGAGGGGCGGGTTAGGGTGCTCCGACAGGGCGTTTGGGTGCTGTCGATAGAAGGTGCCCTTCGCGATGCGGATGATGGGCACCCGCGAGGATGAGGGCTTCATGGTGAGTTAATTGGAAGCATCCGATCAAAGGTGTGGGTGGAAGATGGATAATCGTTGATGTCAATGTTTGGTTGAGATGGGTGTTTGCTAGCCAGCAGAGCAGAGAAGTGGGTTGACTCAGACGGCGCGGCATCGGCGCCAGGCCTACTACGCCTCACAACGGATTAATAAATACAACGTAATACAGCGAAACAAGAAAATTAAATAGATTATTTTTTAAATTTTGAGGGCCCTCTGAAATGACATGTCCAAAGTAGCTATGACCTTTCTGAATCCTGCCCGCGGCGTTCGGCTTCTTGATCTCGCCACCCAGACGTTGCCGCAAATACGACAACAGCAGTTAAAGCAAAAATGCATCCCAGCACGAGATATGGAAGTCCCAACCACGCTGTTCCTCCATTCATACTAACTCGGAACAGAGACTCGAAGACCGGCCCGCTCAATAAGATACCTATCATCGCAAGGACTCTAGATGTCGCAAACGTCGCTGCCACATGGTCGTCGCTCGTCAGCTGCGACAAGAGGCCCAGGATGCCGCCATTATAAGCAGTTATGAGGGCGTATAAAACCAGCGCCGCAATGAAGTATCCGATCTTTGGGGCTAGTCCGACCCCAAAGAGACCTATGGCAGCAGCCACAATGCCCCAACGGACAAAAGTGGTGTCCATTTGTCTTGCCGAGAAGTTGAGCGAGAGCATGGCATGGGCGGCCAAAGGCAGCAACAGAGCGCTGCAGATGAAATGAGAGACAGTCTCTATTCTATAAACCAAGGTTAACTGCAGATAATTTGGTCAGTCGTCGCAACATGCAAGTCTCACGGTAAGCACCGGTAAACGTACCTTGTCCAAGGCCAAGTGGTAACGACGGCTGACGTATAACGGTAAGAAGCCCATAGCTTGTACGTTGAGCGCCACCATGAGGAGTGTTACCAGAAGGATGCCAAGTCTTTTGTTTCGCCAGAAAAGAGCAGCCATGGATGCAGCAACATGCTTATAGGCGACGGGTATGGCATGGCGTATCCTTTGCGCCGCGGTCCCGGCAGCCGGCTCTTCTTGGACGGCTTCTTCGTTTTGTGCCAGCTTGTTCGGAAGCATCGTCTCATGAATGCAGAGAGCGCACAAGACGGCAAAACCCAGAATTCCCAGGGCTGCAACCATGGACGGCCATGGCCCAAACCAGTCTGTGAGAAGCTCCCTCAGTTTCAGCGTCATTTGGGTGGCGAGCATCTCGACTGCTGCGATATAGAAGAAGGTAGTCGAGCTGTATGACAATGTCAGTTTTCCTGTATGGGATATAGGGTCGGTCATTGGTTAACATACCGTTGAGTTTTCAACGTGACATCGGTAAGAATGGTATATATGATGGCAAAAAGGGAAGTCCCTCCACCAGTAAAGATCTCCAAGGAGGATGAGAGCCACGCCAGTCTGGGAGGGAATATCTGCGGAAATCCGTCTGTACCAGAAACTTGATTAGTATCCCCGTCTCTCGCGCGCAAGACTCGGAGAGTTTAGACGAACAAAACACCATTCTAGAGCCAACATTAAGCAAGCTTCCCACCAGCGCCAGCACCAGAAACGGTCTACGCCCCCATCGATCCGCCGCCACGCCGAGCGGTATTGGCGCGACAATCGCCGCGACGGCCGCCAGCACCGCCTCGACCTCTTGAATTCCCATGAGCTCCTGCATCACGGGCAGCGAGCCGTGGCAGCGCTCATCGTCAGCCGGGTTTGCGAGGCCGCGGCGGCGGCAGACGGCGGCGCGGCCCAGGTCCTCGGAGGCCAGCGCTGCCAGCAGCGTGGCGGCGCGCCAGGCCCGGCGACGGCGACGACGGACGCGTCGCTCTGGCGGCTCTGGATGCGCAGCAGCGGGCTGCGCTCCGAGTGGGTGGCTCGCGACATGCCGGGTCGGGGTTTCGCGGGGAATCAAAAACTGAGCTAGGGCATGAGTGCTAGGGCATGAGTGCAAGGAGGAGAAAAGCAAGACGAGGCAAGAGAGTCGAGCAGATTGGACTAGTAATTGAAGTAGCATCCGGGGGAGGGGATTTCCTTTTGAAATGCCATGCCATCGACTAACACGGATAGTCGCCTTCCTAGGCTGCATTCGGCGCTCCACCAACCGGCGCGAATTGTAGTACAGCCTGATTTCTCCCGAGATTTTGATGGCCCTACCTAAACTCGCCAACTTGCTGAAAAGGGGTGGCTTTTGCTCTAGCTTGTGACTGATGCATGTCTCACAAGGCCAATAAACGTAAACAATGCCAATCTTCTTGGCTAACCTCAGCTCGTGGCTCGCGGCTGACTGGCTGCCCTACCTTCACCCGCGACTTGCTAGAGACAAATTCCGGGCTGAGATCGTCTTGTCTCAAACAAGTGGCTGTCGCGCCGGTAAAATTAGTCGCCTTTTTAATCAAATTCTTAAAAACGGCCAGTCGCGGAATAACTATTGACCAGGACAAACAATGCTCTGTAATTACAGATGAACCTGCTCTCGTTGCAACCCTGTTCGGCTCATTGGGGGGGGGGCTACGCCATCCGTTGAACAAAAAGTAGGCGTGGGACGACAGAATACTCGCAAATAACTTTCTTAATTCTATATTACATATAAAGAAGCTCGGCACCACTTGATAATTATTCTATCCTTCTTATCACCGTCTCCCACTTCGACAACCTCTCGAGGCACATCAAACCACCATCAACTTGTACAACCAAAGATGTGGGTCTGGTCCTCTCCAACTCGCCATCCCATTGGCCAGCCATACCTTGGACGCGAAAGCTCGCTGGCAGCCTTGCCCAAGCTTCCTCCGGCGCAGGCAAACGTGAGCTGCATCATCCATCAATCCATCCTTTCAACCACCAAGCCTCCCATCACGACAACGACACGACCCGACCCGGTATCCTCCGCCACATCAAATACAACAATAAAAATACCCATTTCCTATATAAACACATCCCCAGCGCTCCCTCACAATGGTAAGCTCTCCCGCTGCACGTCTCCCCTCGGCACACCATCCTGCGCCCGCCGCTGCCGTGACCATCGCTAACCTCGCCGCCCCCCCCCCCCCCGCAGCTACTCCCACACCGGCGGCCCCTCCGCGCAGACCTCCACGTCCGCCCCCTCCGCGCCCGGCCTGCACGACACCCTGCGCTACGGCGTCGGCCCCTCCTCCCTCGACGGCACCACCACCACCACCTCCACCGCCGCCTCGGTCACGTCCGCTCACCCGCTCGAGGCCCGCCTCAAGAACTGGGAGGCCACGCAGGAGGCCGTCCGCATGGAGACGCTGCGCCGCGCCTACGGCATGGGCGAGCCCATCCGTCGCGGCATGGAGCTCAAGATTGTCCGCGACGGCGCCTGGCGGCCTCAGGTGCTCGGCCCGGGGCTCCCAAGCGTCCACGAGGATATCCTGCGCGGTCGCGAGGACACAATCACCTGGGAGGACGTCTTCACCGGTGACGAGTCCAGGGGCGTCGCCGGCTTTCACGACGAGATGGAGAGGAAGTGCAAGGTCTAGGGGAATGAGCAAGTTGGGAATGCTTGGGATGCTGGGATGCAATAGCAAAGAGCATTTCGGGACTTGGTCTTGGCAGCTGGCCCGGATCAACGTTTCCTGTACACCACATAGATATTCATTGTCGAATAATGAAACCGGCCTACATCACAACCATCACCTCGTTGAAAAGCACTAAATGGGTCTTGTACCAACGCTTGCTTCCTCAGCTTTGACGCTAGGGGCTAATACTGTAATAACGCTCTGTGCAGGTCGGCCTGACAGAATCATAGCTGTAAAGTATCCTATGACACACTGAGTTGTATATACCTTGCCAAGCCGAGCAGCCCTTCCGTGCACCCGATTGGCACGAAGCAAAGAAAAAAGAGTACAGTAAAAATATACAAGGGGGGAAGGTTCGCACAGCAAAAGGCTCGTAAAGAAGCAACGCCGACAATGAATCAAACAAAATCAGGAACAGGAATGAAAAGCTCAAGACTCCCAATTTCCCAAGTCTTCGAATAATAAAGAGGGCTCCCAGTCGCTTCATGATAAGCGAACGTGTATGACTGTCCAAAAATGTATATGTAAAAAGGAATGACGCAAGTTGTATATGTCTGTGCCCAAGAGGGAGTAATGAATGTCGTCAAGGCCATCTTGTGTGTGCCGTGGCGGCTCTCGTAGCCTTGTATCTTGTTGCAAGTTGTGCCGTGTTCCCGCAGCTCCAAAGCTACATCCACGGAAGGCGATTTATATAGAATGGCGAAGTGTCTTTGTAGTACTGACCCGGCCAACATGCACAGCCTATAGCTGTATGTGGTGGTGTTTTGTGTCAGGAGCTGCAGTTCTTTATAGAATAACGCAGCATGAGCCTCCGGATCTTGAGCGTTGACCGTCACCACTTCCAGCGCCGAGGCTCTTGCCACCTGGTTTTGCCTCTTCCTCATCCAGATCCTGAGGTCGGATACTCATATGCACCACATTGGGCGATTCGGCGCTGAATTGGTATTCTGCAAGTCAATGGGTTAGTAAATCCACGGGCCGCGACGCATGCGTGTCATTTAGGACGTACTCCTGAGTTGCTCCTTGTCATCCAACAGCTTTCCAAAGTGAATGAGACGTATGCTGCTGGGACTAGCAGGCTTAGCCTCCCAGTCACTCCTCCACTCTCTCAGTATCAGCTCCTTGAGGGTGTATATGCTGATGCTGAAAGGATCTGGTTGGCCGTGCTCGGTCTCATCGGGCATAACCACATTTCTTCTAGCCAGGTACTTGGCATCAATCTTGTACGGATAGCGACTACCAGACGCTAAGAGCAGGGTAATATTGCATACGGGAGGTGCCCCAGGTTCTGCCGAAGCGCCAGAGTTGATGTTGTCCTGAGCGGGGCCGATGGCGTCGTCGGCCTCCTTTGCGGGCGGCTCCGGAGCTTTGTCAATACCGTCGCCCGACTTGGCTGGCACCTCGGGCGCCGCGATAGACGATTCGGTGGCATCATTAGCGGAGGTGGGTTTCTCGGACGCGTTGGCGGGCGTGGTTTCGGCGACGATGGCGTGGGGGGTTGGGCCGTCGGCGGGCGCGACATTCTGCGCGGAGCTCGTGGCTTCGGTCGAGCGGCGGATGCTCTCGAGAGGGACGGAGTCGGTCCGCCGAGCACTGTTGCCAGAAAAGGGCGCGACGGCACCTATGGCCGTAGCCGAGGTTGAATCTGAAGCGGCGAGACTAGACATGATGAATGGCGGACTAGAAAGAATCGGGGCGGCGGTCCCTGTTGCTGGGATAGGTAGGCCAGCGAAATTGTGCCTGATAGGGGCACCCGGCGAGAATCAAAGGATGGAGCGGCAATTTAGATGCCAGCAGTCGTCATTCGCGGGCACGGCTGGTTCGTCGAGTCGGTAGGTGGGAGATGGGACAAGACGACTTTCGAGGGTCGTTTGTTAGCTGGAAGAGGAGCAGCCTGTTGAAGATAAAGATGCCGAAAAAGCAATCTGGTTGGGGAGGCGGCGAGTCGCAGGATGGTTTGACCACGCGAGGTGGGGACGAGGCGAGCGGACAGCCCGTGCTGAGGGCCAAGCCAGAGAGCAAAAGGGCGAGGTGAGCAGGGAAATTCGTGATAAAATAGGGCGGCTTGCAAGACTAGTGAGATGGGATTGATGACGATGGTTGCAATGGATGAGAGGAAGCAAGATGCGTTGAGCGGATGTTTGGGAAAGGATCAGAGAGGACGTGGAGGGGGGGCGGTGGACGGGCCTGCCAGGGCCGGGAGAAGAGGCGCCAAAAGTCAAGGAAGATACATAGATGGGCGACCAAATGGTGGAAGCTGGTGCAAGCGTTGGCAACTGGCGGGTGGCAAGAACGACGACTCAGTGGAAGAGAAGGTTACCTTACCTAAGTACTTACAGGCATAGATATCTAGACAAAGAAAATCTAAGGCCTCGAGCCAATTAGAAGCAAACAAGAAAAATTTAAACCGTATTATTACACTGCTTGCAATTATTATCCTCAAACCCCGGCCAGAAGAAGTCACCTTGATGTGAGTGAGGCCTTTGGCTTCAGCGGCTGTTCCGGCCAGGCAGGTGCTGATCCACTCGCCGCCCCAACGCCCTGTAACTTCCATTACCTTGGTTGCAGCCGTTAATAAAGTAACATGTTCCTCTGGCCATCACAATCGCCTGTTCCGGTCAACCCGGCCTGCTATCATCCATCCTACCATGAGGCCTTTTTCTTTCCAAAAAATCAATTGAGCCAAAAAATTTCTTCTCAACGCAATCTTCCGTGTTCGACTGCTGCCGTTTACCAAGTGGGCTGAGCCGCTCACCCGATACCATGCGCAGCCAACATGGACCAGGAGATTGGAGGCAAAACTCTAACCCAACCAACGGTGTAGCTGTTGCCCTGTCTCCTCCAAGTTTGAGTTCTTCTAGTAAATGTCAAAATTCCAACAATAATAAATTAAGGCAGGATCAGTGCTTGCAGGTTCTCATGCTTCAAGATCGGTGCGCCGTTGTCGGCACCGCAACAGTGGGGTTGCTTTACGCCGAGCACACCGACCACACACAGGCAAATTTCCGTCATTGCCAGGCGTACCGTTCCGCCGCAGCCGGGCCATCTAATTTAATCTCGACTGATTCTCACAAAGATAAAAAGATCACTGACGACCCAGGTATCATATTCCCTTCGATCAATGTGCATCTTCGTATCACTGCCCAAGGCCCAGTTAGTATACCCAGTAAGTGAACCGGCATATGTCCCTCCAAGAGCTGGCGGCATGGCCGGCTGCATCAATATCTCACAATTCACTTTATATCAAGGAACCTGCAACAGCGGGAAGTTCTCGGCATTTTCCATCCAGCAGACCGCCCAACTTCCTGCCTACACCCGTACTGACATTGAACTTCCCGCCACGGCATGCTGAGTCCCCTGGTGCAGGCTTGGCCAACCTTCTTAAAACCACCAAGGCCTAGACTTTGACTAGCAAACTTGGCGCCGTCGTTGCCCGTCGCCCGGAAATATTATTAGGTACTCATGACGAAGACATGACATGGAAAAGCGGCTTTTGGGTACAACTAAAGCCGCCGCCTTGGGGGTCGTTCCAATTAATCGTTGCGCTTCTTCTACCAGATTGGGCGGCGGCCACCTGACTTGCAAGCCACCGCCGCCAACCACGCCCGGATCCCCGCCTCGCCGGGCTGTCAAAACTAGTTATAACCAAACTATAACCACCCTTCAGCCACCAGCGCCTCATCGCAATGGTGTCGAGAACCGACATGAGATTGCATAGTGCCTATACGGATGCCATCGCATGTGTGTATATACCTTGACTAATGCATGCGGTAACCAATCAGTGCCACGCGGAAGCAAACACGGCGCATAGTATCGATGCTAAACTTCTTTTTTTTCTTTCATCTTACAGTAAACTCGCATATCGCTAACCAGGACTTATTGTTTGCTATTCTTCTCTTTTTCAAAGCATGAGCAGGTCGCCGTTGCTTCCCGCTCCCTGTGTCGGCTGCATCACAGCCTGCGGCGCATGTACATTCACCACGTATCCCGTCACGTTGCCGCCGCCAAAGAGGTCGTCGCCCCCGTCCATTCTCAGTGCCGCCATTTGCTGCGGTGCCACACTGCTAAAGTATTCATCTGCATCATTGATGGCCTGCTGATTGCCGTTCACGCCCGCAGCGGCCCGACTTCTCAGGTCGATATCCGTGGGCTGCCCGCCGCGGCCAAACATGCTAATTGTCTTGTTCGTATCAATATCCGTCGGCAAATTTTGCTTCTGCAACGCCGGCGAGTCTGGCAGCTTTCGCACTCGTGCTGTGCGGAACACTGTCTGAACAGGCTTCAGATAGACCGTCGCTAGCGTGCCCACGTTGAGACACATTTCCTCAAGGATAGCTGGTTCCAGTTTCTCTGACTCCGCCGTAATAGGAGGTTTCTCGCCCATCACGATTTGCTTTGCCAGGCCAACATCTGTCGATAGCAGTCGCCAATACATATATGCGCGGTCTCGTAGATCAGGGTTATCTGTTTCCTCCGTGGCCCATTTCAATACCTTAGGAACAAGCTCCTGGCCCCGCGTCGGTCTCTGGATGAACAACTTGACAGTTGCCGTGAGCAAAGCCAACTGCACCTCAACAGGCTCCTCGGTGAATGCATACAAGAAGTCATCGAGCAGGGCATCGCTATTCTCAATACGGTCCGCATATTCTCCAATGACCCACACCATGGCTGCTTTCGCTTCTGGCTCATCCAGAGAATCCAAATGTTCGCACAGCGTACTGATAATGGACTCGTACTGATTGGGGTATCGGCGGAAAATGTTTCGGATGACGACTGTTGCTTCTTGCACGATATAGGTGACCTTGGTGGCCACAAGCTCGAGAAGCAAGTTAATGCACCGGGGAGCAGCAGGCTCAATCTTAATGGCCAACTTCCCAATGGCTCGCACAGCCTTTCGCACAAAGTGCACATCGATTTCGGTAGCGTATTCCCGGAGTTCTGTCAGCACTTCGTCGATGTTCTGCTCGTTGGCAAGCATAAAGATAAGTTCCAGCTTTGTGACTTTGACGTAGATTGGGTCGTTATATTTGCAGAAGAAGACTCGAATATCATTCTTGAGGACTTCTGGTCGTCTCTGCAGGATAAGGAGCGCATTTCGCAGGGCAAGATACTGCACCTCAGGCCCTTTGGCAAGCAGCGTCACCAGGGGTGGCGATAATTTGCGGCAGAGAGCAGAAATTTGCTTCTCGTCGGCAATGTAGTTCATAAGATAGAGGATGACTCGAATGCAGGTCAAGACAACCGCCGAGTTGGAATGTGAGAGTCGAGGGGCGATGCGCTCAGCCAGGAGTGAAGCCTCACCAGACTCTTGCGGCACATACGACATAAGTGCCTCTAAGATGTACGTTTGGCCCCATCTGTGACACAGGTCAGCAACGTTCGTGACTAGATCGACAAGAAGCGTACTCTGAGCAGTCTGCTAGGATTGCAACCATTTTGGAAGCGTTGCTGTAGTCGATCGTGAGTTTAATGGCATCGCTTCTCTCCCAAATATCCATAAGCGCAGCCAGTGCGCTAGCCACGACTGTCGGGTTATCGTCTCGCAACAGAGCGTTGAGCCGCTCGATGAGATCTGATCCTTCAACCCTGTCTCGATCGTGGTCGTACAGTTTAGCGACAGAATAGGCGGCCGTTTTGCGCACGTAGGGATCCGCATCTCGCAGCATGTGTCTGACGATTGGGACAGCTGCTTCGACAAATTCACGCACGTGAATGTATGACATGGTTCGCAGGGCGAGGGCTCGCACCAACGGGTTGCTGTCTTCCATATCCTAGACCCGAATACATTAGCCATGACAGTCGCGGCGTTTGGATGGGGAAAACGCACAAGCTCCAATACCGGAATTGCTTTTACCGCAATTTCTGGCCGTACACGAGCATAATTGACGAGGTAGAGGAAGCACCTATATCTTGTTAGCAAGGATGTAGACGACTGGCACCAAGTTACCAACATTTTCTTAATCTCCAGACTCGGGAGATTCATGCACCCAATAACATCGGGAAAGAGAGCGACCATGTCATTGTTGCTCATGGTCATGTTGGCAACTATTCGCTTCAAGGCAATCTTCTTCAGCGAATAATTCTTGTCCTTCTTGCCTCCACTATTGAGCTCGAGACGGAGCTCGGCAACTTTGCCCTGTTCTCTTCTTAGCTTGTCGAGCGCCACTGGAGGATTGTAGTACAGAAATAACGCCATGATAATTGCTGTCGATGCAGGCCACTGCGCGCAACGGCCTACATGTTCGACGGAGGGCGTGCAAAGGATGGCAAGAGGGGCGCAGAAACGGTTGAGTCGTTGCAATCAGGTGCTGGACAAGGCCAGACAAACAAGGAATATTTGACGAACGAGGAGGGCAGGATGGTGATGGGCTTACTCGAGCAAACAGCTTGGAGTCGCCAGCGCCATCCTTCTTAGAAGACATGATGGGCAGCTGGAATTTATAACCCCGCGCGTGCGGCGGGCTTTAGTCGACTGGAACAGTTGTCACGCGACAAGAGGCTTGCGTGTGCCCGTTCCCGGGAGTACGTCTTCCGCTGGGAGAAATGGTCGGTCGGCAATGGTTGCGGTACCCTCACCCAAAGGTATCCCTTTTTAGTGCAATCAGCCTGCGCCGCGCGCTGGGGAGCAGATTCTAGGAGGGGTCGGATCGAGTTGCCGGCAGGCAAGGGCAAACACGATGGCTGAGGGGGCGGCTCCCCAATTTGGATCGTCTTATCGGCGGCGTCGCTTGTCGGATGGGATTCGCGTGGCAGAGTAGTGTTTGCGTGTGTCGAGGATTTGTTGATTGCAGTGTCTGTTGGACTCCCACCACGGCCCGGATCGGCCGTGGAAAAGGGGACCGACCATTCTCGCTAGGGGACACGCGGTCCATCGCAGCGGGCTGCACGGAGTATGGGTAATCGATAAGGCCTGTGGCCGAATCACTCAGCACAAGCCCAGCGCATCGCAGTTGCTCAGCTAAGCCGGTGGGCCACTCAGTGCCAGCCAGAAACAGCCTCAAGCTTGCCTCGGAGCTTCACCTCGTCCCGGGATCATTCACGGATACACGCTCTGCATTCGAGCTCGCGCATCATCTTCGACATGGCTTCAAGTACATCTACGGTTCCCCAGTGGGTTCAACAGCTGCAGTCGCCCCCAGCAGCAAAGTCCAAAGCCCCTGGCATCGTTGACCCGCCAGGCTTCGCTGGCTCTGGAGGAAGCAAGGTAGGGGCAGCCCGTTGAGCAGTGGCAGCGGCCAATCGCGCAAACAACATGGCAAGACCTGCTAACCTGAGTTGATAATCTCAGAAGCAAAAAGACTCCAAGACCGCGCCGCGAAAGTCCCCGACACACGACGAGATGGATACCCTCAAGCTCAAGAAGGCCTGGGAGGTCGCGCTTGCACCCCTCAAGGGTCTGCCCATGACCTTCATCATGATGTACATGTCCGGCAACTCGCTACAGATATTCAGCATCATGATGGTCTTCATGGCCTTCAAAAACCCCATCATGGGCCTGGCCAACACCAACCAAGCTTTTGAGCGTTTCCAAACCGAGACAAACTCAGCCAAGATTCTCCAGGCCAAGCTGGCCTACGTGCTTATGCAGCTTCTAGCGCTCGGCGTGGGTATCTGGAAAATCAACGGGATGGGACTTTTGCCGCACGTAATCTTCCTGTGAATACCGCATTTGTATGGTATGCTAACTGGTTATAGAACGACACGCTCAGATTGGTTGATGTGGGAAGCTCAGAGGGAGGCTGTGGAACACGCTATTCCGGCTTTATAAAACTTCTAGTTCAATTCATGACTATGTCTATCAATGCCTCTATTAATGCAGAAAAAAAAAGGCCAACTTATGCAAAGACTCGATCTGCTAGTGGTATTCGACCCTACGAATCGGGCATGTCCTCTACAGCGACTCGTTCAGCTTTCTCAGCTCTTGCCGTTGGCGCTTCTCTGCACGCCATCGTGGCCCGACATGTTCGATATACAAAACCCATGGCACGCAAGCAAACATGAGAAGCGCTAAAAAAGTAAAGCACCATCCTCGGCCCATACCGTTGAGCATGTACTCAATGACGGCGGTTGCCGCTGCACCAAGCAAGCAGCGAACCAAGTTATTAGCAGCAGCCGCGCTGGCCGGCGCCTCGGGAAAGAGGTCGACCATGAGCGTCGTTATCATATTGAGTGATGTCGGTATCATCATGCCGATGATAAAGACCATGACCAGTGGCACCGCAACTGACGTTTCCATCTGCAACGCCCATCCGTATCCTATCAGTGCTGATGCACCAACCAGCATGGACGGATAGATGAGCTGCAGCCTGGCTCTCTCGATGGGAAACTTTTCACCGTGCTCTTTTGACTTGAGGTCAAACCCCACCTTGTTGGCGATTCTGCGATAGTTCCAGTTTTGTGCGTAGCCCTGCACAACCGAGGTGACGCAGCAGCCCAACCCATACGGTAGATAGCAGAGTCCAGCCTGCAAATCATTATAGTGGTAAATCTCTTTGAGCAGCGTACCCATGGTGGCGGCAACCAGGATGAAGCACAGATAGATGACGGCCGCGATCAGCAGGATGCAGCCCATCTCCTTCTCAAACACCATGACGAGGGTGCCAAGCGGGTTCGGAATGGAGAGTCGAGGTCTCTGCGATGCCGGCATCTCTTCCTTGGGCCGGCGGTCCCTGGAGCAAGGCACCAGTGGGCGGTTCCATTTCTGGGCGGCGTAGGAGCCGTTCCCAACGACGTTGCGACCTGTCTCGGGGGCGAGGAGCACCCAAGGGACGAGGAAGGCTGCGACGAAGATGGCGAGGAACCAAAAGATGGACGGCCAGCCGAGGGTCTGGGACAGCACGCCACCGAGAAACGGACCAAGCGTGGGCCCGACATTGATGGCGGCGCCGAGGTATCCCATGTACTTGCCACGGGTGGACCGGGGTGCAAGGTCGGCAACGACGCCGTAGCCGAGGGCGAGGGTGCCGCTGCTGCCCGCGGCTTGCAAGCAGCGGAGGATCATGAGGGTGGCGTAGTCGCGCTGCAGGGCGAGGCCGACGTTGGCGCCGAGAAAAACGAGGAATGAGAGCGTGTATGCCGGCCGCCGCCCGGCCTTGTCGCCAAAGTCGCCGAGTAGCGTCGGCGCCACACCCTGGAAGATCATGTAGGTCGTGAGGGTCAGGTTGATGAGGGCGAGCGACACGCCGAGGTCGTGCGCGACCGAGTCGAGCGCGGGGAAGTAAATGTTAGACGTCATGGGTGACACCATGCTCGCAAAGCACACCATGACGGTGATGCCGACCCGCGCGCGCTGCGAGAAGACGGTGTACGGCGCCGACGCCACCCTGGAGAGCTGCACCGCCCCGGAGGGCGCCTCGAGGACGGCAGACGGCTGCACGCCGGTGACGGGCGCCGCTTCGGTAGCGGGCGCCTGCACCCAGAGGCCATCCTCGTCGCTGATGCTTGAATTTTCTGAAGATTGCCGATTGGGCTGCGGCGGGCACGGTGTGCCGGCCGACGGGTCGGGGGAGGCGCCGGGGCTGGCCAGAGTTTCGCTTGGAAGACCCATTCTGATGTTATGCATGCTGCTGATTTGCAGCGCTGAGTACTATAATAGCATTGGAATGAAATTTATATTTTTATAGCTGATGGTGTATAAAACAGGATGCAGGAAAAAGGACGAAGAACAAAGATGTACACTCCTATTAATAAGAGCGATATCGGGATTCGCCTTCAGGAAGGTCTTTACATTTGTGGTTCCAATGGCCGCCGCTTTGCTTCGGCCGGTCTGTACCCGGTGGCGTCCGGGCACTCGGTGGGGGTACCAATGCAAAGGTACGCAGTAAAGAAAGACAAAACTTGGCAAATACAGCCCTTTCGATTCGCCAAGAAAAGGATGCAACTTAAAATTTTCGCTAGAAGGCTAATAATGAGGGTGGAAGCGCGATGTTGCTTTGCTCTAGAAGCGGTGTCGGGTCGTCTTAGCCTTGTTAAGAAGGCGACTTGCCGCGCCAACTAAAAGCCATTAGCCGAATGAGCTCCCGTGGTGTAAGTCTGCCCGACGCAGTCGCAATCAGCAGAAATTGAGAAGCGCAGGTTGTGTGTAGGCCGCTATATAACCAAATTGGTTGTTCTGGGTTCTTTGGTTGAGTAATTTATACATGTACCGCATAACTTCATCTACGCCCGGCTGGAACTGACCCGACGGAAAAAGCAGGTCCTACCCTGGATAAGGATGTCTCTAGTAACTGACGCGTCTTGCTATTTTAGATATCAACGGATAAGATGAACAGAACGAACAAGACACCTTCACCAAAATTGGAAAGACCAAGAAAGTGTCAGAATAGCCTTCTTTCGTAACGCAGCATTCGCCAAGCATTCAAAACAGTGAACAATACTTGGTAACGGGGCCTTTCCCCAGGAAGACGTCAACTACCCTACAAGTGGTACTATGTATTAAATCAGATGTTTTACTGTACTTCAACCACACGTCATCCTCTTGCACTGGCCGGATACACTGCTGGTAATGCCAAGGACGCTTTCATGTCCCCTTGACGTCTTATTCGGTAGAAATAGCACGCAATTGTATCCAGGTTTTGAGATTGTCTCTAAACATTGGAGGCATTGCATCTCCGCCTAGTATTTCGGACCTGATAACCAAGGCCAGCTGCAAAATCTGTCGTCTACATCAGTGTGCGACAAAGGTAGCCTCAGACAAGAAATGGATACAAACGCATCACAATGCATTGACCCCGTTAACCTTTTTTTTACAAACAAAAGCCTTATTAAACGCCAGTGATAAAAAGAACATGTGGCCCGACTTGCAAACCAGCAAGCTTCTAAGCTCTGCGCAATCTCTTTTCCGGGGTAAAGTACCTGTTTACGCGTCCTTCGACTCTACTGGAGTCGGGGCAATTCGTCTCCTCTTAGGCTCCTTCGCCTCCTCCTTTTCACTGTCCGTTGCATCCCTCTTGCTGCCAGCCACTGCATTGCTGGGGGTTTCTGGTGGAGTTGTCATGGGAGCGCCAGTTACTTTGCCCGAGTTTGTGGCGGCGACGCTGGGCACGGTACCTGCGATAAGAGTAGGGTTGCTAACCACCCCGATAGGCATAGACGACGACTGGGTCGCGACGGACGAGGTAGAGTTTGATCTCGCTGGCGAGGGTGGTCTCTGTGAAGCAGCACTAACTGATGCCGGCGGAGACGGTGCGGTAAACGAGCTGGTCGAGTTGCGATTCTGATGGTGCGAGCCGCTCGTGTAAGGTGACGGAGGGGCAAATGCCGTCGTTGGTGTAGCAAGAGGAGTGGCCTGATGCGAGGCGGCTGTGCCGGCCTGGATCTTGGGTGGAGGGCCTATTTCCCCTTGGTAAAGGTCTCCCAATTCTCCAGATGCAAAGGACAGTGTTGAACAAAACCCATCAGATGAGGAAACGAGTAATGTGAGCCCGTCAGTTGACCTAGGTCTTGTTAGCATGGAAGTCTTGGTGGTATGCGCCTATTGCTTACCATGCGAGGTCAGTAAAGGTCGCGCAGTGCAAGTTGCTGACGACACAGATTGGTGTCTTTTGCTGCGTATCATACAACAGAATAGAATCCTGAGTAGCGACAGCATACACCATTCTATATGGTAGGGAGAAGGCTGGTTTAGGACCTGGCATAGCAGCACTCGTTTCTCCGCCACTTGGCTTAGCTGGCGTCGAGGTAACTTCGGCAACAGTAACAGGAGGTGGCGGCGGTTCCATGACCGGTGCTGGCGAGGTTGGTTGTGAAACAGGTTCAGGTAATGACGGGATGTCGTCTTCCGCAGAAGACGTGTCGATGGTTATGTGCTTGGTCGGTGGAGGGGAGGTACGGAGGGTGTAGAATAATGGTGAGCATTTGACTACCACGGACGGCTTCTTGTGGCCAGGTAGATGCGCGACGGGTGGTTTGTTGATGCCGCCTCGTGTGTAGATATAGACAGTATTTATGACCTCATACGTGGGCTTTGCATCCTTGTCTGCCTGGTGTTGGTTTTGATACTGACCAGACGGCGTGAGTAGTAAGCTACCATCGGGTGTGAAAGTTAGGCGTCGGAAAAAGGAAGTCAACGTCTCGTTTGCGTAGAGGCTTGCATTCTTCATGCCAAGCCCAAGGAGCGAAGATGAAGCATGCGGCTTGGGAGACGCTTCCATTGGCATCACTGCGGGGAGTGGTAACGAGGGCGCAGGTGATGCAGATCGACGTGAGGAAAAGGAGGATCGGCGACTGTGGCTCACGACGCTGGGTGGGTTCATGGGGAGCGGGAACGAGGTCGGTGTTCCTGGTGCTGACGGTATTGGTGATCCGACCGAGGTATTTGAGTCGATGACGGACAGCTGCGCTCGATGACCGAAGTCAGGAGGGGCTGGGCTGCTCGAGGAGATTCGTCTGGGCGGCAGGTCGGCCTTGATGTGGCTGGCAAGCCTCGGAGGCTTGTCGTCCTGGCTAAGAGTATATTGCCCATCTTTTGTTTTAAGTGAGTATATATGAACCGATCGATCGGACGACTGCGTGGCAATGTATTCGTTCAATGGGTCCCAGGTGACGCCTTGGACGTAATGGCTGTGCTCTGCTATTTGTCGGACGAGCATTCCTGGGTGACGGCATCAGCAATGGCAGTTCGCCAACCATTGGTTGGATGACGCTGGGATGAATTGCATACCTGTTGTAGCACTGTAGATTCGAGCTATGTTGTCCATGCTGCCAATAATGAAATGGGCACCATCGGGGGACCAGGCAAGGTCGTAGATTTCGGCACCGCTTGAGCGGCACATGTGCTTGGCACGCCAGGACTCTTTGTCGTCGTGGCCATCGGAGCCAAAACTGGATAAGGATAGCTCGCTGGGAACCCAGAGAATAACATTTCCATCGTCGCCGGCGGAGGCAAGCAGTTCGCCTGTGGGTGGAGGCAAGGTCAGCGGCGCCGTTTGGTTGAGGGGCAGAGGGTGCAGGAGCTATGCGTGAGCTGCAAACGTACCTTTGGGGGCCCAGCGGACGACATTGACTGCCTGGTTATGCTTGGTGAGGGTGGAAAGATATTCGACCTTGCGGTCGGTGCCGTTTGCCTCGAGTTTCCAGATGCGAACGTGGTTGTCACCACCAGCAGTAGCGAGGCGGCCCTTGCCGCTGGGCTCGAAGTGAGCCGAGTAGACAGGGGCGTTTTGCTCGTGCCAATTGATGATGAGGGGCGTGGCCTTCATCTTGACGACGGAATGCTACGATGACTCTGCCGTGGATGACATGAAGGGGAACCCAGGGTCGATGGGCAGGACTATGATCGTAGCAAACCAAGGTTGGACGGGTGGGCAGGCGAGCGGCGTTGGAGGAGTTGGTGGTGGCAGCCGAGAAGCGACGCGGTAGGTAGGTAGGTAGCTTGTAATTTCGGCGGATGCAACGCGTATTTTTTTTTCTTCCGTTATTTCTTTGGCTAAACAGCAGGGACGAGATGATTAGGCCCTCGAAGATGATGATGCGGAAAGTCGACGAGATAAAGGATCAAGGGCGTTAAATGTGAGGTAAGGCGCGGGGACGGAATCGCGGCAGGACTACGGATAGAACGTTGTAAAGCGCATCGCAGCCACCGAATTGGCCTTGTTTCATCAGCTTACGGCGCGGTTTGGTGTTGCGTTGGCGACCTGCAGTGGTTAGCCACGTTTACTACCTCTAACTAAAGGGTACTAGTAGTACTGCGACTGCAGCTACCTACATACATACATTATGTATGTAGGCACGACAAGCTACTAACCTTGTATTACCTCCTTGCGTTGATTTCTCCAAAACTCGTTGATAATGGGACGCGACTCAGAAACGCCTGTTAAACAGCATAACCAGCATTGGATGCATTGGATAGGTGCGCATGAATTATGTTGTTCGTTGCCTTGCTCGATCCATCGGCTGTCCCTGGCACTTGGTGTGCTTTTTTTTTCTTTTTCTGCCCAGTTGACGCAGGTGCCTAGGTACAGGGTACATGCAGCCTTTCATCTCATCAGCCGCGTACAGATCGTAATTTGAAACGCGTTTTCTTGTCAAATCATGCACGCACTGTAGCTAATTAATTATACTTGGCGGTTTAATTCTAACCGATGCCCATCACTCGGCCGATCTACGGTACCTGTTTCCAACTTCCTGGAGGTTGAGGAATGACTAGCGCCGCGTCCATGCAACTGCTCGCCAATGCCTCAATGACAGGATTATGATTTACACATGACAGGGCAGCATAAGAAAGTTAATGGTTCCCGCAATACAAAAACTAAAAAAAGGAACTCGTCGTCAATGCATGGATTGCCTCCTTGATCAAGTTGGTGTTTGCCAGCATGTTCACAAGGCGCGTCCAGGGTTCGGCGCGTTAAGGGCTTACATGCAGGTCGCGTCAGAGTCGTGACAAAGCTTGTGCCGAAGTATTGTAGACTGCGATGACAAAACAGTGGCATACTAGCCATATTAACTGAATTTTACTACGAGTATCCGTAGCTTTACGTAGTATGTCAATAACATGCAGCTTCCCCTATGGGAAACGGTTCATCGGCACCATCTGAGGCTGATGTTCACCAGGCAGCAAGGAAATTTGAACTATCTGCCCATCCATGTCTTCATATTTGTCGCTGAGAAGGGAATGGTCTACGGATAACTATCACTGAGAGCAACAAGTATGGGGCCGGCAGTTGGGTCGATTTCTCAGTCATCTCACGAACACGTTGTGAGGTTGGAGGCGGGTTAGGCGGGCCGACAAACGAGGCGGCGTCGGCATTTACCCCAACCTTTCGAACGAACGGCGTGCAAATCTACGTCAAAGAGACACAGTCCAGCGAGCTCAGATCAGGTACACTTGACTTCAGGACGTGAGTCACCCCAGAAGTCATGGCGGTCAGAAGACGTTTTAGCTTACCCCGTCATCACCACTAGTGGACGGAGATGGATGACGATCCGGCTATAGCAACTGCGAGCTGATGAATTATGATGGCCTGTTTCCTATCTGTATTTCGTGTCGTTCGAGAATGTTGAGGCGGCATGTCGCAGCACAAGCAAAGCCCCCACCAGCAGTTCCACGAACCTATGGCGTGACGCTTATTAGCATTGGAAATGGTGATGCCGCCAAGTAGAAGATGCCCTGATGGCAAAGTAGCCCACAAGGCATCTTGCTGCGGCCAAAAGTCTGGGGGCGCATCTGACGGTCGGATACCTGGTCGCTGTATGGGTGGGCTGAGCAACTCAAAAGGACGTTTGCGCGCCAAGAGAGCCTGATCCTGATCCGTGATGCAGGGAGGCCGAAGGCCAACTACTAATGGCTAACTAGCGCATGCAGGCATGCAGCGGCTTGAAAGCCACCGCCGAGAACCACAGAGCTTGGAATAGGTAACTAATGCCAACTCTTCGTAGTAGTGAACATATAAAATGAGATGGTTCGCCGTTGGCATGTGAGTCACGCATCCCAATGACCTCTCCGAAACAGTAACTAAGCTAGCTGGCGCCAGGAAGATGGCGAATGGTGCAGTTCTAAAGTCGAAAGTCGAAAGTCGGGGGACGATGAGATCTGCTTGATGAAGAGAGAGGTGATTGCCCCCGATGAATACGCACTGCTCACCTGTATGTACGACAATATTCAGCCCGTTCGTTGCCTGCTAAACGAGTGGCAATTATTATTATATTCGGACGGTATATAATCTGTGGCAAACATTAAACCGGTTGCCAGGAAGAACAACCGATGAAATCTGTGTTATTAGGCATGAGCCGGGTACGACTCCCAGCGCTTCTAGATTTGGTGTGGCGCGTCCAATAGCAACCACTGCGAGGACCCCCATCATACGTAGTATTAAAAAAACCTTTTTACTGGTTGTTATTACGAATGCAATAGCCATATGGCAGGCAGACGGCGGGCAGCTCCAGCTGGCACTGGTAAAATGAGATAAAACTCCTGGTGGGCTGGCGCACAGAACCTGACACATCGGCGAGCAGACGAGGGCGTTGCTCTTTTGCCAGGATTCGCGACTGAGACCTCAGACCAGGCGCCAGCCTTGTTCATATCCCAGACTTCGATGATGGACCCTTTTCACGTTCGCCGCAAGCCACTTGCCCACCGCCCATTGCCACGCCCCACGCCTCAACGCCCTCGCCTGCCTCTTTGAGCATGCCGGCAACCGCCAGAGTTTGTGACAGGATGCCAGCGCGCGTTAGCAAGAGACAGCTGAGGAAGAAGTGGCACAATTGGAACGGTCCTTTTCGGTGGCAATAACACTCGACTCGAGGTTGCTGACACGAGTCACCAACAGGCTGAGACTCACGGGCTAGTTCCATAGCGACATAGCATATCGACGCTGTAAGTCGATTGCTCTTTATAATTAGAGTCATCTTGTGGATCCCGGAGGATGGAGTTTCTCAGCCGCGAGGCAACAGGGGCTTTTTGTAATTTTCCAATGCTGTAATCTGTATCAGACAAGAGTCGGGTCGGCCTGCGGGATGGCTTGTGCCGTGCAGTGTTCCTTGGCAGCGGCGGAAAGCTTCCAAGTAACGAATTAGTATCGACAATTGAAGTATGCCTATTCCATGACTTTATGATAAGAAAACAGGCGGAGAGTATTTATAATTCTGCTGCCTGTTTTAAGCGTCGTTGAGTCTGGCCGAGTCGAGCATAGCTGGGCCGGTCAAGAGGGTTGCATTGGAATCCCTGCCTACGCGCGGAAGATCACAGGAGGAGAAAAAAGCTATGTAGCAGGTATCCCGCCATGCAGCCATCTCGCAGTTGCAACGACGGCGCGCCGGCGTCAGCCCCATTTCAGCCCGCCCTCCGCCGATTGACCCGGGAGCCTCCAGCCAGTGCTGGATTGTAGCGCAGAAGCAGAGGAGTACCCCGGAATGAGAAGCGGGGGCGTGTTCTGCTGTTTTTGGTGAGGATGAAACTTGCTTGGTGGCTGCCTTGTACGAATATGTGTTGAGTAATTAGGAAAAAGTCAATTTTTTTTTTGGATGTGTCTGGGATGCCATGGTCCTTTTGGTCGTTCTGCGAACAAACAGTCGCCAGCCTGGTTGGCCTGGCTGGTGCCTGCCCCCCGCCAAACTCCACTCTAGTGACTAACTCGCCGCCACGCCAGGCCCTGCCGGCCGCCAGCCGCATGCGTGTATGTATGTATGTATGTAGGTATTCCGTGCACGCAATCACCTGCGAATCGGTACTTTCCTGATCAGCTGGTAGCTCTCTTTTTGCTCTTTTTATTCTTCTGTCTATCATGGATGACTGGTCATGGATGACTGGCCTGGCTCGTTCAACCGGCCCGTCTCTGCGGTAGGTACTTTCCCGTCCGCCGTAATTATTATTACGAGGTACCTCTATCTTGCCTCGTCTATTAGTAGCGTCTAGGTACCTCTTTGTCAACGCCTAGCGGGTCCCGACTCTACCGTACCTACAGGCTGGCGGTGCACGTCATAAGACTACCTGTTCGCTCCCCTGCCTACGACCCCAGACGTTTATCCTCCGGGTTCTTTTCATCTTGTTTCTTGTTTCTTGTTTTCCCTTTTTTTCCCCCATCCATTCGTATCACCTGGGTGTGCTTCGTCCTGGGCTGCTCTCGATTGCTGCCTCGCCAACATACCACCGACAGCATCGCCGTTTGTCCGTTTGTCCTCCACGGCAAACGCTTATCAGTAGGCAGCTCGGACCCGCCGCCGTTACCTTCGGCCTTGCACGTAACCCGACCGACGCTGAGAAAAGGACGAGCGGCTGGCCAGCGCCCAATTCTCTTGCTGCTTCGTCCTCGAGAAGCCATCTCCGGCCCTCCGAGGCGGCTTGTTTCTTGTCCTGCACTCTCGCATCATGGATCACGACCAGCTCTTGAAGGCTTCGGTTGCTGGGCTTGCTGTAGCAGGCCTCACCACCGTTCCTGCCCTGTCTGCAATCATCTCGCAGATCCGATCCCGAGCTCCCAAGGACAATTTCTATGAGGATCAGGATGGTGTCGCTACCCCCGAGTCCATTGCTGCCTTTTCCAACAAGGCCAGCAAGTTCGCTGTGACTTTTTTCGCTGCAGCCACTGCTGCATTGTCAATTGCTCTCTCCGTCTTAAATACCGCCAACGCGACCCAGGAAGGCTTGTTCCTCTCTACCTGGCTCACCACTGGTGCTTGGGTGAGTCTACCATTCCATCTGAGCCTACATCCGTTTCTCCTGGAACTCGGCATTCTCGTTCGCCCGATTTCTAACACACACACTTGTCGCGTTGCTAGATTCTCATTTTGCTCCAAGCCGTATGCTTGGCTGCTCACCACAACTTCATCAAGGTCTACGATCTTGGTCTCGGCATTTTCCTCGGCTCCCTCGTCAACATCATTGTCGCAACCGCCGAGACCAACCATGTCGGCCAATACCAGTCCCTCCAGCGTGATATTACTCTCATTCTGCGCATCTGTACTCTTGCCTCTGCCGGTCTTCTCGCTATTTCCTCTGCTCTCATCCCCCGCCGCCCCGACGTCTTTTACAACGATGAACCCGTCGACCGCAACTTTAGCGTCAATGCCCTCAATAGATTTACCTGGGGCTGGGGTCGTAAGACCCTTGATCTGGGAGGCAAAAAGGGTGACTTGAAGCAGACTGACGTTCCCCGCCCGCCTAGCTACGCTAGGTCCAAGAGCCTTGTTGAAGCGTGGGAAAGCTTCAAGTTTGGTGCTGGTTTACTGAAAAATCTCATTCGCCTCTACGGCTGGCGCTTCGCTATTCAGTGGACCGGCACCCTCTTCCGTGTCGCTGTTGGCATGATTCCCTACATCATTCTTCTTAGACTCATCCAAAAGCTCGAAAACACGCCTCGCGATGAAATGAGATTCGGTGACTTCTGGCTTCACGTTGTTGGCCTCGGACTCTGTGGCATCACTGAGCAGTGGCTTGACGGCTATCTCAACTGGTATGCCATTGTCGGCATGGGTATCCCCATGTCTGCCCAGCTTTCGGCTCTCGTCTTTGAAAAATCTCTTCGACGCAAAAATGTCAAGACTGCCGAGAAAAACCGCGACACCGACGGAGAAACCAAGAAGGACGATAACGACAACAAGAAAGATGATAAGGATAAAAAGGAAGAAAAGGATGATAAGGCTGACGAAACGGTTCTTCGCTCGCGACAGGCTATTGTCAACCTTGTCGGTGTTGATTCGAGACGTATTGCTGACTTCCTTGCGATGCACTTCATCATCATCAACGCCATTTCGAAGCTAATCCTTTACTCCGTCTTCCTCATTCAGCTCATTGGTTACCAGCCATACTTGGCTGGTGTCATCGCCTGGGCCATTGTCCTGCCAATCAATATGTACGCCTCCAAGATCTATCTCAAGCAGGAGGACAAGCTCATGAAGATTCGTGACGAGAAGCTCGCCATGATCAACGAAGCTCTTCTTGGCATTCGGCAGATCAAGTTCTCCGCTCTTGAGAAGGAGTGGTCAGCTCGTATTATGGCAAAGCGTGGAAAGGAGCTCGGCACTATTCGATACATCTTTGCCATCGATCTCATTCTCTTCACTTGCTGGATAGTTAGCCCTATCCTTCTCGCTGTGGTTTCGCTCGCTGTCTATGCTATTCAGAATGGATCTCTCAAGCCCTCTACCGCTTTCGTCGCTATTGGTATTTTCAAGAGCTTGGAAATGAGTCTCTCTGTTCTCCCCGAGTTCATCGGTTACGGTCTCGACACGCTGATTTCAGTTCGCCGCCTTGGAAAGTACCTCGAGGGTCCTGAGATGACCGACATCATCACACGTGGTCATGATGCTGCCTTCGACAATGCATCTGTTGCCTGGCCTGTTGACGACGAGGTTCCTGAGGATGAACGTTTCGTCCTTCGTGACCTGAACCTTTCTTTCCCACAGGGCGAGCTTTCCGTCATTTCCGGAAAAACCGGCACTGGCAAGAGTCTGTTGCTCTCGTCTCTCATTGGTGAAGTTGATCTTCTTGCTGGAAGAGTTATCATGCCACCATCGCTCCCTCCTGCTGAGCGCAACGACAGCAAGGCACACAAAGGCAACTGGATTCTTCCCGGCACCATCGCGTACGTGAGCCAAAGCCCCTGGCTTGAAAACGCCACCCTCCGTGACAACATCATCTTTGGTCTGCCATACGACGAGGAGCGCTACAACAACGTTATTGAAGTATGCGCTCTGCGCAAGGACCTTGACATCCTCGAAGATGGTGACCAGACTGAGCTTGGTGCCAACGGCATTAACCTCAGTGGTGGCCAGAAATGGCGCGTCACGCTGGCTCGTTCCGTCTACTCGCGTGCTGAACTATTGCTCCTGGATGATATCTTCAGTGCTGTCGACGCACACGTTGGCCGACAAATCTTTGAGAAGTGTATTTCCGGGCCCATCTGCCAAGGTCGTACCCGTATTCTTGTCACCCATCACGTTGCCTTGGTCGAGTCCAAGACCAAGTATCTGGTTGAGCTTGGTGAGGGCACTGTCCTTCACTCTGGTCTAACCAGTGATCTGGCTGAGGACGGTACTCTCTATAAAATCCGCAGCCACACTCAAACCGAGGCCGAGATCCAGGCTGACGAAGCCGCAAATGCTGAGACGATGGTCAATTCCGAGGAAGGCTCTGACGCCGAAAATGAACTGCAGAAAGTCCCTTCCAAGTCTGCCAAGAAATTTGTTGAAGACGAAAAAATCGAAAAGGGTTCGGTCAAACGCCACGTATATGCCACCTACATCAACGCCAGTGGTGGTCTTCCTTTCTGGATTGCCTGCGGTTGCTTCTACATTGCCTATGAAGCTGGTAATGTTGGCCGCAACTGGTGGCTACAGATTTGGACTGGAAAGACCGTTGACTCACCTGCTGATAACTCGACCTTGTCTATCAATACCTTTTCCTCACACGGCACTGCTAGCATGTTCTCGCTCCAACATGGGAGCCTCCATGCTTCTGCCGCACCCGTCGACGACAGCGATCTCCACCTGGGCTTTTACCTTGGTGTGTATGCTGCTATCGCTCTAGCTAGTGGTATTATTGGGTCCATGCGCATGCTGTGGGCGTTTACAATGAGTCTCAAGGCCAGTCAGAAGCTCTTCGAGCAGATTCTCTTCACCGTTGTTCGCACGCCCCTGAGATGGCTCGACACTGTCCCGGTTGGTCGAGTGCTTAATCGCATGACTGCCGACTTTGATGTCATTGACACTCGCCTGAGCTTCAGTATCAGCTTCTTCATTGGCCGATGCCTCGCTATTATTGCTGTCTGTGCCGCATCAACCCTGGTCACCCCCCTTGTTCTGCCTCTCGCCTTGTTGCTCATTATCGGTGCTGGTTTTATCGGCAAGAAGTACATGGATGGTGCTCGACCTATGAAGCGTCTCGAAAGTAACTCGAAGTCACCCGTTTTTGAGCTTTTCAACACTACGCTCGCTGGTGTTTCCACACTCCGCGCCTTCCAGAAGAACAAGGATTACATCAAGCGTATGCACTACCACCTCGACACTTGGAACACCAACAAGGTTCATTTTTGGATTTTCAACCGCTGGATGGGCATCAGAATGGCTGCCATTGGTACCGTCTTCACCACCTGCGTTGGCATTGTCATCATTCTTACCAAGACGAACGCTGCCATGGCCGGTTTCGCCATGTCTTTTGCGCTTGATTTCGCCAACACGATTCTGTTTGCCATCCGTGCTTACGCAGGTCTTGAGCTTGACATGAATGCTGCTGAACGTGTCGTTGAGTACTCTGAACTGAAGATGGAAAAGCAGGATGGTGTAGAGCCCCCTGCTGCCTGGCCTACGTCTGGCACTGTTGAGATGAAGGATGTCGTGGTGGGTTACGCAGATGATTTGCCTGCCGTTCTCAAAGGAGTTTCTTTCGCCGTCAAGAACAACGAACGCGTCGGTGTCATTGGCCGTACAGGAGCGGGCAAATCTTCCATGACGCTTGCCCTCTTCCGGTTCTTGGAAGCGCGCTCCGGCTCTATCATCATAGATGGCCGTGACATTTCCAAGATTGATCTTCATAGTCTGCGCTCCCGTCTCGCTATTATCCCTCAAGACCCTGTCCTGTTTTCCGGAACCGTCCGCTCGAATCTTGATCCTTTCGAAAGGTACACTGATGAGGAGCTGCGCGAATGTCTCCAGCGCGTCCATCTTGTTGACTCGCAGCCCGTGACTCCTGCCAACGAACCTGCGTCGTCCTCCAACTCCACCGTCGCGCCGCAAAACACCAACATCTTCCGAGACCTCAACAGCGGCATCTCCGAGTCCGGTGGCAACCTGTCACAGGGCCAGCGCCAGCTACTTTGTATCGCTCGCGCTATTGTCGCGCGCCCTAAGATCATGGTCCTGGACGAAGCTACCTCGGCTGTCGACATGGCCACGGACGCGCTTATCCAGCGTAGTATTCGTGAAGAGTTCGACAACAGTACCCTGCTTGTTATTGCGCATCGCCTGAGCACCATTGCCGACTTTGACAAGATTCTCGTTCTCAGCGAAGGTACCGTTGCCGAGTACGGTAGCCCCAGGGAGCTCTGGGATAAGGAAGGCAGTATCTTCCGCGACATGTGTGAGCACAGTGGTGAGAAGGACAAGCTGGAGGCTACGATTCTGGGCAAGAAGTAGTTGCTTCTCCAGGGCCTCGCATCTCTGGCGATACTTCTGTATTGGTGTGGACGAATCACACAGAATATGCATTTTTTTCAAGCATTGTTTTTGTTTACATTGTTTATATTCTATTGTTGTATTTGGTTGTCTTTCTTTTTTGGCTTGGTTTGGCACCTTTGACTCTTACACTAGTTGTTTTCGAGTATGCTTTGGGAAGCGAATGAGCAATATGAGTGGTGGGTGGTGAAAAAGAGGTGAAGAAAAGAAAAGTTTTCTCGTCTTGCAAATTTTCTTCTCCGTCCATTCTGGATAAGGTCGTTTTATTTGGCTTAAGAATAAAAAAAAATAGTATATCGAGGCTTACCAGGTCTGCAGTTGTCATGTATAGTTGCACTACGGCTGCCATTGTTGTGGTGGAAGGGACTATATTATTAGATGTATCTAGACTCTGACTTCCAACAATGCGAGTTGATATTTTCACGGATCGAATAAGTCTGACTGCCATTTCTGGATGGCAAAGTTTTTGAAACTTAATAGATTGCAATGATTGCGCCATGTACGGCACCTGAAACCTCATAATGCCTTTGCCAAACTCCATCCTGTGTTTTCTATATTCCCTAAATTTTGCGCCATTTCTAGACCCTAAAAAACACGCTCCACCGTGAATTCCATGTGCCCTTATCATGAGTCTGCATCGCGCGTCACCGCGCTCACGTTGCTGGCGTGCGCAAGCAGGAACTTGCAGCACGTCAGGGTCAGCTTGCACGCCTTTGTCCAGCCGTCGTCCTGGGCGATGCCCAGGCGGATGCTGACGTCGTCAATCTTGTCGCCGTCGATGCGGTACGGCAGGCTGAGGGGCCGCTCGGAGCCGCGGGTGGTGCGGTGGATGTGCTCGCCGAGCTGGCGGACGAGCTCGAGGAAGGCGACCATGGCGTTGTCGAAGGAGCGGTGGAGCAGGCGCAGGCCGAGGGGCAGGTCGCCGCCGGAGCTGTAGAGCTCGAGGACGTTTCGCTTGGGCGCGGGGGGCGGGCGCGAGCTGGAAGATGCGCGGGCGTCGTGGCCGCCGACGCGGCTGGCGGCGGGGCTGGCGGCGTCGAGGCGGACAATCTTGGAGGTGCTGCCCATAGGCTGCGGCTCATAGCCCTGGAAGCGGAACTCGAGCTTGTCGGCGACGGTAACGAGGAGGAGCAGCGCGTGGCCCCAGGCGGCGTTGATCTCGGGCCAGTCGACGGGCTTGCTGGAGAGGCGGCCGAGGCGGAGGCTGTTGATGGTGGCGAAGCTGCCGTCATGGCTGATGCAAAAGGTGTCATTGTAGACGTTAGTACGCTGCAGCTTCTGCAGCAGTTGTGAGTCGTTGCTGTATTTCGTGTTGACGCTGTCGCGCTCCGCCTGGAAGTCGGCCATCTTGGCCGCAAATGCGTTGCGTTCGTCCCAGAAGGCGGCCTCCTCCTTGTCGAGCTGGCGCGACTCGTCCTCGAGCGCTAGAATTTCCTCGTCGAGGGCGTCCTTCTCGGCCTCGAGGCGCTTGAGCTCTCGCATGGCTGCCTCACGCTCGCCATCGGCCTTGCGCCGCCGTTCACGGGCGGCCCGCTTGTCGGCCTCGCTGGGCTGCGCCGCGCGCATCTCCTTGAGCTGGGCGGCGTAGGCGTCGCGTGTTCGGGCCGCCGTATCGAGCTTCCGCTGCAGGCCGTCGACGAGCATATCGGTGCACTCGATACATATGGGGTAGTCAATATCGGAGCGCGCGGTAAGGATCTCAAAGAGGCGGTTTACGCGGCCCATTTCATACTCGCCCGGTGGGCTTGTAGCATCAGTCTGGTGCGACGATGATCGTGGCGTCTTGGACGGCGAAGACTGAACGGATGCGCGGGGCGAGGACTGTGATTTCGGTGACTGCGTGCGGTCGTGATGATGACCGAGCTGTGACTCGGATAAGTATATGAAGGACATGGCCGGGTCTCGTGGGTTACTGCCATGGTGGCGTTTGAAAGTCGGCTCGCTGTTTGCGCTTTGCGATGCTGTCTCGTAGAGTGATTTTCGGGCTGTGTCTCGCTCCTTTATTTGTGACTTTGCAGGAAACTGGACAACCGCTTGCTTTGGTGGCTGTGGCGGCGCCGAAGCTGAAGATGGGACGGTCAGTATTTCGTTGACCGATGCTAGGTGTTTGGTTGACGGGTGAGGCAGTGACATACAAACCAAAAGATCATAGGCGGCGGGGTTGAGGTCTTGGAGGGTGCCGTCCAGCTTGAGAGGCTGGCGACATTTTTGACAAAACATAGTTGGATTTATGAGGCTGCGCCCATGATGCAGGCATGAGGCGCAGATGGTGTGGTTTCAATACGGAGCTGAGAAAATGTAAATGTGTCGAAGTGACGTTGTCACGAGCCTGGTTGACGGCAGCTCTAACTTCTAACTACTGAGGCGCCTACAGTAGGCTAAGTAAGTGGGGGCGAGTTGGGGCTTGGAGATAAGGTACTTGCTGGAGGTATGGATAAGTATTTCAAGCAGCAATGCAGCAATACCTGTTGTGTATGTCTGTGTTGAGTTTACTCCAAAGATCTTATATTGACACATAATTTAACAAACCACATTTAGAAGGGTCTATGCGAGCCAGTGCGCTGGGCAGCCAGCGTGCAGCGTAGAATGCGTTTCGACGCGGTTTGACCAGTGGGCATAACTGCTGGCACTCTACGCGTATCCACCGCCAGCCCAGAACGCGGTGGGCCTCAAGGTCAACTCATCGCTCTAGCAAGTTTATTTACATTGCCAAAACAACGACATCTACACAGCAATCCTGCTCTTTTTTACGAAACAAGACGCCTCTTCGCGACTTACTCCATTATATATCACCCGAAATACAGAAATGTCGCACACTGCCACTCTCGACAGTGGAATTCGACGCAGCACATAGCTCCAGTTGAGCCTTCCGACCTGCCGATGGATGAATGGCGATGGACAACGAGCCCATGCCAAAGAGGCGGCGAACAGCCTCCCCGCCCCTTGCGCGAGAATCAAGCGCCGTTACGCAACCCCATATACTGCCGCCAAATACACAACCGCCAGGGGGAGAAGACGACAAGGCATACCAGCTTTACTTAGAGCGAGCGTTTGCCGACCCCCGCTTCCGTTCCACCGTTGCCCAGATATTCAACAAGTACGACGGGAAAACCGCTCGAGCTGATGAGACCATCGACCCAGTTCTTGGTAGAACATATACAGGAGATGGCAGTGCAGCCGGCCCGGCGGTCGGAACGCAGCTTGACAGCCTAGCGCACAACGATCACCTGCCATACCACCTGGATATGCGGCAATGCGAACCCAAGCAGGAAGATACCGAGACGGCCGACTATCAAGCTGGATTGAATGAACCTCACGGTCCCTATGCCACCGGGACTGCCCACCTTGGAACTGCCCCTCCTGGCTATGTACCAAATTTCGCTGACGGCGGTATGCCCCCGGGCTACGCGCAGAGCTGGTATGGGAACCCGTTTCAAGGCTCGGGAGCCTATCCATCGCAATGGGCTGGATTTACTGGCCAGTACTCAACGCCCAATGGTCCTCCAGTGACTGCAGGCCCCTGGACGGCGCCGGATAACTTTACATATAACTCAACGGCCTGGCCACCTCACGCGATGCAACCATCCCCACCAACATGTCACATAGATCCTGCGCTAGAGATGTTCGTGGAGGCAAAAAACGAGGAAGGAACCTACCATTTCGCCCAAGAGGAGGAGAGTACGGGAAGCTATGAGCCAGTTACGGAGTATTATTTCGATGCTCTAGGTCGCAAACGACGGCGGCGGCTGGCGCAGCCTCGGTTTTCTAAGAACGGCAGGCGATTAGGCCGCCCCCCAAAATCAGCTGAGGAATTGGGCATCTCTACCGACAGGGGTGCTCATGACGGCGAAGGCGAGGAGGAAAAGAACAGCGCCAGAGTTGTTGATCTGAAACCCCCGACTAGCGAATTCTGCGATGATGACGACGATACTCTCTGGGGCGAGCTAGCAGAAGCATTGCAGCTGGCATCAAAGGCAACATCGAAGAAAAGAAACAACAATAGCACCAAACCGTCACAAAAGGGAGAGAATTCCGCAACCGAGTCCGATGGAGCGGCTGAGGCGGAAAAGGATACTGACCAGGGCGAAATGATGCTGCAAAAGATACAACAGGAGCTCATTGATAGGGCTGTTCGTCGCTCCATAGCTAAGGAAAACGGCGACGATACAGACGTTGCCGCCGAAGGCCGGAGGCGGTCGGGACGTGAACGAAAACCGGCCAATTTTGGCGAGCAAGTATCGTGGGACAAAGTCTCTGCAGAGCGGCGCACCAGCTATAAAATCAAAATGCATCTGCGAGCATTATCCGTGCAAGCGCGACGAGAAAGGAAAAGGAAGGAAAAAGAAGAGGCCGAGGCGGCAGCTAAGGAAAAGGAAGAGGCTGACAAGGCCAGGAAAGAGAAACAAGAAGCAGAGGAATTGGCTGCTGCTACTGCTGCCGCCGCTGCCGCCGAAAAAGATGACATGGGAGAATCAAACAAGGCGATGCCGTCTACGATTCCCGATTCCCAGGATACAGTCACAAGTTTACCGATTCGAACTACGCCGAAAAAGCCACAATCAACTCAAATAATGCGTCAAACTATCAAGAACCATGTCAACAGTGTGGTGCACTTCGAAGAAGACGATGAAGCGCTGTCAGATCATGAGGCATCCGCAGCCTTCTCTATCAAGGACCCTGCTTTTTCCTTTAAGAAGCCAGAAATTCGAGTGCATAGCTTCCTGGGAGAAAACTACATGGATACAGTTTATGCTCTTTCTGATGATGAAGCCCCGACGTTGCTTGCTTCCATGAAGCGGGTTTCACTAGGCAAAAAGAAGAAGCTACAGCTAGGTCCAGCAGCCGTGCGCCCCAAGGAAACGGCCAATGTGGCAATGCAAAATTGCCCCGAGAGTTCCAAGCACATTACTGCTAGTGAAGAGGCAGAACACCATGCGAGCAAGGCACCCAGCCCGAGCCCCGACATCGACACAGACGCGGTGCTAAATTCCATCACGGACACAGCGGCTGTGCAAGAACCGCCCTGTAAGGCGACAGAGTCAGATGACACAACGGGATCATCTATCCCTAGCGGCGGAGATGGCGATGATAGCGGTATTGATATCCGAAGTGAACAAACGTCTTGTGAGCGATCAAATCGACCCCCAGCGAGAGATCCTATACCAGCGGTTCCTCTGTTCCAAGACCAAAATCTCCTGGGAGCTGAACATATACTGGACAGCCTTGACGTAATGTCGGAGGCCGAAGAAACCGCCTCCAGCCCGGTCAGTGAATATGGGCTGGCAACGGAGGACACACAGATGAATGACGCCGACCCCTTTACCAGTAACGTTCCGGCTTCGTCAAGATCGACCGACAAGCCACCTTTTGTCGATGAAGTGCCCATGTATGAAAGTATGGATACCTTTGAAGATCTGCCCGCGGATATTCCGCTGATGAGCGAAGAGGTAGAAATGGGGTATGATCAACCTGTGGAGCCAACAGTGAAGGCTCTCGAGCAGAATACTGCAAGAGAGAAGAGTGCCAAGAAGCAGACCGCACAGGGGCCACCCGAAGCCCAAAAAGAACTCCCAAACGCAGTATTTGCTCGACCAAAGCCCGATGAACTTGACATCGATAGGGAGGAAGAATCTCAGCCACTTCCGCCTGAGAGCGCGTCAGTATCGCCACCAGCGCGGCGTCCGCTTCCACAGCAAAGCAAGTCACAGCGGAGCTCGGGCAGGCAATCCTCGTCTACGTTGACCTCGAAGACACCCACGCAAATGGCAACATCAAAGGAACCATCGCCCAACAGCACAGGAGAGCGATCGAGGCTGCCGTCATCGAGCTCGTCGCAGACACCAGCTCCCGACTCCAAATCTGGCCGTGTTAGGAAAGGCTCCTCATCCTCACGACGGTCTCTGTTGTCTCTTACCGGCGGGGAGGATGACATAGAAAGTCTCCTTAAGCGGAAACCTACCGCCTCCGCGGCCAAGTCCACGCACAGTGCCGCGCCAACGCCTTCTTCTTCCTCATCGTCGAGAAAGCCTAGCGCTGCGTCATCCTTTGGTAGCTCCTCGCGCCAGAAATCTAAATCACATGCCTCGACCTCCTCCTTAACACGCTTAAGCCTGGGCTCTTTGCCGTCGCTCTCGCGAGACAAGTCGAGGTCTAGCAAGGAGCGCCAGGAAGCAAAGGAACGCAGGCGCAAATCTGCAAGTGTGACCCCAAGCGCAACCGGCTCGTCAGAGGCGAAAGGCACATGTGGTGTTGATGGATATACTTGTGGGAGGGACTTTTGCTTTACCTGTTTATAAGCGAAGGCTCACAATGCCTGACCGCATCATTAGCATCTTTTTTGCAAGGCATGAAACTCGGGAGGACAAGAGAGTTGTCTTTTTTTGGATTGCATACATTTTGAAATCTTGGGGCCATTCTTTACATCAATGATAGCCTATATCTACTGAAATCAACAATTAAGTAAAGCAAGTTTAATGCTGAGCCATTGATCAGCTTTTGAGTGAGTCTATATAAATGTTTTTTATTTTTATTAGAGATTTCGCTTTCATAAAAATCATAACCATAAAACGAGAGGAACAGAACTTGTACCGGAAAGAGGAGTACAAGATGGACCAGGAACACGAGAAACAAAAAAAAGCACTAAGCAAAAGGAACAAAACGACTTCTCTCCATACTGTAATGAAAAGAAAGCAAAGGGGCGAGCCCAAGTCATCCAACCCTGGTTCCCCTTATCCTGTTATATACGCACTTTCCGCCATGTTCGATGTGCAGTATAAGATCGTAAGCTGGGCCACAATTCCCCGATCAACGCCGGAAAGCAAGCCCAAGAAGAGTAAATAAGAGTGAAGAAAACAACTCCATTGCAGAAAGCAGACGGACAGAGAGTTCCTCGACGACCGCTTTGCGATAATGCATCGCCGAGGCAGTGGACAGAGGAGTTTTCTTGTCTTTCTGCTCCATCCTACATGTTCTTGTAAAGTTCAAAGCTCAAACTGCGCCACGGACACTCCAAATAATGGTTGTCTGGCCTTATCGTTCCATGCTTGTCCGCGGGGGTTGCATGAGGAGAATCTGTGAAATTCTGTGGAGTGAAAGAATAAGAGGGGTATCGCGGATTATAGACGAAGTCATTTGCCTTAGCCTATTGTCTGGAAAAGAGCTGGATGTGTTAATCTTGATGGCATACTCCTTCCTAGTGGGCAGCATGCGCTCTGGCAAACGCATAGAATACCCAAAGAGGGTTATAGAGCGCGTGTCGCTCAAGAGGTCTTATAGGATCCGTCAACGCTTGAGTTAGCGAGATTCTGCTTGAAGACCTCAGGATCGCGAACGGGGTCAAAGTAGGCGTGGCCCTGCGCCTCCTTGGCAGTGAGGCGTTCTTGGTGATCGTAGCGGAGCAACTTGTCGAGGAAGTTGATGGCCTCATTAGAGACAAAGCGCTGGTTCTCCGACGTGACAAAGCTGTGCCAGGGCTTCTTCTGGAAGCGGCCAAGGATGTCGTCGTATTGAGGGTCGAGCTCAATCTCGTACTTATCGAGGTACTCGAAGAGCTCGTCAGTGCCAAGAACTTTGGTAATCTTGACAAGTTGATCGGTATTGCTCTGGCCATGGAAAAAGGGCTCTTTTCGGAAGATCATGGACGCAAACATGGCTCCAAGGCTCCACATGTCAAGACTGTAGTCGTATTCCTGGAAGTCAACGAGTAGTTCAGGACCCTTAAAATAGCGAGAGGCGACTCGGACGTTGTACTCGGTAGTGGGGTGGTAGAACTCGGCTAGACCCCAGTCGATGAGACGAAGCTTACAATCGGAGTTAGCAAAATAGGAAGCGACAGTCTAGGAAGCGTATCTAGAGGGAGCGTACCGTGCGCTTCTCGTGATCAATCATGACATTGTGTGGCTTGACATCGCGGTGCATGATACCCTTGCTGTGGCAGAAATCCAGGGCTTTGAGGAGCTCGAAAATGTAGTAGCGGACATCTAAATCGTTGAACTTAGGGTACAAGTTGCGGAAGTCGGTGTTGTTGACATATTCGAAGATGAGCGACGGCGTTTTGCTCTAGTGATTATGGCGGGTTGGTCAGCTCTGGAAGGCAACATGCAGCGATAGACAGGCAAAAGCGACGCCAATGGGAGCTTACCTGCGAGTCGCGGACAACATCGAGGAGTGCAACGACATTGGGTCCGCCGGCAAGGTTCTGGAGAATCTTGATCTCTCGCTTAATCTTCTTCTTCTTAACAGGCTTCAAGACCTTGATGACGCATTTCTGGTAGTTGACGATGTTGATACCCTCAAAAACTTCCGAGTACTTTCCACGACCTAGAAGAAGGAAAATACATAGGTTAACAAAGCTGTGTTCATTTGGATGGTTTGCGCGCCGGTCGAGTTCGCGCGGGGTTTATTTTGTGCATATTTTTCATTCTCCCTGGCGAGCCGATGCGTCGGGAAGGGTGAAGGTCGCGTACCAATCTTGCGAACAACTTCGTAGTTCTCCAAGACGCCCCAACCTGGTATACTGAGTTAGCACAAGGCCTGAGTTACGTCGGCATGGGAGCGGAAGATGGTGCAACATACTGATGTTGACGCTGTCGTAGTCCCAGTAGCTGCGGGGCATGTTGGAGTTGACATCTGCGTAGACGCGCGCCATCTTGGGCGAGGGGGGGGGCGTAGGCTGCGCGACGCGATGAAAAGGAATGGACCGATGAAGAGTGCAATGGCACGAGAAGATGACGATAGGCAGGCGAGGAGCAGTGGCCGGATGGCGAGGCGGTGGTTCAGCCGAAGGGCACCGTGTTGTGTTTGGCTCTGGGTTAGTATGCTCGGGGTCTCGAGAAGCGGGCAAAATCAGGATTAGCGGGTGGGTGGTTTTGGTGGTTGGTGGGATGAGAAGCAGGCCGAACCAGGCTAGAGGGGAAAAGGCTAAAGCGTGTTGTAGGTGCCTTAGGTAGAGAGGCTACCAGCGGAGGCCGAACAGCACCAAGTCACTGGCAATATTATTAGGACCGCGGTTTGGCTGAAAAATGTACAAGAATTCACCAGGCATTTATTCCAGCAATAAATTAAATCTTGCAAAAAATACATCCAGAAGCAGTCAAGAAGCCATCTTTATCCATTAAATTCATGGCGCAAGCATGGAATTGTGCCGCCAATGAAACCAACCCATCCCATTTCCAGCCAGCCCAAAAAGCAGACAAAACCTAGCTCAAGCAACATGTTAGCCAGATTTCCCCTCGCCAAATGCAACAATAAGGGAACAGTTATTTCTGCGGCATCAGAGAGAAGATTAATGTCTCGTCCTCTTAGCATCCTCAAGCCTCACCATCAGCAGCAGCCATGGTTCCTAAGCCCTTAACGCCAATCTGACTAAGGATGACGATACAAAGGTTTTCATCATACACCGTTCAACAAAGTCCAGAACAAAAAGAGAAAAAAGCGTTCTCACCTTGTAAAGTATGGATATCCATAAACGCCATCATGTTTCGTTAATCGTAATCGAGAGAGTCCAGACCAGCTTCCACAACGTCCCATGTCCGTTTCCGCAGATCTGGCTTTGGCTCCCGTTTGGCTTGTTTGTTTCGTCTCTTCTTACCCTTTCTTTCGTCTCCTGGCTTGCTCGTGGCACCCGAAGCATGCTGAAAACTGCGTGTATCATGCTCTTCAGACGAAATTACCGACTGTGGTTTCTTCGATGCCTTTTCCTTGGCGCGTTCAAGCTCTCGAAGCTCAGAATGGCGAAAAATCTCGATTTGCTCGTCTGTCAATGTCCGTTTCACCCCATCTTCATAGTAGCCCAAGTCGTCCTCTTCTTCCCAGTATCCTCCAGAGCCGTCATTCAAACTAGTAGCTGGAAGGTCTGGCGAAACAAACTCCTGCCGGAAGCTGCGCACTGCGTTGCTGGAAAAGTGAGCATCGTGGAAAGCAGCTAACGCATCCTTTTTGAAAGTTAGCCAATCTGTCAGGAGAAAAGGGAAAAGATACAGGATCATACAGGTGAAATATTTGGCACTTTGAATGCTTGACTCGGGTGCGTATCATGATGTGGCATCCTTTCACCCACGCACACATTTCATGGTTGCGTACGAGGAGCCAGCCAGGAGAGAAAGCCGAGAGGGACAGAGGTTCAGGGAAAGCATCACGTGCCCCACTTTGCAAGCAGACGAGACAGTAGTGCCTATCAACACGTAAATAGAAAATGGGCAAGGAAAGCCATGTTTTTGAACGCCTCTAATGTTATGGGTGAGTCTGTTTCGTTAGAAAACCATTTCAAGAGCAGAAAGCCAACAAGACACTCTTGCTGGCGGAGCGAACTTCAGCTCGACTTGAGCAGCGCCAGGGCACTCTCGAATGCCCGGACAACTTCGACGTCTGACAAAAAATTAGCTAGGGGGTACTTTCGGGGCGTATATTGGGCACGGACAATGTTTCTGTTTCTGTGAAAGCTTCTCCTCGGACAGGTTGACAAAGCGCTGTCTAGTCTGCAAACGCTTCACGGCTCTAGCATCATCGTGAGAGGATGCCGCGGCAGCCCAGGCTTGGAAGTACTGTTGATGGGTCAACATGAAGCTCTTTTGAATACCTTTTGCGGCCCGCGTACCTTAGATAAGGATTCTGCCTCCTTTAGGATATCTGCCTCCTCCTCGCCTGCTTTTAAGAGGGCCGCCTCATACCGAGACTCAAAACCGTCCCAGTCGAAAGCATGCAGCTCCTCTAGGTCTTCCGGAGATGAAGGGTCTGGTGTATGGTGCTGTGGTGTCTCTGAAGATTGAGCTTCGGAAGCTTCGTCTTGATTCAGCTCGGTGTGGCCATTGAGGTGCGGAACATGGTCGGTGTTTGAGAGCTGCTCTTCGATGCCGTTTGGCTCACCTGGTGGTGTTGCCATGGTATGAATTGATGAAGAATGGTGTAGGAGACTACCCAGAGGCGGTAAACTTAAACTCTGATGAATAAGAGACCGACAATGATGGGCAGAGTGGCATGCCGAATGGACGAGGAGGTTTCGTTCGTGTCTTGCTTTGAGTTGGTCAGGCGACAGGTCGCGACGCGGTGTCCTGCTCCTTCCTCTTTGACTGGGTGGGTGCGTAGCCTATCGGTCCCCTAATAAATGCCGCCTGGAAGGCCATGACGTACCGTACTAAATATAGCGGCTTGACGCCTGTACCTCAATTTATTAGTGGTGGAATTCCCAAGCCATTCAGTGAGTGTACGGAGGTACATACATACATATGTACATAACCTCTCAACTCAGAAGCGGACCCGCTGTAAATTCAAAGCCCCTGTCTTGCGGATTGGCAGGCCCCAGACCCAACCAACTCCGTTACCGATTCAACTAACAATGATGCGCGTGACATCTTGGCTCATTCAAACGAACATCATCTGCCCGCTTCCATCTCGCCTCACCAACTCTTCTTCCTTCCATAGCTTCAAGCATCTTTCCAAACTACTCTACCCGTCACAAAGGCCCGCCCCAGTGATGCAACATAAATCACCATCTCCGCATCGCTTCCTCAATAGCCCGCGCAGCAACAACAGCCGCCACCGCCATCATGAGTTGCTACATCTGCCTGCGCGGCCATGATGCGCACAAGCTGCCGTTCCTTTGTCCCATGGACGCCAGAAATCAAATTTACAGCGACCGCATCAAACACGCGCAGCTTCTTGTCGAAAACGAAGGTCTCCGCAGCCACATCAATACCCTAATAGGTGGCGCGGAGGCCGTCGACGCCGGCAAGGCTGCCCAAACCCTAGCCGATGACGGCACCACACAGATTCTAGAGTCGGCAGACAGAGTCCGACAGCAGATTCGCGACGCAAAAGAAGATATACGTCAAAGGAGGGCCGCGCTCTCAACCCGTCGCTCACAGCTTGCCGCAGCTTCTCATGGTGACTCGGATCGCCGCTCCAAGGACCAGCGGGACGTGGAGAAGTCGACGCAGATGTTCAACTTTCGCTGGTCGCAGAGCGCAGAGGATATGGCAGTTACCCGCGCCTTTTTGTGCAGAGAGGCCGTCAAACTCTACGGCCTAAAAAGGACGCGAAAGGGGGCCTCTGGTCGTTATGAATACTTGCTTGGCAGACTCCCAATCATTGATCTAAGAGACATGGAGGGTAACGTCATCCACCATACCCATCATACTGCGCTTTTCTCTCATGCTAACTTATCCGCAGCGCAAACACCAGAGGCAATTTCTACCTCACTTGCCCACATATCTCATATCTTAATGCTCATTGCCCATTATCTCGCCGTGCGCCTTCCAGCAGAGATCACACTTCCTCATCGAGATTATCCGCGGCCAACCATATTCAACCTTGCGGGCTCCTACCACCACGGCCGTACCTCATTCCCTGGCACGCCAAGCGCAACCACCATACTAAATGAAACACAACAAACAAGTTCGCAGCATTTACCGACGCCACGGCCGCTGTACATTGACAAACCGCTGCGCCAATTTGCCAAGGAAAACTCTGCCGCTTTTTCCTTCTTTCTCGAAGGTGTTACTTTGTTGGCTTATAACATCGCCTGGCTCTGCTGCTCACAGGGCGTTTCGATTGGCGATAAGAGCTCCTTTGACGATATATCTAACATGGGCAAAAACCTTCACAGCCTCCTTGTTAGCTCATCTCTCCAGGGCCCAACGCTCGCAAACGCAGCGAATGACGATAGGCCCGGAACGAGTAATAAAGACGAAGTGACCCCGAGTTGGATAGGCCGTTACTCACACGGCACTGCTTTTTACGCCCTCGCCGGGGCTGACGGCACCGAGCTCGTCAGGACTTTCAAACTGCCCAGTCCCATGAAGCTCGCGGACAAGCTAAAAAAGAAGATCCTCGGGGAAGCATCCGCGCCGGACTGGGAGCTGTTGGAAGACGATGCTTGGAAAGTGGATGACGCTGCCGGAGTCGAGCCCGGCAAAGAGCTTCCTGCTAACGGATCCCAACCACTAAAGTCAGAGTCAAGGGGGTGGATGAAAGTTAAGAGTAGATAAGTACAATCATCTATCCAATATACAGGATTCTAATGAGACAATGAAACGAATATCAATGAAAATGGTAAATTTCAATTCATGATTCCTTGGGTATCTTCCTTTAACTCCAAACGCAGCCATACAAGAATAAACACAGACAAAACAAGACAAGACATTTTCCTCCGCTTTCCTCCTCTTGGGACGCCATCTCTAGACAACCAGGCAGCCAACCGCAAGCACAGGACCAGGATATTCAGCTGGAGGACAACCGCTGGGCTTCTTTGTGGACGCCGCGCGTTCCGAGGCCTTGGAGGGACCAACCAGCACGCTCCGGGGGCACCCCAAAAGAGGTTCCCTTCACCGAGCGACCAGCTCCCCCTTCGCCTCCGCGCGGGCCAGGACATTCAGCCGGAAGACCGCCGCTGGGCTTCTCTGCGTACGCCGCACGCATTCCGAGGCCCTTGAAGGGGATCAGCCAGCGCGCTCCGAGGGGGAACCCCAAAAGAGGTTCCATTCACCCGAGCGACGACCCGGCTTCCCCCTCGCCTCCGTGCTGCGGCCAGCACCAGCGGCGGCGACGCTTCCCTCCGCCTCCTGATTTGTTCGTTTAGAGGCCGAGGTTCAGCATCGCGTTCATGCTGTCTTCCATGTCCATCTGGAGGAACCACTCCTCCATTTCGGCCTTCGCTTTGGCCTCGTGCATTGCTGCCTCCTCCGGGGTCCACAAATCCCAGGGTTCGGGCTCAGGCGCAGGCGACGGCGATCGTCTCGGGGAACGGCCCTTGAAGCCGGTCGCCCCCCAACCGTGCTGGCCATCGTACTCCTCGTCGTCGTCGCAATAGATGGCGGGAGGGGGCCAGGCCGGCCCGAATTCCACAGGGGGCGGCGACGGCGTCAACCGCTGCCGCTCCGGCTCTGGTTCGGGCGCTGCCGCATGCTGCGGCTCAGCTTGCGGCTGCTGGTCTTCCGGCAGCTGTGACTCTGGCAGCGCCGATTCCTATTCCGGCGGCTGCTGCGTCAAGTCCAGCTCTGACTCCGGCGGCGGTGACTCCGGCAGCTTTCTGCGTCAAGTCCAGCTCTGAGCTTCTGCGTCAAGTCCAGCTCTGAGTGCCAGCTTTCCTCTGGCTGAGGTTCCGGTTGTTGCAGCTCTGGCACTGGCTGCGCGTCTGCTCGGTCCAGCTCGGCCATCAGCTCCTGCTCTATCTGGAGCTGCTCCTCTTCCTCTCGCCGCTCCTGTTCCTGGAGCTGCTGCTCCGCCTCTAGCTGCAGCTGTTTGTATCGCTGCTGCGCTACCAGGAGCTGCTGCTGTGCTTGAAGCTGCCGGTCTGCGTGGAGTTGCCGGTCTGCCTCAAGCTGCCGGTCTACCTCCCGCTGCCGGTCTTCCTCGAGCTGCCGGTCTTCCTCGAGCTTCCGGTCTGCCTCGCGATGCCCGGCCTCTAGCTGCCTCTCGGCCTGCTGGCGGTCGGGTGCAGACTGCAGGTCCGGTGCAGACTGCAGGTCCGGTTCTGACTGCAGGTCCTGGCTTGGATTTGCGGCTATACGCTCGTCAAACTCCAGCCAGACCTTGTCCTTGTGTTCTTCCGGAAAATCCTGCTGCGCGAGCTGCGGAAGCTTCGGCGCGGGCGCTGGCTCCGGCTCCGGCTCCGGCTCCGGCTCCGGCTCTGAGGCGTCCCAGTCCATCTCCTCGCCCTCCACCTGCTGTTGCCTGTTAGCCACGCCGACGGCGACGGCTCCCCAGCAGGTGGTGGCTCCTCCGAGCGGCCACCCCGCGTTGCCTGCGCCGCTCCCGTCGGCCCTCTTGACGATCATCCCCGGCATTGAGCAGCAGGCGGCTTGCTCCTCGAGGACCAGCATCGCGCCGGTCCACTCGAGCCCCGTCATCGGGTCGCCCCGCTCCAGCTCCTCGAGCCGCTCGATGCCTCCCAGGCACAGCGCCAGCTGCCTGTGCCCGTACGTCTTGCGCCGCGGCGGCGACTTGCAGACGCGTGCCTCCCTGGGCATCGTCTCGAGCTGTCGCCGCCGCGCGCGTCTCGGGAGTTCTCGGTTATCGTCGTGGTCGACGTCCGGGCGCGCTTTTGGTCCAGCGCCCGGCCCAGACCGCCCGTCAGGGGCTTCGGCGGCGCGTCAAAGTCGACGCAGCCGTCCTTGCTGTGGCGGCGGTGGCGCCGCCGTCTGCGTGCGGCGGACCCCGACGTCTCTGTGCTCGTGGGTGACGGCAGGAACGGTGTGCCGTCGCCGCGGTGCTGCCACTCCCCGCACCCCATGCTGATATCTGGGCAGGCGGTGTCCGGCGGGGGAGTCATCGGCACGTCTGGAACTATCGGCCCCGTGCAGTAGTATTCGGGGCCGTCCAGATCCATCTCCATCGTTTCCGAGGCGGGCCCGTACATGAAGTGGTGGTACGCACCCGCCTCGCCTTCTGCCAAGTGGCTGGGCCATCCAGCCGGGCTGTGCTGAGTGAGGAAAGTGCCCGGTGATGCCGCAGCCCCTTGGCCCCAGTTTAGAACAGAGAACCCGATCATCTTTTGGTTCAAGTTCTCTGCTCTGGGCTTGTCGTTCTCCTCGACGCTCTAGCGTCGTGTAAGAGAGGGCGGAGGAGAGAGAAGGTGGAATACCCCGACCAGGCGGTATTCGAAAGGGGTGAGATCCTATGGTTTCTGTTCTGTGTTGGTCAACCAAGACTGTTCATCTAGGAAGCTGAGTGTAGCAGAAGCCCACGTCGGGCCGGGGAGGTGCAGGGACAAGGCATGGTATCCGATCTCGTAATCGATTCGACAACGCTCTGGGAAGGGAAGAAAGAGGGATGGTCTCGAAATCGCAAGGGATGATGAAGGTTCCCAGGGGTCTCCAGTGCATCGACGCCAGTGCAGTGACTTGTACATACATCGTGATTGACACAGGATCGACATGTATGAAGGAAGTTTGTTGCAATGAAGTGTCTCGTTTGAAGAAGTTCGAAGTGTTGTTATCAAGTTGATGTGTTTTCAAACGAGAGGCAAAAAAGCTTTGTTGCTAAAGTTGGAAACAGGAGGCAGACATTGCACGAGCGAACCGCTCATTATATATGGAGTTCGGGGAGGACCAACGAAACACCATCACCGTCACCTAAGCATTATCCCGTGACCTCGCTGAGTCCTGTTTTGTCCTATCCCTCCTGTGCAACAGGAAATTGAATAGTCCCAAACCAACGGAGCACAAGAAGCAAGGTATTTGGGCTGTGTCGCGTCGGCGGGCTGCCTGGTGCGACTTGGCCAGCGAGACAGCGTGAAAGTGGCTCGCAAAGAGCCGATCACGAGAATACACAAGAAAATGAGGTGGCTGGTAAATACAGCAAAGAATAATAGTTCTCGCCGTGGTACAGGTTCGTTGTTGGTACCTTTTCTTTGAGGCACTTCGCTTGGCATCGTCGATCGAGTTGGTCGGGCCGTTTGTAAACCAACGGTATCCGCACTACCCGCTTGTCAGTAAATAGGCAGTATATATATATATATATATTTACATTATATATTAAAGCTTACGTTTACTGCCAGGGCCTATACTACCAGAATGTGGGCGAGTTCGCTGATGGTGGGATGCCTTCGCCTCGGATTGGCCGTGCCGACAGCAGGGATCATCCGTCGTTTGCATGAATGATGCTACAACGGCATAATGGTTCCCTTACTAGCGCTAAGTTCAATCGTATATTCAGTCCCAAGCAAGATTAGGCTTTGGCTGCAGGGGGGGAAGCGTTCGAATGAATGCTGAGAAACAGGTGGCTAGAAAACCCCTCTCCGCTCATGATAGATAAAAATCCAAAAAAAAAAAAAAAAAAAAAAAATCATATCCTATCCTTTGCCCAAGAAATTCAGAATCCATTCCTGTCATACCTCAACCACAGTGCGTGAGTGCAGTCATTACGCCAATCAGAAGCTACTACTTCCGCCCTCGAGCCAGTAACCGCCGGTGCAACTCGACGAAGATATCGCTCCAGTTCTCATCCATCGTCCCTATTTGCCGTCCAATCTTCGATGCCAAGAAGTCCCCGATCTTGGTGACTTTGAAATTTTCTCCATACACAACTGCCACTGACGATGCTATATCCATGTCCAGCCCCTTGGTCAGGTTCTGGTTCTGGAGTTCCAAAGTCACTTGTACCCTTGTGCGGAAAGGCACCACCAGCATCGAGGTTACCACCTCAATGCTCGAATCAGATGTCTTGCGCACCTGTGTAGGGAATGTCGAGTTGACGCGCCGTATCTGAGACGAGAGCCGAGTCGCTCGGTTCCACGACTGTTGCACGATGTTGAGCAGCCCCGAAATCGTCGTCGTGCTCTGCTGCAGTGCTCGTATGTAGTCCCGAATACACTGCAGAAAGAAGTCTTTCTCAACCGTTCGAGGGAGAGGGTCTTTTTCTCGGCCATCGGCAATATACCACAAGTCAATCTGCGAGTTGGCTCCTCCAGGTTGAAATGATGTTACGTCAAAGACAATCTCAATCTCGCGCCTGTATGTCATGGACAGGCTCGTCCCATGAACCCCAGTCACTGCCCATCCAACCTTCTTCTCCAGTGCCTCCGCCCGCCCTGCACACTCGTGTTAGCAAACATTCATGCAGCCAGTCTTGCGTTCGCCCTCACCTTTGAGACTATTGACTTCTGCGCTACTCCAGCCCCGGCAATTTTCTCTTATCTTCTCTGATTGGGCTATGTCGGCTAAACAGCTGGCCTTCTTGGTCGACAATGATTCGCTACTCGTTTGCGCAGCCTGCAGCTGCAGTCGTAGCTCAGCGATTTGCCCCTTCTTCGCTTCAATGTCGGCATCCAGAGAAACGAGTTCCTGGCGGGCCGAGCTGAGTTCTTCGGGGTCGCAATCGGCGATCTCTTGGGCCGCTTCCTCCAAGGTGCCGTGTTCTTCCTCCAGCGCTTCATAGGTACTTGTGAGTCCGGGCAACACCGATTCCAATATGTCCATTTGTTCTTTCAGGGCTTGGCAGTCTCCATCCATGTCACTGGAGATCTTGACAAGGCCTTCTCTGAGCCCTTCTTGGAGTTTCATTCTCCACTCATACCACATGGCTTTACTTAGAAGACGGGAATGCGTCTTGACGTTCTTGAATTGGTTATTCATCAATGCCTTGACATCCGGCGCTGCGGTGAGGTATTCTCGGAATAACGCTGGGTTATCTTCAAGAGTATCTGCCTCGATCTCCTTTACCATTCGCCGCCCTTCTGCTATGTATTTTTTTAGTTCGCGGCACGAATGTTGATAGAGCTCAAGCATTGGCACAGTGCAGGCACTCGCTACTACGCAGCGCTCCAATGACATATCATCCTCGCCATTAGCAGTAGTGCCGTCTTGTAAAGTTCCAGGAGCGGTGGTGTGGCGTCGCTTCGTCGTTTGTAATTCCATGAAGCGAACAGAAATCAAGTTGAGGAAATCTTGCAGATGAATTCGTTCTTCGTCGTTTTCCTCTGTGTGGTTTTTCTCGGTCGAGTCGATATTTGTCCCATGCACCGTATGGTTCTCTTTCCTATACAGTGCGTCTTCTCGGGGCGAGGTCGCGTGTGTAGCCTTCAATGGGGATGAAAGACTTTGGTGGAGTTCTGGAGCAGTCATCTTACCGCGGAACCCAAAAATGTCTCCAGAAATTCCACCCGATTTTGTCGGCTGTTGCAGTCTAACATTCTTAACAGGACTGCCTTGATGACCACGGAGGCGCTTAACACCGTCATTGTCTTCCACATCCTCATCATCGAGCTCCACAGGGCGTTTACCAAGGAGGCCTCTGGCGCTGCCAACATGTAAACTCTTGCGTCCCTTGAGTGGTTTTCGACCAGGGCTCAGACTGTCAATCATCTCCCTCAAGTTGAGAGTCGCATCCTTGTCATCCTGTCGCTGGCCAAATCTTGGGATCGCGCGCTCGCGCTCTTCGTCGCGACTTCGTTCATCGTCCACCTCTCTGGATAGCGCTTTGGGGTCTTCAAAGGTGACCAAACTTTTGCCAGGTATGAACTTGCTTGCAGAGTCTCCGATGGAGCTTCGACGGTCAAAGACCTCAGCAATTCGTGGTGACCCCAAGCCACTTCGATCAGCTCCAACTCCTGAAACACGGCGAGTCTCTGGCGTAGCATAGTTCGCGGGGCTGTTCTTGGCCGATTCAGGCTTACGATGAAGCACGGGCGTTGCATTGCTTGAACTCTTGGCCGGCGACGGTGCGGTGGATTTGGTGGGAGACTGGGTCTGCCTTGTTGGAGACTTTGCGGGAGAGAGTCTGCTTGATCGCCTTCTGGCAGATGTTGGGGCTTGTGGGCTATGGCTCTGAGACTTGCGGGGTACTCGGGCAGGTTGCAACGTAGGCTGCTTTGTTGGAGAAGATGACTTCCTGTTGGTTCGTGGTGTTCTTTGTTCTTCTGGGCTTGGCTGTTTACCGCGCAACGGAAGCAGGCCAGCACTGAGGTTGGGACTCTCCGAAAGAGCAGTGCGTGACGATCTTCGTCTGGGTTGTTGTTTCGACATGGCATTGAATATGGCAGTCTTTGGACTGTTTGGCTTGTCCGCCTCTTCCACCATAATTTGTCTGCCAAGGCTGCGCCGTCCCTGGCTGTTCAAAATGCCTCCAATAGCCGCTGTCATATCCATGCCTCCTGTCAGATCCATGTCGACGCTGGTTTCGTCGTCGTCGCCTTGAGGCTCAACTGCAGAGTCGTGGTGAGCTTTATTCGATAAAATGCGACCAACGCCAATTGTCATATCCATAGTCGCATCAACCTCTGCCAGCTCGTTCAGAGTCCGTCGGCGCGTGGCATCAATACTTTTGCGTTTGTTATTTCCAAGAACACCGCCCATGGCCATTGTGAACTCCATGGACATTTCTTCGTCGCCAGCGCAGTCATCCGTCGTATCATCATAGGCAGCAGAGCGGATGCCACCTAGCGCCGTCGTGAACTCCATTGTCGCTTCCTCTCGTCGGGGTGTATCATTTGGCACGTCTCTTATTGGGCTACTTTCAGGAGATTGGGCTGGCAAGATCCCGCCGAAAGCTTTTGTAACATCCATCGACATTTCCGCCTCGTCCTCAGATCCGCCGACCTCATGGGGCCTGATGATGCGTCCCATGTTGTGAGTGATGTCCATCTCCATCCCAGCCTCAGTATCTTCGGTATTTGAGTAACTGGGTCGCGAGGCCGCAGCCGTCGGACCAGCCGAGCTGCTCTGCCTCTTTGTGTCTTTTTTGATCCATCCAAAAGACGGAATGATTTCCTCGTCATCTTCTTCGGCCTCCTCCGCGGCCTCCTCGCCTGCTTTATCGTAGTAGTCGTCAAGTCGCTGAGTTCCCGCTCGTTCAGCGGCAAGTCTGAGCGCTTCCTCGAGCGTCGAGGATTCATTGTCAAATGGTGCCGAGCGATCCGAGGCGATTGTGGTTCCAGTGACTTCTTCGGTGTCAATCGTCATCATCGTCCCATCGTCGGAGTCACTATTAGACATTTCTTCTTCCTCCGCATCCTCCACTTCTTCCACGCCGTCAGCCGGCTCCGAATCGTCGCTATAAAGAATCGAAGTGACACTATCATCATCCTCATATCCAGTTGCATTTGCTGCTGAGCTGCGTCGCTGTTGAGGGGTCGCCTGGGGCTGCCCGCCGGTGACATTGGATGATCGGCGGGATGAGTAGTCGGTGGAGGCAGTCGAGTCTTGCATATCTATATCATGAAAAGTGTGAAGCGTAGCTTCGGCAGCAAAAGAGACCCTGCGGTTTGCGAGCGACTTGCGACGGGCATCTCGGCGGTCTTGCTCGTCGCGTTCACGCGCTGCTGCTTGTTGCTCTTCTTCGGTGCGTAGAGCAATCCTAGATCCAGTAAAGTCGCCGCTCTTCGAATTACGAGGAGACTTTCGACGTATTGTATCATCACTACCAATTGAGGCTCGTTTTGCGGATTTAAGTGAAGGTATCTCAGCAATTGCTGACATGCGCGGCTTGAGGATTGATCGTGGTGCGGCAATAGACTGCGCAGCGTTAATATTGATGCACCTCGTTAGGATCTGCAACATACTGCTCTCCTATTTCCTGTTCCAGGTCTAAGACTGTCCAGACCACCCGGCCCTATACTTTTGCTTCTCGCTTTGCGACTGGAAGCCAGCTCGCTGGCAACATCGATTGTCGCATTCTCTTTATCTCTAGCTTTCCGAATAATATGTTGTGACCCAATAGATTTTCTCGCGCGTCTTGTAGCAGGGACCGTGGCGTCGCCGGGAGAAGACATGTTGACGACGTTACCATCACAGGATGTCAGGTTGCAAACGCGCCGAACGAGGGGCTCGTGAACGGCCAGCCAAAATCTTGGAGCTGCCAATTGCCTGTCAGTGACGTTTCGCGCCAACCGCGTTTGTTTACTTTCGGCCCGCTTTGGAACGGCGCAGAGGTACCTAGGTACCTACCGATTCAACGTGGGGCTTCAAGACCAAAACGCTCCAACAGGAATCTCTTTCAACTTTTGGGTCACGTGAACGGCTTTTAGCCTTACTTCATCACGTGTGTGGGTGGACCAGCCAATCACAGCACTCGCCTAACTAGCCACTCCCAATTTTGCAAGCCCTAAGCTGCAAGGAAAGTTGCAAAAATTGGTGCGCGAATGCCCTACATCTCCATCCAGCGCAAATCTAGCGACCTTGTTCTCACCCATCCCCAAACGACACGTCCTCTTGTAACGACAATCCCCAGGCGCAGGATCATTCAAGATGTGAGAATTACCGAACGAACGTACGACGAATTATTCGCAACATTGTTTGGCTGACCGTTGTTTTCCCCCACCTCAGGGCGACCGAGTTGACCGTCCAGTCGGAGCGTGCTTTCCAGAAGCAGCCTCACATCTTCCTCAACTCTAAGACCAAGGTCAAGAGCGCCAGACCCGGCAAGAACGGACGACGATGGTACAAGGACGTCGGTCTGGGTTTCCGTACCCCCAAGACCGCCATTGAGGGCAGCTACATCGGTACGTGCGACAGCGAAAGCATCGGCTCCATTTTCCACGATCAGCGACATTCGGTGAACCGAGACGAAAACGATGATTCGAAGCGCGATACTGGATTATGGAGCTGAGACAGCAACGCAACATCGAGTTCTCGCTCCAGCTCGGCCGTACTAACTTGCGCCATAGACAAGAAGTGCCCCTTCACCGGTCTCGTCTCCATCCGTGGCCGTATCCTCACCGGCACCGTCGTTTCCACCAAGATGCACCGTACCGTCGTCATCCGTCGCGAGTACCTTCACTTCATCCCCAAGTACTCCCGTTACGAGAAGCGCCACAAGAACCTCGCCGCCCACGTCTCCCCCGCTTTCCGTGTTGAGGAGGGTGACCAGGTTACCGTCGGCCAGTGCCGTCCTCTGAGCAAGACTGTACGTTCGCCGACACCGAAACTTGAAGCAACGCTCCAATCGACGATTAAGAGTACTAATATGGCTGCGTTAGGTCCGTTTTAACGTTCTGCGTGTTCTTCCCCGTACCGGCAAGGCTGTTAAGAAGTTCTCCAAGTTCTAAAAATATTTTGGGCTCATGTTGTGGCATTTTTTGGCGTGATAAACAACAGAGGGATCGGAAATTCCCGCTGTAGGGTTGGGCACCGGAAGTTGCTTTGCACGATTGTACGGTAAAGGCAATCAAAAAATCAAAAAGATTAACGAATGCAATTAGATCATCTTGAATGACACAGGGCGCGACTGGGTGTGAACTTTGGCCCGAAATTAGCCAAGCAGGGCAATGTACAGCAACTTCTGCAACAACGCAGGTTTCCCAATTGCTAAAACATGGTCAACTAGTTGTAAATTCGACCAAAGAATGGTGTCGCGACAGCACGCCGGATCTATTCTCTAGCACTCAGCATAATTGACCACATTGAAGAAGTTTTGAGACGCTTAGTTAAATCAATGCTACTTCACTGAGTTCAACAGTTCAGTTTGATGTCATGGAAAACAAGTGCGATGTGTACAGTGTGGAGCACAGTGTGAGAAACATTGGCACCCATCTAGATTTCATATTGGCCCATACCTGCTCGCGGCCGACGATGATCTTGGTCTATTATAACCCACCTCGACATTCACAATGGGCTGGCTACCGTCAATATTCGGAGGGGGTAGCTCCAGTGACCCCCTAAGCAACTTGGACCCCAAGCTGCGCGAGTTCCTCAACAAGGAATCGCCAGTCAAATACAACGCCACCAAGGCACAGCAACCCGCAGCGCCGACAACCACCTCCACGACAGCCCCGACGGCGCAGAACAGCGGCAGCGGCGCCCCCGCGACCGGCGACGCAAAGAGCAGCGGCGTGCCCTCAGAAAGCCTGTACCAGGATGGTCGGTACGCGCACCTGTGGAAGAATTACCGACCGCTGGCGCAGATCGAGGAGGAGACCTCGACGGAGCAGGAGAAGCTGGTCAAGATCCTCGATGGGTACAAGGAGCGCAAGCAGGCGATTGGCATCGCGGCCATGGAGAACTGCGCCATCCAGCAGGAGGAGTGGATCAACTGCATGAAGAACGGCAGCTGGACCGATCAACTACAAATGTGCAGGCACCAAGTCCATCGGTACGAGCGCTGCTACACCATGCAATCGGTACGAGTTCTTCACATGCACCACCACCGCACATGCTCCACAAACCACCTAGCTAACCGCTTGCCTCTTTTTTAGCGATTCCTACGCGCGCTCGGTTACGGCTCGGTGATTGACCGCCCCGCGCAGGTCGAGGAGGACATCCAGATGCACGCCGACAAGCTGTTCAACCGCATGCTCGAGCACGAGCGGGCCGTCGCCGCCGCCAAGGAGGCAGGACTTCCCGCACCTATATTCGACTCGGTCGTGCCGCGGCCGCCGCCCCGCGCGGCGACGACGGCGACGCCCGCGGAGGATGTCGAGCGCACGTGGCGCGAGACACTGGCCAAGCTGCCCGCGGGCGACGAGCGCGCGGCCGAGGAGGCGGCGCTGCGCGCCGACTTCCAGGCTAAGGAGGATGTGGCGCGCAGCGTCAAGGAGATCATGGACGCGCGGACGAAGGAGCGCGAGGCGCGACAGGCCGCGGGGCAGGCGACGCTGACGGACACGCTGTCGGGGCTCTGGGGCGGCAGCAAAGGTGGCAAATAACGAATTGGTTGGCGTGTCGACGGGTTAGGTAATATGGCTGTTTTGAATGGTGCTTGTAGAATGACTGTACATTATATACCACATGCCCAATGAGCGAAATGCATTTTCTTAGACATAGACGCAACTTTGTGCCTGGACGAAAATCAGAATGTAGCTTTGGGACTTTTATCTTCGTATGACATCATAAGATGGATTAAGCAACGGTTCTTCAACAAATACCACAGGATCCCGTGGTCTAGTTGGTTATGGCATCTCGTTAACACCGAGAAGGTCCCCGTCCCCGGTTCGAGCCCGGGCGGGATCACCCCGGTTCGAGCCCGGGCGGGATCACGTTTTTTTGCCGTTGAGCTCAAATGGACGGACGGACGTTCACGGGGTTTTTTTTTGTTTAATTATTCATCTGGTTCTTTTTCAAACTATGTCCTACTTCCGTCTGGATCCCAGTGTCCTTTCTCCTTCTTTCAGTTTATTGGCCGGTGGTGAATTCTCTACGTTTGATGTACAAGCGTTGAGTTCACCGGCATCAGTTAAGAGACAGCCGACAACATCTACAGATGCGCTGAAGAACATATCGATTTAGAAACAAGTCTTTGAAAATTGAAATAAAAAGGACTCATAAACTGCAATTCCGACAGATGAACCACGCCTACTGCTTGCTGCCAGAAGATACGACTATTTCTACTCACTACCGACTTACCCTATACCGTGCTTGCGGTGAGACGCTAGTATTCAAATGACGAGGAAAAGTGTCGCGGGTGAAACGAATAGCCAGGACCACAGGAAAGTGAAAACACTTCGGGTGCACGGCATCAGAGAGCCCGCAGTGATTTATCTAGGAACTGGCCGGGTAAGGAGAAGCAGACAGTATGCTGCAGACCCTTGGGAATACACCGATGTGTGTATTGGGCGTTCCAATAAGAGCTTTCATGTCACAAGCAATGTAAAAAAGAAGAGTAAAATTGACGCCTACAGGAAATCTGCCCTCGCAGAATATCACATTACGCCCCTCCGAAGTGTCTATATGCCAAAAGAAACCAAGAAACGATATCCTGCGCCGTTATGCATGGGTATATAGATTGGTGATTAATGCCGAGACAAGCGAGCGGCCTTGAAGCGGCTGACGCGCTGGCCGCCTCCCTCGGTCTCGTCGAGCTCCTGGACGGGGCCCTCGTCCTCCTGCAGGAACCCTCCGCCGTCGCGGCGTATGAAGCGGCTGCGCAGACGCTGGTGCTCCGCCGCGACGCCCATCATGCTGTCGTCGACCACGGCGGGACCGGCGGGCCGCGAGACGCTGCCCTTCTCGACGAGCGTGTCGGCAATGGTCCTGCCCTCCGGCCCTGTAGGAACCGGCAGCTCCTCCTCGTCCGGCACGTGCTGAGCGAGGAAGGACGCCGGCACATCGAGGGGGCCCTTGGGGATGCTTGGTTGGTTCTGCGCGGCCTTTTTGAACCGCGAGGGCCGCTGTGATGGCGGGGCCGCAGCGGGCTTGGATGCAGCTTTGCGCTCGACGATGAGCTCACTCATGGGCTCGACGATGTCTTTGCCGCTATCGCGCTTGGACTCGGGCAGAGTTGCGCTTGGCTCCGCCTCATCGGCAATGTCGAGCTCATTGGCGAAGCGGACGCCCTTTTTGGGCTCGTTCTTGGCAGAAGTCATCTCCTTGACGATGGATTTTGTAGGTGCGGCCGAGGGAGAGGCCGAGGAGGACGGCTTCGGCTTCGGCTGAATGCGAATGCGACCGATACCCTCGCCGTCATCGTCGTCCGAGTCCCTCTCCGCAGCTTCCTCCTCCAATTTCTGGGTGAAGCGAGATTTCACGCCGAGCTTGGTCTCAAGCTCCAGCATTCGTCTTTGGTACTTGTCGGTAATCATGCGGCCGGTAAAGCGGCCGTACTTATCCTCCCCATCTTCTTCATCGTCGTCGTCGTCGTCGATGCCATCACCCTCTAGCCATTCGTCATCGTCAAAATTATCATCATCGTCATCATTCTCTTCAAGGTTGAGCTCAGCGACGACTGCGCCCATCTCACCCATGCTATACTTGAGCATCTGTTGGCGAAGGGCTGCATCATCGGGATCCTCGTCGTCAGGAATAATGGCCGGCTGGCTGCTGATACTCTCCTGCTGCTTTGCAGTCTTCATGATGCCACCTACGCGCTTCGCCATTCGTGAGATGGGAGGCGTCACCTCGTGATCTGGTTCCGACTCATGGGGAGTGACCGGTATGGACTCCTTGACCTTCTTGGCAGGCGGAGGTTTGGCAACACTGGGGCTAGCTGAACCCGACTGTCGATTTAAAGACGGAGGTTCTAATGATGGAGCATCAATGCCGGCCTTTTCAAGCGCAGCCTTGACACGTGGCAGGGCCTCGCCCGGTCGGTTTAAGCGAAAGGACAGAACATTGTCGTCTTGATCCAGTTCCTCGACGATTTCCGTTATGGGAGGGCCGTTTTCATCGACGGCGCCTTGCTCATTGGAAGCCTCGGCGTCTAAAACTTCGAGTTCCGTTTTTTCTAGCTGCGTTTGCAGGGTGCGAACGTTTTGGTTGACGTAGTCTATGCGTCGATCCAGGACGTTGACGATTTGGTCGCGAGAGCGCTGTTGTTGGCCAAAAATTTCATCGAGTTCCTTGCCGACCAGAAGCTCGCCATCGAAGCCAGCACGTATCCGCTGCAGATCCTCGACTGTCGCAGACTCGGCGAGGGCCTGCACTTCTTCCTTGAGAGCCTCATACTCGGCGTCCCATGGCTGCCAGTGCTGCAGGCCCTTTCGCTGCTCCTCGACCTTGTCCTTGAGGCGCGCAATATGGCTATCCATATCGGCGAGCGCCTCATGGACAGGAGGTGCTTGCGAAGCGCCCGCCATGGTGTGCAAAAGAGGACGTATGGGTGTTTGTGTATATGACGGAAGTTCCAGGTAATTAGTACGAAAAAAGAGAGGAAGAAAATTATGCTTTCGCTGGCGATGCTTGCTGGTGGGACTAATTTTGGTGCTGTAAAAAGCGGATCACTACCTGAACGCGCTGTCAGGGAGAACAGTGCTGTAGTACAACTTTACAGGCGTCGTTAGATAGGTGAGCTGCTCACAGTACGGGAGTATAAGAGCGATTCAAAATATTAGCAGGATGCCCTTTGCAGATCAATGACAAGCTGTTCTACTCAAGTAGCATTTCCAACTGTAAAATTCACGTCTGCGCTTTTCAGCTGTCCCCACGCTTCGAACGCCTCCGTCGTCAGGCTAGATCATTGAAGGCAGCCGCTTATCCCCATGACCGTTAATACTTAAGGAGCAAGCCGGGGGACAATCCCATCGCCAACCCGTCCGCTAGCACCCCTCTTCTTCTACAAATTTGACCAAGCAAATCTCTTCGCAACATGGAATCAACTACAGAAACTCGTACGGTTGAGGCAAAATGCTACTGTGGTGGCGTACACTTCAACCTCGATATACCTGTCGCGGACCTGCCGCTCAAGGCCTACTTTTGCCACTGCAGCATATGTCGCTATAACACGGGCACTCTGGCCAATATGCACGCCAACCTTAGCCAAGGCGTCGAACCGAAATGGGTTGCGCCGTCGAGTAGCGAAAGCCTGGTGTCGTATCATATAGACGGTGTCGGATACACACCAAAGTCGTGCTCGACTTGTGGCTGTCACATTGGCGCCGTTGGAAACGACGACGGAGGGTGGACGCTGGCAACAGCCGTCCTGAAAGAACATGGCCGCGACCTTGTCAAGATCACCTCGCACGTCTTCAGCAAGTCCGCTGGAGACGGCGGGCTGTCGGGCATCCTTACGCACGTCCAGGGCAAGGAAATAGCCACCTGGAACCCAAAGGACGACCAGCCGAGCGCAGCCGCCCCAAAGTCCAAGCCCGAAGCCGGCGCTGACGGACAGGAGAGGCTCCGGGCGCAGTGCCGCTGTGGCGGTGTCTCCTTCACCGTACCCCGACCGAACCGGGCCATGGCTGAACACGCCTACGCGAAGCACTTTGTATCACCGCTCGACCCGAACAAATGGTACGGCACGCTTGATGTCTGTGATGACTGCAGGCTCATAAACGGGACGCCAGTGGCGTCCTGGATCTTCGTTCCCCTCGACACGCTCGAGCCGACAATCGGCGAGGACCTCCGCCTCGGCACGCTCAAGACGTATGTGTCCTCGGAGGGCGTGACGCGCGCGTTTTGCGGCGTGTGCAGCGCGACAGTCTTCTTCCTGCAGCACAGTCGGCGCTACAACGAAGTGCCGGTGGTCGACATCTCAACAGGGCTGCTCAGGGCGCCGGAGGGGGCCATGGCGGAACGCTGGATCACTTGGCGGACGCGGTCGTCCTTTGAGGGCGACGGGCTTGCTTTTGACAAAGATATGGCGGAGGGAATCGTCGAGGGCATGAAGAAGTGGACAGCGGAGAGAAATGGCGGACATGTTTTGACGGGCGAGATTTGAGGCTAAAAACCTTGACGGCTGAGAGTATGTTGAGGATGAGCACAGGTGAAGGGCGTTGTCAAGAATACTCGCGATTGCAGTTGCTAGATGGTTAAATGTTGCGAGAGCGAAGTTGTTACGTAGTGAAAATTGCAACTTGGCGGGTACCTAACAACGGCGTTGGCTATGACAGGCTGAAGAGCACTCCAAAATTGGCCTAAGATTTTTTTTAAAACCAGAGAAAATCGACTAGTATCCCTATTTCAGAACAAATGTAATTTCGACTGTACTACAACCTACTGAACACTCTGGTTTGGTGCAGCAACTGTTGAACTCTTTGCACTGTGCGGCTATCTTTACAGTGGCTCTCCCCGCGCCGATCCCGCTGCAAACGCTGGCTTTAAGCCGCTGCAGCCTCGCCACTACAGCCTCACCTGTTCGTCCTTTGCCTTTGTCAAGCACTGGACTCCAACAACTGCACCAGGTAAGCCTGAGGGCTGCGCGAGCAAATAAGGCCCTTTCCTCGATGCAGAATGTATCGAGGCGACCCCTCTCTCTCATAGCCAGGCTACTCGTCCCGCGATTGCAAGCTTTGCGCACAATGGCCACCATTCGAACATACAACGTGAGTCAAGTCTTTCCTCTCACCTACTCCCCAGCTTCTCGTATGTCCATCCGCTGACGCACCAACAGGATGCGATTGACGCACTCAACACGCTGCAGACGCCTTATGAAGTTATTGAAGCCCGCCGCAAGGCCGGCATCAAGCCGGATGCCACCTCCATCCGGGATATGCGCATCTATCTCAACCGCATCGGCTACTCGGTATGGTCACTTCTACCTCGCCCGCCATTCTCTCTACGAAATGTCAAGACTCATTCATTCGGCAGCCATCCGACCTGGACCGCCTTAACATTATCCACGTAGCCGGAACCAAGGGCAAGGGCAGCACATGCGCCTTTGTCGACGCTATCCTGGCCCAGTACCGCCAAGCCCTCGACAACGCCGCCGCTCCCTCCTTGACCAAGACCGGCCTTTTCATCTCACCGCACCTCATCGCCGTGCGGGAGCGCATACGCATAAACTCGGCGCCTATCTCTGAGGATCTCTTTGCCAAGTACTTTTTCGAGGTCTGGGACCGCCTCGAGTCATCGTCGTCGACGCAGAACAATGAAGACAACGGCGACGGCCCTTCACCCGGCAGCAAGCCCATCTACGGCCGCTTTCTCACCCTCGTCAGCTGGCACGCATTTCTGCAGGAGCGCGTCGACGTCGCCGTCTACGAGACGGGCGTCGGCGGCGAGTTTGACGCCACCAACCTCGTCCCGCGCCCGCTCGCCGCAGGCATCACCACGCTCGGCATCGACCACGTCCTTGTCCTCGGCAATACCGTCGCTAAGATTGCTTGGCACAAAGCTGGCATCATGAAGCCGGGCAGCCCGGCCTTTTCCGTCGAGCAGCTCCCTGAGGCTACTGCGGTGCTGCGTGAGCGCGCGACTGAGAAGGGCGTCGCGCTGACCGAGCTGCCTATCGACCCGCGCCTTGACGGTGTGCGAGTCAAGCCGGCAGCAACCTTCCAAAAGCGCAACGCTTCGCTGGCGGTCGCGCTGGCGGAGACGGCCCTCGATCAACTCGGCGTCGAGATGGACAGGGGCGAGGACGGCAAGAGCCTGCCGCAGGAGTTTGTCAATGGCTTGGAGAGGACGGCCTTTCGCGGCCGATGCGAGGTCAAGGCCGAGGACAAGATAGCGTGGCACGTAGACGGCGCGCACACGGCCGACAGCCTCAAGGTGTCCGCCAAGTGGTTTGCCAGCGAGACGGAAAAAAGGTATGCCCCAGGTCCTCCCTTGACCGAACCTGCAAGCAGGCAAACTAACCTGCGTTTTTTCTCTCTTGTGTCTAGCACCGGCCCGCGCGTTCTCATCTTCAACCAGCAAGGCCGCGCCGAGGCCGTCGACTTTCTCGCCTCCATCCACGCCGCCAACGCGGAGCGGCCCTTTGAGCATGTCATCTTCTGCACAAACGTCACGTACGCCGCGACCGGTTACAAGCGCGACTTTGTCAACCGCCAGGTCGACCCGGCCGAGGTCGCCAGCATGACGGCGCAGCGGCGCTTCGCCGACGCCTGGGCACGGCTCGACCCGGCCGCCGACGTGCGCGTCCTGCCCACCATCGAGGAGGCGCTCGCCTGTGCGCGTGGCCTCGGCGGCGGCAGCGGTGTCGTGCAGGCCTACGTCACCGGCAGCTTGCACCTGGTGGGAGGCGCGCTGGGCATCTTGGAGCAGGCAGACGCGCTGTAGCATAACTGTTGTACGCTGGGATACAAAAGGGAAATATTAAAAGAATATGCAAACTGTTTAGATTGGGCTTGATGTATATGTTACAATAGACTGTCGGGCTCGATGACCCGCATGATACCCCCGACGAGATGTAAACTCCCGGTGACCAACACCTTTTGCACCTTGCCGCCGCCGGCCACCGCCGCCGCCCTCCTCGCCTCAGCCACAGCGCTCCGGACATTATCAAAGACGCTCACTTGACACCCCGGCGCGAGCCTCGCCATGGTCTCGGCCAGCGCCTTCTGCACACCCAAGTCGCCATCGTGCTCCGCCGCCTCCTGCTCGTTCCTCGTAAACAGCGCCCGCGAAAAGACGACCTCGCCTCTGCCGCCGCCCTCTGCCTCTGCCGCCGCCTGCACCGCCTCGACGAGGTGCGCCAGCAGCGCCGGCGCGTCGCGGTCCTGCTGGTTGAACACGAGCGCGACCGTCTCCTCCCCGTCGCCGTCCAGGCTCTTCACGAGCCACCGCGCGACCTGCGTGATGCTGTCCCGCGTGTGCGCCCCGTCGAGCAGCCACCGCACGCCGTGCGCCTCGTCCGGGAGCACCTCACACCGCCCGCGCAGCGTCGCCCCCCGGAGCGCGGCCGCCATGCCCTCCGGGAGGCGCGCCAGCGTCTCGGCCGTGCTCGCCGCCTCGTCGCGCACGCCCAGGTGCTCCTGCACCGCGAGCACGGCCAGTGCCTGGTTGCGCCTCTGAAAGTCGCCGCCCAGCAGCAGCGGCGCCTCGCCGCCCCCGACAACGACACCCTCCCACGCATCCGCCGCCGGCGCGTCGACCTCGACGAGCCGCGCCCCCTTCTCCGCGGCGCGTCGCCTTAGCACTGCCATGACGCTCGCCGGCGCGTCGCCGAGCGTGAACGCCGCCACGCCGGGCTTGAACACGCCCGCCTTGTGCCACGCAATCTCCTCGACCGTGCCGCCCAGCATCGCCACGTGGTCGACGCCCAGCTGCGTCACCACGGCGGCCGACACGGCGGCGGCCGGCAGCACGTTGGTCGCGTCGTGCTCGCCGCCGATGCCGCACTCGACGACCACGTCGCGCACGCCGGCGCGCAGGAACACGTGCCACGCGAGGATGGTCAGGAAGCGAAAGTAAAAGGGCTTGGAGGCGGGGCCCTCGGCGACGGCGCGCGGCCGCTGGCCGTCAGCAACGGCGGCGGCGGGGAAGCGGGCGCGCGGCCGCTGGCCGTCAGCAACGGCGGCGGCGGTGAAGCGGTCCCACAGCTCCCAGAAGGCGGCGGCGAAGACGGCCCGGCTGACCGGCGCGCCGTCGATGGCAATGCGCTCGCGCGGGCTGACGAGGTGCGGGCTCGTGTAGGTGCCCACCGGCCCGACGCGCGGCCCGGCGGCGCGGAGCAGCGACGTGGCAAAGGCGCACACGGAGCCCTTGCCCTTGGTGCCGGCGACGTGGATGTGTCGCATGGCCGCGAGGTCCTGCGGCGTGTAGCCTGCCCTGCGCAGCCACATGAGCATCTCGGGAATCGCCTGCGCGTTGAGATCCTGGGCCGGTGGTGAGGACGATGAAGGTGGCTGCGCGGCCGCGGCGGCGTCTTGCCGTGGCTTCTCAAAGAGCGTGGTGACGGCGCGGTTTGAGGCCAGCATGCTGAGGTGGGCCAGCGCGGCGTCGTAGTCGCGCCGCGGGCCGGTCGCAGCAGACGAGCTCATCCTGTACAAGGCGCCGACACCGGAGTAAGACGTTGAGACGGCTCTGTGATGTGATGCTGTGCAGATGGGTGATGTGGTGGCACGGAGACGGCTGATGCAATGCTGCATGTGGTGAGTGTGCCTTGAGTGCATCACTGTGAAGCTCAAGTGAGCGGCGGTTATCAGCTCTCGTCACTCCTCTTTCAGAACTCATCCATATATTAAAATGTCGCTTTCAAACTTCCTCTGTGGTGCCTGGATAGGAGTGATTGTGGTGAATCGCAACGAAGAGCAAGTCTGGTGGCGGTTGTTGAAGGCTGCGGGTCGCCGTGTTGGGCTTGACTACTAACAATGAGCCTCCACCGCCACGGTAATGGTAATAGCCGCTATAAGATGAAGAATCAAAGTTTCATCACATTATACTAGAACCGGAATCAAAACGACATCGACCCAGGATTGAATCTTAAATGAACATTCAAGACGGTCTATTTTATATCTAATACACAGGCTACGTGCCTCCTAGACGCATCTCCCTAGAAACCAATATACACCACCACAAAGAAAAAATACGTATTGTTTTAGAATCTTCCCAATTTTTACTCTACGCGCAAGCTCTGCAGGCGGGCTTCTGTCGCAATGACCTAGAAAAGCAAAGCATTAGTCTTATCCAGAACCGAGTTGCAGTGGCATCGGTCGACTTACATCGAGCGCTTGCTGCACCTCCAGCACCTTGCGAACCTCCCCGAGCCAGTCGCGGCTGAGAGTCTTGGCCCAGCCCTCGAGGCCGTTCATTTCACGCGCAGCAGCATCCAAATCGCCCTCCTCGAGGAAGGTATGTGTGCGGGTCAGGATGCTCTCGACATCGTCACCCTCTGCCAGACCCTGCTTCTTGAACATGAGATGGCTCAGAACCCAGCTGGAAGCGTGGCTCGCCACACCGGCGTCATCGGGCAGTAGGGAGGCCTTGCGGACTTCGCCAGCTACCCGACGGAAACGGTCAATGAGATATGAAGGGGAAGAGATACCCTTCTGGTATGCAGCAGGATTAATAGAGGAGATGGCTGCGTCAACGACGTCGTCGTTGGCGGCAATCTCCTTGATCGCAGCGAGCTCCTTGATGAAGGGCCTGGGGTGAGTGGCACCCTCAAGGCTAGCACGAACGGCTTCCACGGCAACATGAAGCTGCTGCGTCTTCAGGTTGGTGTCGAGGACGCTGTTCCAGCCAACAGTCAGCTTCTCAAGGTCAGAAACAGCGGCCGTAAGCTCGTTCAGCTTGCTCAAGCGACCATCACGCTCAGCTTCGACACGGTTCTCGACCTCCTTGACGAACTCCTTCTTCAAGGCGACAGCCTGCTCTAGGAGCTTGGTCTGAAGCTTCTCTTCGTTCAACTTCTGCTCACGCTCGAGCAGAAGCTTGGATCGCTGGTCGTATGTGTCGCGGACTTTGCCCATCTCTTCCTCAAACTCCTTGCGCCATGAGGCCTCTTGCTGGGCCATAGTGTTCTCGACTCTCTTGATCAGCTCCGTGGCGGCCTTGTCAAACTCGGCAATCGTGGACTTGACCTCACCAGCAGCCTTCTTCTCAACGCCAGTCTTCAGAGTCTTGAGCTTGTCGCCAACCTCACTAACTTCACGCTTGGCCTTGGCGATAGTGGTGGAGTATTTGCCATGGGCATTGTCTGCGTTGATGACGAGGATTAGATCGTTGAGCATGCGGACGAGATCTTGGATAATGGGCTCCTTGGCGTCGGGAAGGCTCATCAGATCAATGGGCTCCAAAGGAGGGAAGCGCGAGGGCTCGTTGACCTCGGGGGCCTTGAAGTTGTTTGATTCTTTGCTAGCAACCGGAGCAGGCTTGGCCTCAACAGGCTTGGATTCAACAGGCTTGGCCTCTACAGGCGCAGACTCCTTCTTGGGCGCCTCCTCAGGCTTGGCGGCCGCCTTCTTGGGCGAGGAAGACGCAGAAGATGACTGGCGACCGACAGGCTCGCCGCTGTCGGCGACGCGCCATGATGCACCGCTCTGAGCTGGGATGCGCACATGCTCACTGGAGCTCGCGACAGGACGCTCAGAGCCGGCACGGTGGGCATTCGGAAACTTCTTCTGGAACTCGAGCTCCTCCAGGTACAGGACGGCCTGCTCACCAAAGGGCACAAACTCGGTGAAGATGTCGTGGAAGGTGTCGTTGATGCGCGAGTACCAAACACCGCCAGCGAAGCCAATGACACCCAGAAGGATCAGAGAGGCGACGAAGCGGCGGAGACGGGCGATGAAGCCCTTCTTCTTGGGAGGCGGAGGTGGCGGAGGAGTCGCGTTCTTGCCGCTACCGGCGGCCTGGGAGGCGGCGGACGCGACAGCGGCAGCCTTTTCGGCGATATCCTTCGGCACGGGAGGAGGCGTCAGAGGAACTTCATCGATGCCGACCTTCTTCTCGATGGTCTCCTCGGCGGGCGGAGGGGCGCGTTCGGAGCTCTTGATCTCGGAGGTCGGGAGGATTGGGGGCTTGGGGACATCGGGATTCTTCTGGTCGGCGTAATGTCTCTGCTTGCTTGTTAGCACTCGTAAGGGAAGCCCCCCCAACTGTTCAAGTACGAAGGGTCGACAGCCGCGACGCCGTCAGGTGCATAAGTACCAGTCGCTGGATGCCGGCGAGGTAGGGCAAGCTCACGTTTTGAAGCAGAACCGATCGTCGCGACGCAGTCGCGGCCCATTGGCGCCCGGCAGCAGCCGCGATGGGCTGGCCGCTGAGCAGCCTTGTTGACCGGAGCGAGGATCGCAACATTAGGAGATGCAATGGCCAATAAATGAGGGTAAGGTTGAGGAGCGAGGTGCTGCTGGGGTTCCGGCTGCAACGCAGTTGGACAAAAACGCTCAGGGCAAAAGTTCGGCTAAGAGCTTGGATCGCACTAAAAGCGGACCTGGTTTGCGGCGCCGCGGCAGGAACCGGGAGTGACGCAATGCGGCGAGTTAGCCGTGGTGGCTGTCTACCTTGGGGGTGAAATCTGCTGTAACATCGTTGATGAAAATTTTGAAGTCATGATACCTTGAGTATTTTTCTTGGTATTTTCCCCGATTTTTATTGGGATACATTTGCGCAGGAATCGGGCCTGTCGTCATGGCTAATTGTGGTTAGTGGACCTTTCCATAAGCTTTCGAGAGGTCTATTGAATTTACCCGCGAGGATAACTAGCGAGGATGGGAATACTATGATCCAACGGCAGACTGTTTGGATTCATTAGAGTATATAAACGGGCACTTAATATCATATTCTAGGTATGCATTAAGCTTAGCTGGCCCATGCTGAGTGCACGCAGGCTGCCCATCAGTTCAGTACTACCTATCACTCCATCCCGAGCCTCCTGGTCAACATGCCGCCGGAGATAACGACTCGGTAAAGCAGACGTTCAAGCCAAGTTAGCCATAAAAAAAATTTAATGTCAATATTAAAATAAACCAAGAAAAAAAAAACATGAACCGAATTCCATACAAAACCCAGACTCCAAGAAATATACTACGCAAGCCCGAGGTCGGGGGAACGAAAAAACGAGTAACAAAAAGGGCTTTGCCAGATCTTCACGACATTAGTCTACTTGGGGTAGGAGGGCCGCGAGTAGCGGCCCAGTGGTGCAGGCCGTTCTGCTGGCCCAATACATGTTCCGCCACATACTTTCGCAACTCGAAAAGGCTAGAGCACGTTAACAGCTGCAGGGGCCAGCAGCGTTGGTGTTTGAATTTTCGGGAGCCAAGCTGACGCCGGGGCGTTGGCCAGGACGTGCGTGTCTGGGACCGGCCTGATCGAGGGGAAGCTTCTTGGCGATGGCGGTAAAGAGCTCGGGGACATTTTCGGCAGTCTTGGCCGAGGTCTCGAAGAAGAGGAGGCCGGCCTCCTTTGCGTAGGCTTCGGCGTCGGCGGTGGGAATGGCGCGCTTGTCGGGCTGCTCCGTGACGAGATCGAGCTTGTTGCCAGCGAGAGCGATGATGATGTTTTCGTTTGCTTGGCGTTGTAGTTCCTTGACCCAGGCCTTGGCCTTGTCGAGGGAAGCCTTCATAGCGGGGTTGGTTAGCGATATATCCGACATGACTGAAGCAGGAGCAGCGAGCACGTACAGACTGCGTGATGTCATACACGACGACGGCGCAGTTGGCATTACGGTAGTACATGGGAGCCAGAGACTTGTAGCGCTCCTGGCCGGCGGTATCCCAAATTTCGAACTTGACGGTAGTGGCCTCATCGAGGGAGATGGTCTGGGTGAGGAACGCAGCGCCGATGGTGGATTCGCGGAAGGAATCAAATTGGTCCTGGGAGAAGGTTAGCAGCTGCTAGGAGAATAGAGGCAGCCTGGGCGGCTAAGAGCTTGCCTTGACGAATCTCAGAACGATAGAACTCTATATTCATGCTTCATTAGTTTGGGATCTTGGACATAGAACTTGACTTCTTGAACTCTCGACGGGACGTGGCCGCACCTTTCCAACAGCGGATTCTCCTGCACACCCGTATGGTTAGCCCGGTAAATTTAACTCTGTGTACAGCATCTGTGTACAGCAGCGACGAGTATCTGCCCCTCGTATTCTCCTAAGAAACAGGGGAAATGCGAAGATGGGCGGCTTATTCCATCAGCACATACCGAGGAGAACCAGCTTGAACTGAGCAAAGCGGTTGTTGGAGCCGCCGCCGCGGGCACCGGGGGGTCCTCGAGACGCCATTTTATGGTTATTGTTGAGCGAGAGAAAGGGACGCAGAAGGCCTCGTCAGAATGGCTCCAGCAGTCAGTTATGAAGTCGGGGGAAGCGCCGGACAACGCGGGATTCGAAAGATACGGCAAGAAGAAAATCGAAACGGACGAGCGCAGCGGTGCTGGAGATGACGCAGTCAGGAGGTTGTGGTAGTAGAGTTGACGGTGGGACGTTGCGTGGACGAGGTCGGCGGTTCGGTCGTAGAGAGAGGCACCACGTCAGGCTGGAAGGCGATTGGTGGCGGTGGTTACTAACGGGAGCAGAAGGCACTAAAAGTGGGCAGGTGTTTGGCTTTCAGTGATTCTTTACAGTGGCAGCGAGGGCTTTTTAGTGACAGGTCGCGGGTGGTGCAGCGGCCTTTCAGTGACTGCAGTGGCTGCCCCTGCTCCTGTTAGCGCCCCGACGTTGTGTCAGGTGATGAACAATAATGATGCGGGTTGAACGAAAGAGCTCTCGTCATGTGTTGATGGTCTCGGAAAAATACATTGCCTCTCATGTATAGTACCAAATTTCAACAAATTTATTATTTAAAATTCCGCCCGCTTGGTTAATGACGAAGGCCTTTTAGGCAGACGCTCAACACTTGCCGGTTAGTGGCGTACGCCCCACCCCTTCAAGCTGGCTGAGCAGTGGTCAGGAAGACAAGTGCCTGCGCTGGTGTCGACACCAGTCTCTACTAATAACTAGTGACAAAGCGTGGCTTTTTTGTTGCTCGTGGAACTCAATATTACCACATGTCAAGCCTCGGTGCAAACTATCAAATCAAATCAATTATTCTCTCTGGTCTATGATGCAAAAAACTCCTTTCTCCTTGCCATGCTTACATTGATCTTGTCCCTTCACATTTCTATCACAGCTTGATCTCAGCCCTCAGAGGACCGAGACCGGCCTTGATTGCCTGCTCGCTGAACGGATAGTCAATGTAGCCCGTGGCCACCTTGGGAAGGTAGAATGTCTTTCTGTTGTATTCCGAGAACGGGATCTGGTTCTTGATGCGGAACACCAGATCCGGGTTGGAGATGAAGGGGCGTCCATACGCAACAATGACATCCCACTCGGGGTATTCCTCGTCAACAGCAGGAGCGGCACCTTCGAGATCGTACGCGCCAGCGACAATCACGGGGCTGAAATTGTCCCACTTGCGGAGGAAGTACTTGAGGGACTTTTCGCCGCCAGCAAAGGGGTCGACCTTGTTAGGTCCGATGAAGAGAACCTGGGGGTCGCCGCGAGGCTCGACGAAAGACAGGTAGGCGAGATTGTGCCCGCGGGACTTGATCTGGTCCAGGATGTAGCCCGTCTGCGCCCAGGTGTCGGAGGAAAAGGCGTCCTGGAAGGTAGCAAAGGGGCTGAGACGCAGAGCGGTGCGGTCGGCGCCAATCTCGTCGCTGACGGCCTTGATGATCTCGAGCAGGAAACGGGCGCGGTTCTCGACCGAGCCGCCCCATCTATCAGTGCGCTCGTTGACGCTGTCGCAGGTGAACTGGTCAATCAGGTAGCCGTGGGCGCCGTGGATCTCGACGCCGTCGCCGCCGGCGTCGACGACGTTGCGCGCCGCGGAACGGAAGTCGTCGATGATGGTCAGGATCTCCTCTTCGGTCAGCGGCTCCGGGGCGACGTCGCGGCCGGGCATGGTCTTGGCGGAACTGGAGCTATATTTGAAGCCGCGAGAGCCGACGTACTCGGCGTCGGCGGCACGGCCCTGATGCCAGATCTGCTGGAAGATGACGCTGCCCTTGGCGTGGACGGCGTCGTAGACCTTCTTCCAGGCCTTCGCCTGCGCGGCGCTGTGGACGGCGGGCAGGTTGGGCTGACCCTCGGAGGCCTGGGAGACGCCGGTGGCCTCGGTCACGAGAAGCGTGCCGGGCACGGAGCCGCGCTCGGCGTAGTACTGCGCCATGATGTCGGTCGCGACGTGGTTGTCATCATTGCGGAAGCGAGTGAGCGGCGCGAGGGCAATGCGTTGGGAGATGGTGGTCCGGCCAACCTTGAGAGGCTGCCACAGCTTGGAGATGTGGGAGACGGTCATGGTGTAAGCGGTGGGAGAGATCTATATTCTAAAAAAAAAAGAGGAATGAGGCGGAAGACTGTGAGTGTGTTGAGAATGGAGAGTAGTAAAGTGACGCGGGAACAAGGACGGCTTTATAGGAACGAGTGACAGACTACAGATGGGAGTGGATTCGGCATTGGAAGGTTTGTTTGAAGATGTCCAAGGTCCATACCAAGATGAAGCCGCATTATTAATCTAATCGAGTGTCGTGCTTGGGGGCTAGTGTCGTGCGGGTTTTACAATGGTGGGCTTGGCTCGCCAGTGCCGCGGACTTTGATAAGCTAACGTTGCTTGCTAATTACATACTGGACTACCTATCAGAACGAGAAAACGTCCCGAGAGATATTATGGGGCACCTTTGTTGCCGAGTTGAAACTTGTAGATGATAGCTGATCCAGGAACATGTATGTGTATGCTCCTCCGAGTTTTGGACCGAGGATGATTGACTGCCAGAATGTTGGCTGGTACGTAACGAGGAGGTCGTAACCAACCTGTGACAGCTTGTCTTGCAGGCGTTGTTTTGGATCATTCCATATTTAATCCAGCAGAGGAGGAAAAGCAGTGACATTGTCCTTCTCTGTCTACATGCCTAGTAGCGCAGGATGTCGGGTAGTTACACCTTGCAACTGGCCAAGCGACCAACAGTCAACTAAGTTGTGGAGCTAACAAGAATCTGAAATTCCTGTGTGCTCCGTGGTAGAAACTGTATACTCCTGACTAACAATGGCGAATCTCGTTTGAACTTTTTTTTTTTTTATCTACAATCAAATTGGGTGGCTGTTGGGGGCGTTTGAATTCAAAGGGCTCGCCGACGGCGTTTTGGGCGGCTCCACGGACCAGCTGACAAATGTGACTTGACGGAGGTGTGGAACTGTGCAAGACGAGCTTGAGAGATGCACCCAATATTCATCGAATTGATTATTCACCATTTTATTCCCACTGCTACGAGATGATTCGAGAGCTACATTTCCGATGAGAAGGGTCTGGCGTCCGTATTCCCGTGGATCTTGTCCGGATCGAGACGCGGAACGAGGCAGGGCAAGATCTTAGAGCCGCTTAGACGTGCAATCGCGCGGCTGTATATTATTTAGGATTGCTGCTTCTTTTACGCCTTGATGCATTTGTTACAGTAAATGACGGGGTTTTTTCTTTTCTTGTTTAATTTGAGATGGCAGTCTTCCGGCCGTGGCGGGGTAACCGCATCTCATCTCCGTCTACTGGTGGGTGTAGGTACAACGCACATATGGATGTGTGAGTGCACTGCATAATATTCTCATTATAGTTGGTCTGTCCGCGAATCCAAGTACGGCTATTCAGATTGCACTATTCGAAGTGAAGACCCTCTTGACCTCGTCACAGTACTAGATTTCTTACCCACGATCATAACTTGGTGTGATCACAAGCCATTTGCAGTCGCCGCGGCAGCGCCATTCAGCGACTTTCAGCGACCCTTCGGTGACCCTTCAGCACTGCCCCTCCTTTGAAAAAAAAGGAGACCACCCCTCGACTAATCCCCTTTTGGCTAGCGTGAGAGCCCCGGCAGGAAACAGTGACGTTGTTGAGCCGGCGGGAATCAAAAGCTGGCAATGCCTCATACTTTGCTTCGGTTATTCAGCTATCGACAGATGGATGTAATATTTTAAAATACGAAAATAATATAATTATGGAAAATTTGAACTCTGGCTTTTCTTCAGTAGTTCCTCCAGCGTATAATTTTTTACCTGCCCATTTGCGCCCAGCAAGCTCCCTTGCTACACAGCGGGCTGGGCGCTTCCACTATCACCTAACCCACTTCCACGAGCTCGACTCAGCTTCGCCTGCCTCGTTGGCCTCAGTTTACCGACCCTCCATCCCGCCACCCAGCTTCTCGGCTGCGCTTCCTGAGCTTGCCTTGCCCGCCTGCATCGCTCAACCCCCCCCCCCTCTCGGCGCATTTCCTGCGGTTATCCTATACTCGACTGACTTCCTGCACGCACGCCCGACACCATGGCCCCCTTCACCGGCCCCTTGTACCCTTACCGCGACATCAACCTGCGTGTCAGCAACGACGCCTACACCTTCACGTCGCCCTCCTCTCCCAATGCCCCGGCATTGGTTCTTGACCGTCCTACCGGTGATGTCAGCTTGACCGAGCCGTCTCTGCAGTCCACCAAGCGCGCCACTCGCGTCTCTAGCATTGCCGGCGTTCTCGGCCTGATTCAGCTCAAGCTCGGTCCGTTTGCCAACCCTCGCTCCGACCGCCTCGTCCCCTTACCAATTTGCTAAAAGTCTACTCTCTACAGACAAATATGTCGTCATAGTCAACAAGACCAAACCCGTCGGCCGCCTCAAAGGCCAGATGGTCTACAAGGTCCTTGCCGCCGAGATCCTGCCCATGCGCGAGCGCCAGATTCACGATCCCGACGAGGATACCTTTGTCCGCCTCCTCGATACGTTCCTCAAGAAGGCGCCCCTCTATTTTTCCTATTCGCTTGACCTCACGAACTCGTTCCAGAGGCAATCTCAGGCCGACACCGCTAAGCCTCTCTGGATGCGCGCCGACGATCGCTTCTTCTACAACAAGTTCCTCCAGTCAGACCTCATCGACTTCCGCAACCTCGGGTCCCGCGCCCAGCCTGGAACTCAGCCCGGTATCGATCCCTTTATCCTCCCCTGCATGTTTGGCATGTTAGAGATTAAGCAAACCACATTCAAGGGCACCCCTGTTAGCCTCACCCTCATCTCCCGCCGCTCTAGATACCGCGGTGGCACTCGATTTTTTACCCGTGGTGTGGACGAGGAAGGCCATGTCGCCAACTACAACGAGACAGAGCAGATCGTTATTCTCAACGAGGCCAGCACTGGTATGGGCGGCTTCGCTGGCAGTACCGATATGCAGAGCGGCAAGCTTGGCGGTACCGACGGCAAGGAGATGCAAATCATGTCATACGTCCAGACTCGAGGCAGTGTTCCTACGTACTGGTCCGAGATTAACAGCTTGCGTTACACCCCCAAGCTGCAGGTCCGTGGTACCGAGGCTGCTACCGCTCCTGCTGCGCGCCACTTTGATGAGCAGATTCGCATTTACGGCGACAACTATCTCATCAACTTGGTAAACTCCAAGGGCCGTGAGCGCAACGTCAAGGAGTCGTATGAACAAATGTGCCAGGCCCTCTCCAGAGCCGGTAGCATTGGCGATGCCACCAACGAGAAGTTCACCGTGACTCCCAGCAGTAGCAGCCGCAATCAGTTTGACAAGATTCATTACGTCTACTTTGACTTCCACACCGAGACTAAAGGCATGAGAATGGACAAGGCCTACAACTTGGTCACGCGTATGCACCAAGAGCTTGAGACGCAATCATACTTCCGCGGCATCAACATGCCAGGTGGCCTTGATGACAAACTCGAGGCCCGCAGTCTACAGACCAGCGTCATGCGTACCAACTGTATGGACTGCCTTGACCGCACCAACGTTGTTCAAAGCATGTTTGCCCGCGCAGTTCTCGACCGCATTTTTAGCGAGCTCGGTCTCATGCCTCGTGGCGCCTCCTTCAAGGAGCAGGACCCCGACTTTGAGTTTCTGTTCCGTAACCTCTGGGCCGACAATGCTGATACGGTCTCTGGTTCCTACTCTGGCACTGGAGCCATGAAGACAGACGTCACCCGCACGGGTACGCGCACCAAGCTCGGTGCCCTTCAGGATGGACGCATCGGTGTCACGCGTTATTTCCTTAACAACTTCCTCGACGGTCCCCGCCAGGACAGCTTCGACCTCTTCCTCGGCGCCTACCAGCCCGGGAAGTCCGGTGTCGGCCTAGGTCGCATTTTTGTCGACAGACGTCCCCTCCTAATCCAATCGATCCCTTACTTGCTTGCTTTCAGCGCCTTCATTGTCTTGATCGGCATCTTCACTAAGCGTGAGCCCGACGCCAGGGTCCTGCCCCTGCGCATCTTTATTCTTTTTTGGACCGCCGTTGCTGCCTGGTGTTTGCACTTTATCCTCGGACATGGCATGCTCTACGTACGTTGCCTCCCATGTTTCTTATTCTGTATCTGCCGTATTAACACACCTCACTCTAGGTCAACTGGCCCACACTCAACCCACGCCCGTTTGCCACGGAGGGCTACAATGAGCACTACTCTAAAGCGCGCAAAGATGCTCTGCTTGGCAGCTTCGTAGCTCGCCACGAGCGTGGCCTCAGCACGGCACGCTTCCTAAGTGCCGAGGAGGGTAAAAAGAGAATCGAATAAAGACGTGCAACGAAATCGCAAAACATGTACAATTTCTTTTGTTGTTTGGATCTTGTAATCCGTCTTGTCTTTACCTTGTTTTAATCATATGACTTGTCTAGAGAGGAACTCTCCAAAAAGTAGAAAAGGAGCATCCACCCGTGTAACTAGAGCTTTTTTGTCCTGTTGTTTTACTACCACGTACGGTTTCATCTATCACATTTTGAGTTGTGTGCAATTCTTCCACGAAGTGCTCCTTAAATCTAAACTCTTCAAATACTTTCGCCGGTGGATTAATGCATATACTTCAGCCCTTAAGCGAAAAGAGAAATCTCATGGTATTATGTAGAGGACACAGTATTCGAGCGTTGCTGAGCGGAGCAAGAAATAAATACACGCAGGCTTCTCGTTCCTCCACGTTTACAAAACAGAGAATATGTACAAAGCACACCATCGCCAACGCGCATGCCAAGCGACTCCGGCCAACACAGTGCTGATTTGATACAAGGACGAATATTGAGAAGAGAAGAAGAGCAATACCAGAATACAAAGGCAGAAAACGCAATGCATGCCATGAGCAGGGTATCAATTGTCGCTTTCTCAAATGCTTGAATCGATCGCCAATGAGGAAAAAAAAAAAAAAAGAAACAGAGAAAAAGAAAATCAAGATGAAAATCCAAAGTCCGAAGAAGTTTGTTGTAGTTGGGAGCAGTAACAAAATGTGTTGAAACAGACAAAGGAAAGAAAGAACAATTCGAGGAGGGAGATTTGGAGAGGTTTAACGCGAACGCGAGCCCTCTATGCCAGCCACAGCAGCCATTTGACGCCGCCCCAGAGACCCTTGCCGATGCCCAAGAAGACGCGGAGAATCATGACGACGAACCAGACGTACCACATGAAGCCGACGACGAGCCACTCGACGCTGAGCCAGAGGCCGCGGCGCAGCCAGCGCAGGCGGCGCCGGCGCCGGCGGAGCATCTTCTCAATGGTGTCAACGACGTGCTTGATGCGGAGGGGCTGGTCAAGTGCGAGACCGCGGCTCGCCTCGTCGGCTTCCTCAACCGCAGCACGCGTCAGCGGCGCGAGGTCGTCAGCGATGCGCGAGCGCACCGCACCGACGCGCCGATGCAGCTCCGGCCCCGTGTGCGTCGTGAAGCGGTCCGCGGACGCCTGCCAGCGCTGGCCGAAGAGCTGTACATTGGCCGTCAGCGTCTGTGCCGCGAGCGTGTATGCCTCGGCGAGCGGCACAGCTTGCTCGTGAAGGCCTGTGCTCTGAGGGCACAGGTTCGCGATGCCGTCCCAGTCAATGTTGGCCAGTCTCCCGTTGTTGTTCGCGCCGTCGTTCTTGAACGGCTTGTGCGTCTCCTGAGCGCGCCGGCTGATTTCCATGGCCTTGATGCCGGAGCTCAGAACAAGGGTCTTGACGCGCGCCATCTCGCGTCTTGATAGCTGGCTCCGCTCGATTTGCCTGGCACCCTGGTCCGCAATCGACCACTGGCGGCTCTTGGTTCGCTCGCTGCGGTCGAAGCGGCGACTGACAGGGTCTCCAAGGATGGCGTTGAGTCGACGGTCAGTTTCGCGGACCCCGGGAGGAACACGACCCTTGGTCGATTCGGCCTCGGAGACGTCAGACTCCCCAGGACGAGACGCCCCGTTCGGCGGTGGAGATGTTGACATGGATGGACTTCGAACTTCGGCCTGAGGAGGCTTGAGCAAGTCGACGCGCGAGGATTCGCTGCTTTGAACCCCATGGGCCGTCCAAGATGCAGACTTGTGAATGCTGTTATCGGCAGAAGAACCGGAAGCGTGCTGGAACTGTGGCATGACATCGAGAAAGTGTTTCGACGCCTGCTCTTTAGGCTGATCTTTCTTGGAGGTGCGGCGAGACAGAGACATCGACGCCCGCCTTCTTCCTCTGTTGTGTTCGCTGTCAGACTCGTCTGTGGACTCAAGTTCTTGCGATTCTCCAGAGCCATCCTTTTTGCGTAGGATATCTCCGATGCGAGATACGCCACCTCTTAAGACCGTATCAATGCGTGGTCCCTTGAAAATGCCACGAAGACCTGAGTTGGGGTCATCAGTGCGCTGAAGTAGGCTTCCCATGCGGCGATGGCTTTTGATGGTCTCCCCAGCGACGGGGGCCGAGGAATTCCTTAATAGAGATGGTTCCCCTTCCAGAGGAGGTGGATAGCTAATCGTCCCTCGCGGAAGCGTGTCCGCTCTACTGCCTGCAACTGCCTCTCTATCCGCACCAAGCCTGGCTTCGGAATTTGTGTGACTTTTTGCCGCGTCGTGTCTAGAAGGAGACCCTGAGCGGCTCCAGGGAGCCGGCAGCTCTAGAGACACAGACTCGAGCGTAGCCTTTCTAGAGGGCCGCAGCTCTGGTGACGTGGGCAGTGATGAGTCGTTATCTATCGATCTGGGTGCTCGGAGACGAGGCCCGTCGATGACTTGGTCTTCAGAGCGGAATCGAGAAGGAGAAGTCTTGTGCATCCTTTCAAAGGTACCCCTATGCTCCTGGTCGCTGGTCTCCAGGAAGGATTCTCTGCGACTCTGCAGGCGGCTGCTTGATTTCGAGCGCAGGTTTCGCTCTGGGCTTGCCATGCTGGAAGGTACGAAATGTTCAATACCTGCAAGATCCAAAACATCCTTGCCTCTATTTTCCTTGGCAATCATCTCCAGCATTTGCTTATGCAAGATATCACCTGGATGCGCATCTTTGGTTTCTGCACGCCTGCGAGTGTCGCGGATTGTCTGGCTGCGCGCCTCGTTGTCGCTTTTTGAATATTCGGAAGCCGAGTCTTTTTTAGAGCGAGGTCTAGCATAAAGGTGATCAGAGACATGCCAGTGATTTGAGTCTTTGATATGACTGAGTTTCTCTCTAGCACGGTCGATGACAGGCTGCCGACCATGCTCTGCGCCATGGCCCCGATGTGTGTGATGGATTTCGGGCAGGTTCGGCACACGGCTAATAGTGCCTGGGGAAAAGGGCATGAAGTGCCTAGGCTCTTCGCTTTCTCGCGACATGGGTCGAGAGAGTTCAGAGTTGGGAGGGAAGATCCTGCGCCAATGGCGATCTTCGATCAGTTCCTTATTCTGATGTTGCTCGAGCCAGTAGGCATCTGCAATCATGTCGCACGGTTCAATGAACCAGTCCACGCGCGGCCGACGGTTTCGAGCCGCCTTCGCCACAGGGTCAGGTGCAGACTGTGCAGCTGGATCGTCGGCACTGGAGAATGGGACCATGTACTCTGCTTCATCTTCTGGCTGTTGCAGAGCGATGTTTTGCTCACATCTCTCGACCCAAGACTTGACAATGTCGACTTCTCCAAACCCCTGCCTCTCGCCGTCAATAATCTTTCTCTCGCGAGCCCTTACTTTTCTGTTCCGGATGTACTGCAGCGGATTGTACTTGCGCCCCAGCTGGACAGTGTTGGAAGTCCAAGCGAAAGCCTTTGCGCCACCCGCAGGGGACGCCGGTGGACTCGTCGCAACGAGTCGTAGGTGCGCTGGCTTCAGGGGCGGCAAGACGTCAAGGAGCCTTCTGTATTGAGCCATAAGCTCGAGCTGATCCTTTGCTTTCTGGGCGCGGGCTAGGGTCGAGGCGGAAAAGTGATAGCGATACATATCGTCCTGTCCCATGTGGAAGCTGGAGAGTAGTGGGCTTGACACTGACAAGCCTGTGTTTTGTCTGGGTATCATGCTCAGTGCCGGGCGAGGAGAGATGTTCCGAGAGGATCGGCGTTGCTGCTTGAGCTGTTGGCGGAGGTCGTTGGAGGTAGCTGAATCGGGCAAAGGCAGGAGTTTGGGAGGAGCGGCGCGAGATACGTTTCGACGAGAGGCGAGACGGCGAGATTCACTCAAGTTCAATGCCATGTTGACAATCTGCGTGGAGTCGGCGTCGACAGAAGTGGCCGCATGACTGTTCAGAGACGATGCAGGAGACGGCTGGTTAAGCGAGCCGGTGCTCAGGTTGTGAGTGGCCTCCGGAGACGGCGTGAGCAGCTTTCCGGCGAAGGGATCGGACGCTACTCGCAAGGCTTGCTCTCGTAGAGCAATCGATCGCGCGGATTCGGGCGTGTTGGAGAGCGAGTCGGTCGTGGCACCAGTACGGGCCGTGGGCGCAGCAACGGTGGGTTTCGGGAGACGAGAGCTGTGGCTGCGCCGGACGCCGCCCCCGTCGAGCAGGAACGAGCCGCTCGGTCTGTCTCTGCGCTTCGTCCTTCTCGTCGTGTCGTATCGTACCGGCCCGTACGTCTGCTCGGCGGCAAGCCTCGACTGGTGCAGCAGCAGACGCTCGCGGGTGAGCAGGTCTGGTGCGGCTGCGGAGCGGCTGCTGCCGGCGCTGCTCGACTCGGCGGCCGCATCGTGGCTTTGGCGGCGGTGCGCGTCGGGTGTCACTGGGGGTCGGCGGTGCTCGGGAAAGTTGTCGTCGGCATGGACGTCCGCCATGGCGCGGGGGAGCCTTGGCACATGCTCCTGCGTCTGGGGGGACGGACGGCGAGCCTGGGCGTGGCTGTCGACGTTTGGGTAGACCTTTTGAGGCGGGGGGGGGGCTGACTTGGTGTGAAAGCAGGGAGAAGACTCGGTTTATGGGGTGGAGATGGGAGGTGTAAGCTCTTGACTATGGTGGGGGCAATACGACGATGAAGAGCGATGCTTGGTAGATTCAGAGACGGAGCAAGCGAGGAGAAGGGATGGTGGTTCTCTTGAGCTTGCGAGGTCCTTATGAGGTACCTACATGGTAGGCTAAAAGCAGCGGGTCATGAGACAGGCATGTGCCAGGCGGTTGGAGGTGAGGCAGTACCTGAGCTACCACCGCCAATAGGTGCAGCCAAAAGTACCTTCCCTGTTGAACGTGCCATTGGTGCCGCGGGTCAAGTGTACAAGCGGCAGCACCTGGAAACGTAATCATTCGGGAACATGTTAACTAAATACACATGCCCGAAGTACTGATGCCGATTACGGTCTACCATTTGCTAGTGCTGGTGTATTGAACAAGATATTAGGTAGTTTGCTTCTTTATCAAGCGGCCAAGTAGGATCCTGCCACTAGGTATGCACTCATCACCCTCACTATATCCACCACACTTGGATATTTATTATAATTGGTATAATACTGAATTGTACATAGCATCTACTATTTAATAAAGAAACATGGTTATAATTTTCATGAACTACACATACCAGGGTCGCCTTTCCTCACCTGCAGGTATTCATACACGTAGGCACCCACAAGCGGGTAGGCAGAGTGAGGCGGCACCAACAAACCATGAGGGCGGCGGCCTATAGATAGATGTATTTGTATATTAAGAAAACTAGACGTTGAACAGCTTACAGGACCAGCCATTTCAACATATTTTTCCTCCCAACGAGCACGGTCGCTGACAGCAACTTAAGGGGGGGGGGGGGGTTCTCTGGAGTGTTGCAAGTTGGCGAATCCTTCGTCCGGGCAGGGCATGCAGCTGGAGTGCTTGAGGCTGGCATTCAGCCACCTGGAATTTCATCTCTTTGGCGCCATGGGCAAGCCAGACGTCCGCTATGGCTAGAAGCACGAGACCGTTTCTGAGATGAAACGCGGTACTGCGTACGGCGGGCGAGTGTCAAGAAAACGCTTTGGTGGTGTGCATGTATTTGGGTGGCATCCTTCTAACTTGGTGGTTTCGATTTATTTAGCATGTGGATATCGTTATTGATATTGCATTGTTCAATTCTAACTGCCCTTGACCGTTGTTCTTTCCCTTTCTTTATTAAGACCCATTGCCGAGCAGACGCTTAATCATGCCATGAGATGTACAGCATAATGCCGGCGCCCAACGCAATGGCCGCAAACTGCGTCAACGTCTTGCGCAGCTCCTGCATCTTGTTGGGGCCCGTCTCGAGCAGTTCCGGGATGACTGCGACGGTGCCTACGTAGAGGAACGTGCCAGCAGTGAAGGGGAGCAGCATATCGCCCCATGTCTATGTCATGTCAGTACAACTTTAAAAATATCTGCAGGCTGGCAGGAAACTCACCAAGCTGGTACCCCAGAGGCCGGCATTCCGAGGCATTCCCGTAGTCTCCCCGTCGGCCGCGGGGCTGCCAAACTCCTGCACGGCGATGCCGATGAGCGTGCCGAGGAAGGCGCCGATGGCGGTGACGAACTGCGAGCCCATGGCGGCGCGCTTGGAGAAGCCGGACTGCACGAGCAGGGCAAAGTCGCCGACCTCGTGGGGGATCTCGTGGAAGAAGACGGCGACGGTGGTGGTGGCGCCGATGGTCGGAGAGGCGTAGAAGCTGGCGGACATGGCCAGGCCGTCGGTGATGTTGTGCGTAAAGTCGGCGCTTTTGTTGTCAGCGGTCGTCGTGTGTGTGTGTGTGTGTGTGTGTGTGTCAACGTTGTGATGGCTATTGCCAGAAGAAACTTACATCAAGTTCAGGTAGCCGCCGAGCTTGACGCTTGGGTTGACCTCCTTCTTTGCCTCGACCACGGCCGCCAGCTCCTTGCCGGCCTTGCCCCCCTTGCGCACTCTCACACTTCCGCTGTCGATGCCGTCCACACCCGTCGCCATGCCCTCATCCCTCGCCGGCAGCGCCGCGTGGGAGTGACTATGCCCATGCCTCTCCCCTCCTCCGCCGCCGCCCGTCGCGATCCGCAAGCCCTTGTCCATGGCGACAAACGTCAGGAAGCCGACCATGATGGCCAGCCCCAGCACCAGGTTGCGGTTCGGCTCGACCAGCACAAACGTGGCACGCGCCGGGTCGTCCTCGCCGACGAAGATCTCCGGCAGCAGGTGGAAGAGCGTGTCGCCGAGCAGGCCGCCGACGGCGAAGGCCACCATGACGGACAGCGCGGCCGGGTCGATGTCGGTCGGGCATAGCGCGAGCAGGAAGTTGGGCGGCCCGGAGATGTAGAGCGTCGCGAGCAGCGCGTTGACGGCCGGCGAGCCGGGGAAGAGCACGGCGAAGAGGCGCGCGGTCAGCGAGGAGGGCTGCGCGTCGTGGTGCGCGGCCTTGGCGGCGTTGAGGCGCTGCACGACGGAGCAGGTCTGTAGAGTTATGGGAGTTGAGTCAGTGGGTGCTTGCTTGGTGCGTTGTTCTTGCAGCTGCTTCTCTCGTACGCCTGCTCTCTCTCTCTCTCTCTCTCTCTCTCCTTTGTCACGCGACCCCTCGCGCTCCCGCCAACAACCGCGTTTTTGACAAGGCGAAGCTCCGTCTTGCATCATCTCCGTAGAATTTTTGCTCCATCTCGCTTCTCATCGCATAATGCGTACCTGCAGTTCCTCATCGAGCTGCTCCAAGCTCAAGCTCTCCGCGGCGGCGTCGGCGGCGGTCACGCTCTGTGGAGCTGCGTACACGCAGATGACGAGCACGGCCAGGCAAAGTGCCCAATTTCGCAGTCGAGGGCTGAACGCCATTGTACCAGATTATGCTGCAATGGACTTGGGTCAATGCGAGTTTTCGGACGTGATTGTAGAAAGAAGCTTAAGAAGTTTTAGGTGGGCTGTTAGAACCGTGTCGCGCGATCGGATCAGGGGTTGGCTTTAGGTTGCCCTTGTTAAGAAAGTGACAGCGCGCGCCGCGCGCCAGCCGAGTTCCAGATTTGGAACCTGCTCGGATCATGGCTCGGCTCGGCCGCAGCATCAGCCCACCAATGAGACAAGGTGACACAGTATCCAGATGAGGCTGATTATCATGGTGCATACGGACCGTAATTAAGAATTGACGTAGCAAGTCAGTTAGTCGGCTCAATCACCATCATTGGTCTGCGCTGCAGTCATGTCCAAAAGTCCAAGTCATTTCAAATGAGTGTTGTCATTCCGTGTATCCAAAACAATGCATTACCCAAACATTTCCTATTTGGGCCCAAATCCGTTTTCAAGTCTAAATTAATCCAATCATTCATCAATGCGCAGGAGCGCGGGAACAGTCAAGGGAGGATGACCTCGGACACCGTGATGCCGCGGCCACAATGTACACAGAAGCTCCGTCAAGCTATTTACAAGGCAGCAACAGCCACGAAGATGGCAGCGACAGCGGCGGCAACAGAGCTGAGACCGGCGGCGGCGGCGCTAGCAATGGGCGTGGGGGTGCTGGAGCCAGCGGGCGACGTGGGAGTGCGGGAGGGAACGACACCGGTGCCGGCGGGCTGGCTCTGGGAAGGCTGGGAGCCGGTACCGACGGGGACGGAGCCGCCAGGGTTGGAAGCGCCGGCAGAGGAGGAGCTGCTACCGGAGGGCGCGGCGGCGGAGGAGGAGGCGGCACCGGAAGACTGCGCAGAGGTGGCCGTGGCCGAGGTCTGGCTCTGGCTGCCACCGGTGGCCGTAGAGGAGGCACCAGACTGCGGGCTGGTGCTGGAGGCAGAGGTAGAGGCAGAGGCAGAGGCAGAGGCAGAGCTGGAGGAGCTGCTGGAGCCGGAGCCGCCGTCGGTGTAGCCGTCGCAGGACAGGTCAAAGAGAGGCTTGGTGCTCAGCGTGTTGCCGCCGACGATGCCGAAGCTGGGCGCGGAGGCCTGGCTGGGGCCGCCGTCCTGCATGATGAACCAGAAGACGTTGACCTTGCCGAAGCGCGGGCAGCCGACCTCACGCCAGAAGGTCTGGGCGTTCTCGATGCTCGCCTGGGCCTTGTTCTCGGCCTTGCCGCTCACGGGCCAGCCGGTCTCGGTGATCCAGAGAGGCTTGCCGCCGGTGCCGGTGTTGGTGTTGTCGATGGCGGACTGGAAGAGCGACTTGGCGTTTTCGATGCCGTTGTCCTTCTGGTTCTCGTAGTAGGGGTAGGCGTCCATGCCGACCCAGTCGAGCTTGTCGCTGAGAGCGCGGTTGGTCGAGTTGGCGTAGGCCGTCCAGGTGTCGACGTGGCCGATGGGTGCCTTCTCCAGGCAGGTGCCCTTGACGGCGTCGCGGGTCTGCTGGACGTAGTCGGCGAGGACGGAGGGGCCGACGCCGGGGTTCTCGCCGGCGGCCTGGCCGAGGGCCGAGTCACGGTAGAGATCCTCGGAGCCGACTGAGATGCCGGCGACGAGGTTGCCGAGGGACTGGCCGCAGTACTGCTGGGCGGTCTTCTTGAGGGCCGAGATCTCGTTGTCGAACTGGGTCTGGCCGGCCGAGGCCCAGAGACCGAAGAGCAGGCTCGTCTTGGTGCTGATGGCGGCGGGAATGGCCGAGATGGGGTCGCTGACGGTGCCGTCCTGGATCATGGTATAGAGACGGGCAGAGGTGAAGCCACCGTTGGTGCCCTCGAGGCCTTGGGCGTTCTTGAACTCGGCCTCGAAGCCCGCCTGGTCCCTGCCCTTGCTCTCGTAGTTGAAGCCCTGGAAGGCGGCGGTGGCGCCTGTTACAGCGGTGGCCAGGGCGAGGATGCTAGATGAGGAAGGCATCTTGTATTATGTGGTGTGTGCGTTTGTGAAGTGTGACGACGATAACGACTGTTTTGGCGTGTAAGACGTTGGAGCCGTTGACTTTAAAAGACTTGGTATGTATCGGCAACGAATGTGTGCAGACGATAACGACTGCTGAAAAAATCCGACAAGATATTATACACAATACAAACAAGAGATGTAAGAAGAGGAAAAAAAGTAAGAGTCAAAGCAGAGCAGAGCAGAGCGGTTAAAAGAACCGGGGGTAGGCCAGCCAGTCAGTCGGGCATCTGGGAGAAGCATCCGAATCGGGATGGCTGAGTGACCTTGACTTCCCTGTTTCTCGGGGGCGACCGCGGCAAGTGGAACGAGGAACCAGGCACGGAGGCGCAGATACAAGAGAACGAGGTACCTCAGGGACAAGGCCCCCCCTGCATCGGCGCAAAGTTTGACGGCGGCGCGGACAGGACGGAGAGCCAGCTGAAGGGCACAAAGGGCACCAGTGGTGTTGATACTCCACTGTGCGGCCGCGGCGAGGAATCGAAAGATACAAACAAGTCAAGTATCGCACCAGGACTTGGTCAGGTTCTGTTCTCTGCACCAGGAACCCACCCGCCCACAGTTTTTTCCCTCCACAAAACCATACAGCGAGTCCACAGCGCCTCCATCCTGGAAAAAGCACGCCGCCTTCAGGCTTCAGGGCATCTTGGCCACCTCAAAGAGCCCGTATATCCCGCCACCATCTGCCATCCACTCACTGCCAGGGGCCAGGAGCCTCCTGAAGCCTCTTGATAATGGTACCTTGCAGCCGCACCATGACTGGCTGGCGTTGTTTATTTTTTTCGTCTTTTCGTCTTTTCGTTTTTCTCGCTCCTTCTTCTCGGCTTTCGCCTTGGACACTAGTTAGCGGCGAGTGTGAGATTTTCGGGACCTCATGCAAACCGGAACAATTAGCCGGCTATTCTCCCTTCACCTGCCAGTCAACAAGACGCAAGTCGGCTTGCATGTACTGCTTCTCAGGCAAGAAAGGAAAACAATCAAATGAAAATACAACAATTCGTACAATAATAACAATAAATCACAACTCATCTTGCTGCATGTCTCTGCCTACGACGCTGCATACCACACACACCACTCGCCAGCAACGCCGCCAACCCCCGTGGGCACAGAATACGAGCCCAAACCACGTCATGGCGCGCCTCCTACTGGCAACTGAGGAGCTTCTAGCCCACTGTGCCAGCCATCACTCGATGCCGCTCTGTTTGTTATCAACCCGTCCTGGGCCTTCTCTTGACTCTTTCGGGACCCTCTCGGTGCAATTGGCGCAGGCAGGTGCTTGCTCAATACGAAGGCCGACCGGCTCGCACCTCGACCCAAGCGACCCAAGTTATTAGATCCCTCATACGAACCTGCTGATGCATTCATTACTCTGCATTGCCAATGAATGACACATCTTTTTGCTCAGATACACCCAGCTCCTACTTGATGCAGTGAGAGTTCTGCCAAGATGCCTCAACAACCAAAACAGTAAAGACGTCGCCGACTAGTCAGGTAGACGCTTGCGCAACGTTCCACCACAAAAAGTCTAAAATCCTTGACAGTTTCCCACGTTGAAAAAGAAGTCTCCTGGGCGTCCAGGCACATACTCATCGGAAGTAAGGCACACCTCAACAAAGTCCAGACTCTTCTTGTCCACACTTTTCTGTCCGTCCATGCCACCTATTCCCCACCGCACCACACCACGCAGCACAGCCTGTTTGCTTCTCCTCTCTGTTACGCTTCACGTAGTTGACCATGGCTATTGAATGCTGTTTCCTTTTTACCTAGGAACATCACTTACTTGTTCTTGGCTGCTCAATCACATTCAACGGCCTGCTCCACTGTCGCCAACCCCCACGAATAGCAGCGACTCACTCACTCACTCGCTGCTGCCCGCTGACGCGTCACTCATCACCTTGTCCATGAGTCGCCATCTTCACACATTCTCTTTCTGCGGTTGCTTCCGGTTAACTGCACTAAAAAAAAATCTCTTAGAAGCTGCATAGTAGTGCTGCCAGTTGTCGCTACCGGGCAGACGTCAATTCAGGTTGGCTCACCAACCAGGAACCACCAGCACTCTTCACTGGAATGCGTCTCGCCGCAACATGTCTATCCACCGCATGGCCCGGATTTAATCCTCGTCGTCGTGCCGGACAACAAAACGCACTAATCATTGTTTTTTGCCATGTACAAAATAGAAACCGTCCCATGTAGCAAACACATGACTTAGCTATGCTTTTCGGCCGCTCTGCTTTCCCACCTCAGCCGGCTATTATACACTCTGTCTAGCCATCACAAATCCTGGTTTTGCAGCTTCTGGAAGAAAACACGTACATGTGTTTCTCACAAACGTCGACGACTTAAACAAATCCACGAATTCCTCGTAGCGTAGATCTCTTCTCCTTCTTCGGCTTGCTTGATGAGTTGCCACCATCGTCTTTGCCCTTGTCTCCACCATCTCGCCGTAGTCGACTGTGTAAACCTGCTGTTCGATATAAGTCAACGTTTCAAGTCCCATGAAAGCTTGTCCTCGACGTACCGAAATGCCTTTGCTCTGGACTTCGTGATGGCCCGGCTGCTTCCTGGGATTTACCCTGAGGACTAGGACTAGGTATCGCGGTCAAAGCTGCCCCAATCTTGGGATCCAGTGGTGGCGTCACATGGTATGGATTCACGTCTGGAGATGTAGGTGGCCCGTGTGCCGTCGCTCTCATCATGACGGGGCTTGCCGACGTCGATAGGTAGTCGGTGCAGTCCCCTCCGGTAGACGTATTGAGGGGAGCCGGTGTCGACGCGTTCATATCCAGTAATGACGACTGGAGTTTTGTATACTTGCGCTGTAGCAGATCGAACTGCTTCTGCAGTTCCGCCTGCTTGGCTCGGCTGCCGGCCAGTGAAGACTCAATTGCTAGGTCAGAGTTGACCCCCGGTCTTGACCGCTCCTCTTGCCTTGTCGATAGCTGCTCTTGCAAAGCAGCCAGTTGGCTCTGGAAGAGCCTCTTGGTTTGCTGAACTTCAGCTTCTTGAGCTGTCAGCTTCATCTGCATCTCTTCCAACCTATTTTGCGTCTCTACAGCCTTAATCATAGCTTCCTGTCTCTCCAAATCTTTGGCTTGGAAATCTCGCTCTGATAGAGTCAATCGATTAACCTCGTCGCGTAGACGTTCCAATTCGTCGCCGTGGATTCCAATAGACTGCACATGCTGCTTCCAGTTGAGTTCCTTGACTTCGGCATCGCACAGGAGCACTCGAAGCTTGCCGCATTCTTCTTTGGACGCCGAGAGCTCCCTTTCCCGCTCTTCTAGCTCCGCCGCTGTCTTCTTCGACTCTTCTCGCATATTCTTTAGCTTGTTGTAAAAGTCTGTCTCCCATTTCTTTGCCATGGCGCGGCTCTTTTCCGACTCTTTTCGGACTTGCATCTCTGCCTTCTTGGCTTCCTCGTACCGGTTCTTGAGGTTGCGGTTTGTCATAAGCAAATTCTGCGTTTCAGCCTCTGTGGCAGCTTCCACAACTTGACGCCGCCGGAGGTCTCCAATATGCGTCATGTGCTGCTGCTTCAAGAAACGTTCAAAACTCAAGTCATTCTCTAAGAGAAGTACCCGACGTTGAAGCTGGACCACTTGAGTATGAGCATCAGCGTTGGTGGGCGGTATGGCACCAGATGTGCGTGGCAAGGTAGAAGGCGGCATGGCATCTTTGACCGATCGGTCAGCGTTTGAATCAGGATGACTCAGCGCCAGTGAAGCGACACTATCGTTTGCGAGCGACTGATGAAGCCCTGACTTGATTGTCTTGTTAGACTTGATCATGTCCTGTAACTGTGTGTGAGATGGCGACTGTGTCAGCTGAGTAGGACTCTCCGTGTGTCTGATTCTGGGATCGCCAGACTCCCTATTTGACGGTTGGCTAGACTGAGAACCCCTACGCAGCATCATGGAAGGGGTTCGATCGCTTGATGCGGAATCTGCGCTGGAGAACTGAGCCTTGCGCCAGCTGTCTACCTTGTTGGTACTAAGAAGCGCCGGATCAGACGTCACACGCTGAGGCTGATCGGAAGAATGAGGAAGCACAGCAGCATCAGCTGGTGTAATAGGCGGCAAGGCACCTTCGGCGAAGGGGTCGGCCTCGGTTGTCGTGCGTAGTCCCATACACCCGGCGACGACTTCGGCGGCTTCACACTTCATCCAGCGGGTAAAATCCGTCTTCTCAGATTCAATGGTTAATGTATAAAAGTTGGGATGTAGCACATGGATGCTGCAAAACTGTTCTGAATGATACCTCATCTCTGTCGGCTGCACCTCAATGCTGCTTGACTCCGAGGTTTCGGCGTGGCGTAGATGGCGCTGGGGCTTTCGAATATAGTCCATGAAATTGATTGGGTAGAGGCCATATAGTACGGAAAAGTACTGTCCAAGATGGCCAATTTCCAAGTCTTCAGAGTCTGGTTCATACGTGCACGCGGCCCAGCTTGCTGTGTAGGCGGCATCAAGAGATGCCATCTCGATAGAGCCTGATCGTTCTTGTTCCCAAAACAGTAAACGCGCATATATATTAAATAGCGTCGGCAGATGGGGTACTAGATCGCTCGGCATGTGTGGTAATAGCATGATAACAGTCGTCAGGGCTGCAGACACCACCGTGGTAGATGTATCGAGCTGCAAACACTGCAGCAGGCTTGTCCAGAGCTGCGTCTCGAGAATCTGGTACAGGTGTGGTGGCTGTCCTTGGATGAAGGCGCAAAAGAATCGGAGGAGCGGTTCTCGATGTTCTTGCTTTACAAAGAGCTTATTGAGCGACGCAAAGAACTCCTAACCAACAGTAAGCATATCGAAACTGCCTATTAAGTTTGAAATGACGAACCTTTGGTTTTCGTCTTCCAAATTGGCCCAGAGCTTCTCTCAAAAGCTGCTCATTGTGCTCCAAGGACTTGTTGCCCTCAATGTGAGCAGGATAGAAGTTGTCTATCCAGATGGAGAGAAGACGATCTATGATGGGATTGGACGTTAAATCCTCGTCGAAGGAATCCTGCAGCTTCTCAGCCAAGAGAGCCGTGTTCATCATTGCAGCAATAGTCTCCTTGACAACGGCCTTGTCTAACGGTGTGTTGTCGAGTATGTTTTGGCAGGCATCAAACCAGAAGAGCACCTTTTCAGGGCTCTGCAAGGCCATCTGGATGCGGCGGAGGACCGCCATCCATGGCCCAGTAGCAGTTGCATTGCCTCGGACATACTTATCAAAGATGGAGACAAGCTCTTCCTGAAGTCGGTCGGCAACGGCGTCGTCATAGGTCTCGTGCTTGTCGAGGTACGCGGTGATGGCAGCTTTGACGTCGTCGGGCAGGGGCAATGCAGGCTCTGCAATGTAGGCTGTGATGATCTTGCAGAGGTCCTTGACGGAGCTATTCGAGTGGGCCTGATCAGCGATGTGCGATGACGGCGCGGTAGACGGGAGTGAGGGGAGGGGAGAGAGCGGGGAGGGCGGGTGGTGATGCCATACCTCGAGGAAGCCATCCCGGCCGGCTGCAGAGATTTTTGGCCAAATTGATTGTTGCTGCGGGCTCAGACGAGCCCGCGCTTAAAGTAACGCTGTTGCCTGAGCGTTGGGGGAACAAAGGCGGCAGGTAATGGATAAGTTCCGTGATGTCACGGCTGGTAACACGAGCTTTGGACAGACAATGTGGTATGGGAAGCAGGCGTGGTCCGATCTTGGTGACGAGGTCAGGTTAGAGTCCCACTGGAGCTATGGGGCCAGTGCCCGGCTGGCGTTAGTCACGGCGGCGCGATCGCTGGCGAAAGGCCATGGAAGCGGTGGCAGAAGAGGTTGCGGGTACCCACTGAAGAAGCGATGCCATCGGCGGCCGGCCATGTAGCGAATACTTGCGTCGGCCCACTGCGCGCAGGAAGATGGAGCCCCTAAAACCCCGCATCCAGGGCGCATGACCGACCCCACGGCAAGAGAGGACAGTTGCCCGTCCAGAAAGAAAGCTTCAGACAAGAACGCAGCAATGTATCAAAGCTAGACACAAAGCACCAAATTAATTTAGAATCAGCTGATCGATAATTTGAGGACTAGGAGATGGCACCAATTCAGCAGAAGCAAGACTGGATGGACAAGTGCGCGCATCATACATACCAGTAGAAAGAATTCAGTACCCTGGCCCAGCACGACCCGCCCGGCCCAGTCCCGCAGGGTTGGCATTGGCTTTGAGCTCTAATGAAGACGCCCTGCCGTGCTATACGCAACCAGACGAATGCAGCATTGCGTGTATCGCTGGCATTGGTCCAGCACACACACACGCACACACACAGCTGCCATTCTAGCTTCTGGCATGATTCGCTGGCCAAACGCGGGGTAATTGACCCAGCCTTCTATGGGCCCTTGTAATTGAGCCCTGAGGCACCCCAAGTCACTCTTGGGCTTTCATCTGCCTGGTCTCTTCTTATATCATCCCCCTCCTCCTGACCCCCTCACCCTTCCTTTCCTCTTTCTTCTTCCTTTTCATCTATCTATTAACGCCATCAATTCTTCCTACATTTTCCATCTACACCATCCTCGATCCATTGCCTCTTCGCACCTCCATCCTCCTTTACTCTTCACCGTTTTCTTCTGCCCAATTGACTCGCGTGACCACACCATACCCACCCACACCCCCTCACCACACAACAACAAACATACAATACCGTCAAGATGAGTGTGAACAAGAGCTCTGCAGTGGCCGATGAGCCCATTGATGTGCTCATCGCCCTGCACCCCAAGTTTGACATTCTGGACCTCACCGGTCCCATGAAGGTCTTTACCACGGCCGCCCACGACTTCAACGACCAGTGTAAGTACCGTTTGTCCCCAGCTGCATCTTGTGGCTGGCGTTGGCAGCACCTCGCTGACCCCGCACCTGCACCACAGCCAGCAAAGCCTTCGAGGTCACCATTGTCGGAGCCGAACCAAAGGTTCTTTCCGAGCAGGGTGCTGTTATCGGTTCTCAAATCACCTTCAAGGAGGCACACGAGCGCCTCGAGGACTTTGACATTCTCGTCATCCTCGGCGGCAACTCGGAGGAGATTCTCAAGACCGATGCGCAGCCCCTCGGCCTCATCAACGACTTTGCCGAGCTCCAGAAGCGCGATCCCGGCAGGGAGCGAACCATGTTCTCCATCTCAGGCGGATCCCTCTTCCTCGCCCGCGAGGGCATTCTCTCTGGCCTCTCCGCCACCTGCCACCCCGACTTCATGACCAAGTTTGAGAATGAGTGCAGCGATGCTGCTACTCGCAACCTCCAGGAGCGCACTGACGTTATCGAGGATGCCCGATACGTCGTCAACAACCTTCGCTTTGACCTCGGCGATGAGGACGAGAACCCATACATTCGTCGCAAGTCCGATGCAGGCCGCCGACCATCCCAGACAGCTCGGTAAGCCCCACCCTCGCAAATACGACACTACAATAAAGATGGCACCATGTACTAATGGTTTCGTGCAGCAAGGGCAGCATGTCCTTCAAGGAGACTGGCCGTCGTGAGTCGATCGCCCGCCGTGCTGCCATGCGCCTTGGCGGTCTTCGTGTCATTACGGCTGGAGGCAACAGCGCTGGCATCGATGCTGCTTTGTATCTTGTCAGCGCTCTGGTTGACGATGGGTGTGCGGCGGAAGTCTCCAGGATCATGCAGTGGAACTGGAGCAAGGGCGTGGTTGTCGACGGTCTCGATGTCTAATTTTTGCATAGTTCGTTGTATTATAGCCTGTTGGGACTATGCACCCCTCTTGGGCTTGAGACCTGTTGGCCATACCGCCAGTAGTAGATTGAGTGCTACGTTTGGTGTGAGTCATATTGCCGCTGTCTATTGGATTATGCGGCAATACTCTCGTGTGCTTTTCTTCTCCTGAGTTAGTTGAGAGCAATATCTGTACCATTAAAGTAACTCTGAATGCCCCTACAGATGCATGCGTCCACGGCCCCACTCGCTCGCGACTGGACTTTGTGTGTGAATTCGTGAGGCGAGGGGAGTCGTGTGCTGTCCAGCATGCAGCACTACTCCATTAGTGTGTCCCACGTCAGTGATTTGTACAGTGTGTGTATGCCGTAAAATCAATTCAATTGCTTTCGGCCCGCGTTTTGCACACCGGCTCAGACTCCTCTGAGGCTCTGGAGCTTCTCAACCTCGATCGCCCACTTTTTAACGTGGAGACAGCGATTATAGCGGCCCAAATCCCCGGTCCAGTCAACTCATCCCATCCTGGATGAACGCCCCATGCTTTGCCCAATCGCGACGCGATTAGCTAAAAGCTTGACAAGGTGCCCGTGCAAGCCAGCCGCCTTTTGTCCCTGACGTTGCGCAACGCACTCGCTTTCTTTCATTTGTTACAGAATTTTACCTGTACCAAGCAAACCAAGTCACAAGCTGCAGAACGCTCGCTCTGGACGCTCGATACAACAGTGTCTTTCCATCGCTTCACGCTCATCACGCAGGCCGCGTGCTCGCAGCTCCTTGCGCACAGCGCCAACTCGACAACAAGCAAACGAGCTCTCCTACACACGCGAGTCTACAATTTCGACAGCCAGTGTCGCGTCGCTTGGGTCAACATATTATTCAAGTTGCGCATTTATGCACCTCTACCGCGTCGTCATCAATCAAAACTTCAACACAGCTTTGCCAACCATGGCTGACTGGGCCAAACTCAAGGTCGTGGACCTCAAGGCCGAGCTGAAGCGACGTGATCTTCCGCAACACGGTCTCAAGGCAGAGCTCATCGCGCGACTCGACGAAGCTGATGCCGCTACGGGACCCGCTGCAGACGAAGCACCGGCAGACGAGGAGGAACAGAGTGAATCAGCAGCACCGTCCGAAGACGATGGAGCGGCCGAAACAAACGCGTCGCCAGTGGCGGCCGCCAGCCCTGTGCCGGCAACGACGACAAAAATAGCGGCGTCCAACGAGACTGATTCTGTGTTGGAGGAAGTAGTCGGAAAGGTCGCCGATGTGGCCGAGACAACACAAACCGCAAACGCCGGTTACCTGCCGCCGACGGACCTGCCTAGCGATGACTCGCAGAAGCGCAAACGCAAATCGGCAACCCCGTCGCCCGACGAAGTGGAAACTGCAGCAAAACGGGCTCGAGCACTGCCAGAACGAGAAGAACAAGAAGAACAAGAAGAGCCATCCCCTACACCGGTCAACGAGGAAGAGAAGTCGGAAAGGTCAGAGGAGTTGCTGCCGGCTGATGGGCCTGCAGCAGCACCAGCACCACCTGCCGACGTTGAACAAACGCCGCCGCCCCTGACATCAAACAACCCGCCAGCGGAGCAACCTCACCTGCCTCCCTCTTCTCCGTCTCGCCGTTCTCCTTCACCCACGCATGCACCCGAGACAGCCGCCCTCGTCTCTGCCAGCGACAATACCGACACCCACATAGACACGATGGACGTGGATCACCATGTGGCGCCGGCGACGCACCCGGCCACAGCGGCGCTGTACATTAGTAACCTCATGCGCCCGCTTCGCCCGGCCGACGTGCAGGCGCACGTCTGCGAGTTGGCGTCAGGAGGTGCGAGTGACGGCCAGGCCGACGACAACAGCGTCATCGTCCAGTTCCACCTGGACCAGATCCGCACGCATGCGTTTGTCGTTCTGTCCTCGGTGCGGGCTGCGACGCGCGTGCGCGCGCTGCTGCACGACCGCGTCTGGCCCGACGAGAGCAACAGGAGAGCGCTCTTCGTCGACTTCGTGCCCCAGGACAAGATCAACGACTGGATCGCCATGGAGCAAGGCAACAACAGCGGTGGCGGCCGACCTGGACGGTCGACGGCCCGCTGGGAAGTCATCTACACCACCGGCGCCGACGGCGTTGTCGAGGCTCATCTGAAGCAAGTTGGCGGCGGTGGCAGCGGCGCTCGTCCTCCACCGACCGGCCCGTCGAGCAAAGCCGGCAACGTCAACACCGCCACCACGATTGACGCACCTACCGGCCCGCGCGGCGCTCGTCCTCGCGACCGCGACGACCTCGACAGCAGACAACAGCAGCCCGCCGCCATCCCGCCGCCGCCCAGCGACCTCGACTACGAGCTGCAGCGCACGCGCGCCCGTCCGGTCATCACCTTCCAGCGCGTCGCCCCCACGCTCGCGCGTCGCCGCGTCGACAACATGCGCTCCTTTTATACGGCGGACTCGCGCCGCCCGCTCGGCCGCGACTTCAACCGCTACTCGTTTGAGAGCGGCGACGGCTTCGTCGACCGCGGCAAGGAGGTCTTTGAGGGGATCCGGCCGCCGCACCGGGAACGTGGTGGCCGCCGCGGTGGTGGTGGCCGCTTGGGCGGCAAGTTTGGCGGCGGCCGAGGTGGTGGAGGAGGTCGGCGATCCGACCGCTACCTGCCTGGTGGTGGTGGTGGTGGTGGTGGGCGAAGATGGGAAGATGACAGGGACCGCGATCGCCGCTATTAGGACCTGCCAGACGACCCCTTCTTCCTTTCGGTTTTTTTTTTCTTTTTCGTGGTTTGTATCTTGTATCTTCGTTTCTTGGCTTGTGTGTCTTTTATTCGGAAGGGAGGGCGTTTATGGGGCGGCAAAAGGGCAAAGGGCAAAGGGCAAAGCACATGGTCGGATGTTGAGAATAATTTGCTTTTGTTAACCAGATCACGGTCGATCGGTAGAGTCGGGCCTGGTGAGATAACAGTTTGGGCAATTACAGAGGCGACTCAGAAAATAGATTTTTAGTAATATATGGGAGCATTCACCCCGACAGAAAGTTTGCTTTGGCCGGCCCTTACTGAGACTGATTGAGAAAGTGCAGAGAATATGTGAATAAGCGGTTTTAGATGTCCTTCATATTCTTTTATGTTTCAACTAGATATCTTCCTTTTCTAATATTCCCCACTGCATTCCGTTACCCTGTCCTCTCATGAGTTCTCATTTGTTGTGAAATTCAACCCGTTCGAGTATTTAAGCAGCGCTGGCGAGCGACTCGGGCTCAACACCAACACGCTCGCGGCTCATGACATCGAGGAGGAACTGGCTGGGGCGGTTGTCCTTGTAGACGGTCTGGGCGCTCTTGGCCTGGCGGACGCTGTCGAGATACTTCTCAAAGAGGTACGAGCTGTCCATGGGACCGCCCTTGGCCTCGGGATGGAACTGAGTCGAGAAGATGGGGCGAGTCTTGTGGATCATGCCTTGATGTTCAGTTAGCTTGAAAAGTCCAGTTTTATGAATATTTAGCACTGCTTACCCTCGTTGCTGCCGTCGTTCAGGTTGACAAAGTACTCCTTGAACTCGCTCGGTAGAGTGCTGGCATCAATGGCATAGCCATGGTTCTGGCTGGTAATGTGGCACTGACCCGTGGTCAAGTCGAGTGCAGGGATGTTGTGGGCGCGGTTGCCGTACTTGAGCTTAATCGTTCGGGCACCGACGGCGAGAGCCAGAAGCTGGTGGCCGAGGCAAATGCCCATGATGGGAATGGATGAGGTCTCCATCAGGCGGGCGAGGTTGTAGACAGTTTCCTGGCAGTGAGTCGGGTCGCCGGGGCCGTTGGAGATGAAGACGCCATCAAAGTGCTGAGCGACCTTGTGGATCGGGTAGTTGTAAGGCAGAACAGTAACCGAGGCGCCGCGGCTGACGAGGCTTCGCATGATGTTCTCCTTGACACCGCAGTCAATGAGGGCAACGTGCAGGTCAGCGCCGGGCGACTCGACGACGAAGGGAGCCTTGGTGCTGACGCGCTTGACGAGGTTGATCTGGCCAGGGTCGATGAAGCCCTCGTCTTCATCAGCATCGTACTCGTCGCCGATGGAAATTCTGGCGAGGGAGGAACCCTGCTCTCGGAGGAACGTGACGATTTCTCGGGTATCGACTCCAGAGATTGCAGGAACACCCTCGCGAGCGCACCACTGGGCCAGGCTCTCGACGGCGGTCCAGTGGCTGTAGTTGAGGGCCACGTCGGAGACGACAACACCGGCGCACTGGATGTGGGGTGACTCAAAGTACTTGAGAAGGTTGTACTGGTCACGCTCGTTTGAGGGGACTCCGTAGTTGCCAATCAGAGGCTGAGTGAAGACGAGAATCTGACCGCGGTAGGAAGGGTCGGTCATAGACTCGGGATATCCAACGAGGGACGTGGTAAAGACCGCCTCGCCAGAGATGTTAGCATTGGCGCCGAAGGCTTTTCCACGGAAAATGGGACCGTCCTGGAGATGAGCGAATTAGCAAAAAGCGGCTTTGCGGGGGAAGGTATAAGATTGGGCAAAAATCGAGGGGGGATGAGACATACGCGAATGGTAAAAGTAGCAGGGACAGAGGCAACGGGTGCGGTGCCGGCTTTGCCACGCTTGGGCATAGCTCTGCCTTTGCTACCAGAGGAGAGATATTGGACTTGGGCCGGCATGAAGCTGCTGCGAGCGGGCATCGCCAGGCGGGCGACGGGCTTAGCAGCACGGCTTGTCAGGCGGGCAGCAAACATTTTGGGCGAAAGCGTTTAGATTTGCTTGAAAGCCGGGTTCCAGATCTGTTTCGAGGGAGGGGTCTTGTTCATAATCTGAGGGCGACGCAAAGGGGTCGGAGGAATCTTGCTGGAGGCCGCGCAGACTATATGGGAGGGAGGAGGGTCAATGGTTAGTCTGGGTTGCGTGCTGACGGGGTGATGCGTGATGCTGCTGCAGCAGGGAGAGCGGTGTATGCAAGAGGTGTTTTGGGCGGCGGAGCGACGTACCGAGGGCAGCGGCCAGGGTCGATTGGGATGTGATTTAAAACAGCAGAGAATGCCGTGGGTGTCGCGATGAATCGGAAAGGGTTGTGGGACAGAGGGTGGTGAGGCCGTCCGGAGGGTGGTCGCGGAGGCGAGGCGGTTTGATTAAATTATCTGGAGGAGGATGGAGAGGGACGAAAGAGTGTGTAGCGCCCAGTGATGGGGAAAAGGCACCAGCGCGGCAAGTTTTTTGGTGGTGACTGACTGTAAAAGGCTCCCGAGACCGGCGAGTGGGCGAGCTTACTCTGGTACCTATTAAGTAATTTTAGCGGCTCATCTGGGGCGGGTGACTTGGTAATTTGGTTGCAGCAGTGTGTTTCTACTAGTAAAAGAGGGAGGGTAGTATGGGGTAATAATGCCGATGAATCGATTTTACTACATAAATTGACAAGGACAAGTAAGCCTGCAGAAAGAAAAAGAGAGCATTTAAAAACCAGTAAATGGATAACCCGAACAACGCAGGGGTTTAGCAGGTCAGGTACCAGCTTTTTCAGACATGCCGTGTGTGGCATAGGTACCTGAGAGAAGCGAGCCACAGGGCCTGGCCAGCCCGCTCAATTCACTGTAGAAAAAGTGCACCCAGCGCTGGGATGGTTGAAGAAATGACTCTAGTGGCACTCCGGGGACCACGGGTTGTTGGGACGCCGGACGGTATCGGCGCCTTTTTTTTCTTGCTACTGTCCCCTCCAAAATGCAACTAATGCAATAGAGTTGCCGTCTTCTATTGGTTCGTCTAGTCAATACTTCCCCTCTTTTCTACGCCGCTTTATCTGCCGCTCCACTGCAGCTTTTTCTGGCCTCCAAGACAAAGCTGGTGTCTTGTCCTGCCCTGCAGCTGCAGTTGAGCCAATTTATGCCGGCTTGATGTATAGCTGAATGAACAAATTAGGGTGTATATATGTCGTTGGGCACCTGGAGGATTACGGAAGAGTGACATTGGGAGTGGGTGATCTTGCTTTGGAGCAAGCCTGCCATGTTGGCACTGTCAACGCCCCGGACAGCATCTTGTCCCGCACGCTCGACCTTATCTTGCAGAAGCCAGGCACAAGAGATCAACTGCCTTGGACAATCTAGCGTGCCGGGGTTTAAAGCATCGGAGCAACCTGCCAAAGTTAATTTATCGGTGTATTTCTTAGTAAGCAACGTACACCTCGACAGATCTACAGGATCGCGTGCCCATTCCCCTTGGGGTATGAATGCCCCAGGCAACCAGCATATGCATGTGCTGCACGGTGCATGATTCAACTTCCTTGGCTAAGGCGCATTTCAGTACGGGTAGATGGAAGTGAATGTGGCAAATTGGCTGCATGTGATTCCTCAATCCATTCACACCTTTTGCTCCCAACGTTTCGAATTATGCCCATCACTTGAATATGAAGAGGAATTCACATGTCGGCTCACCATTGTAAATCATGGGCTTTTGGTCATGGTTCTATGATCGTGGTCCTACAGGTGTTTATTGTTGCATATCCCCATTCCCTCTTCACAGAGCACCGAGCTCCTTGAGCTTGCTAACCAGGCCGTCGACATCCTCGACCTTGCCACCACCCTGTCTCGCGGGAGGTTCTACAAGCCAAATATGTCAGTACATAGTAACGAATAAATAAGGGCAAAAACCCCGTGTAAGGACCGTTGTCTTGTTGCAAAATAACTTACCAGTAACCTTGAGGATCTTGAGGCGGACCTCGTTGCCGATGCCCAGGTCGCCGAGCTTGACCTTTTCCAGCTTCTTCTTCTTGGCCTTCATGATGTTCGGCAGGCTCGCGTAGCGCGGCACGTTCAGCCGCAGGTCCGTCGTGATCACCATCGGCAGCTTCGCCCGCACCGTCTCCACGCCGCCGTCCACCTCCTTGGTCACCGTCACGCTGTCGTCCGCGCCGAACTCGACCTTGCTCGCCTGCGTCGCTTGCGGCCACCCGAGCAGCCCCGCCAGCATCTGGCCCGTCTGCCCGGCGTCGTCGTCGATGCTCTGCTTGCCCAGCACCACCAGGTTGCTCTTCTCCCGCGCCGCCGTCGCCGCCAGCAGCTTCGCCACCGCCAGCGGCTCCAGCTCCTCGCCCTCGGCCAGCTCCACGTGGATGGCCCGGTCCGCGCCCATCGCCATCGCCGTCCGTAGCACGTCCTGCGCCTTGGCCGGCCCGGCCGACACCACGCAAATGTCCTCCACGCCGCCCGGGCTGCGCTCCTCCCCCCGGATCCGCACCGACTCCTCGACCGAAAGCTCGTCGAACGGGTTCATCGAGTGCTTCACGCCGGCCGTCTCGACGCCCGTCTGCGCCTTGTTGACGCGCGGCTTGACCTGTGTGGCGGGAAGATGTCATTAACCCTTTGCTGCCCATTCCGAGGACCCGAGCAAACAGACAAAGAAAAGAGAGGCAGACGGCGTAGGGAGGGCAGGAAAAAAACTCACAGCATAATCAATTACCCGCTTAATGGGAACAAGAATTCGTAGCGAAGACATGGTTTACTTGTCGATTGACGTCTCAATGCTAGGGACGAAATGCAACAGAGGCGGGTTGTGCTGGGAAGAAGACCGGCTTTGGCTCTTAAGCTTGGCTGGGTCGGCTCTGGTTGTCGCTGGCGCAACCCACATCGATCCGACACATGCCGGCTTGCGCCGGCCGCACCAAATCTGAGTGGACAAAACGTGTCACGTGAGCCCGGACAGCTCACCGACCATCGGCGGCCGACCGGAAATCGACGTCTGTGACTGAAGATCAATCGGCTAGATGCGTGTATAAATGTTGTTGAATAAATGGTTCTAGATTAAAAAAACTCTATAGCAATTTGCTCCATGCATCTACCCCGGCCAAGAACACGCCATACACTCCCATGCAAATCGTTCGTAAAAAAGGGAATCATTCCAGCAATTGAGAGAGCGGCAAATGAACATAGAAAAAAGATGAAAACAAAAAAACACTTCGATGGCCGTAATCATTGTCTTACCAGTCATCCCACTCGTCATTCTTTTTCTGCGCCGCAGGCGGTGTATTTCCCTTTTTACCCATCCCCATGGCGCTCGTGCCAATGGAGCTGTTGCTCTGCGCTGGCTTTTGATCCGCGAGGCTTGAGAACGAGTCCCAAAAGTCTTTTTTGCTCTCGTCCAGCGGGGCTTGGCGTCTAGCAGCGTGCCCTGTGTCATTGCCCTCGACGAAACGGTTGAATCCCTCTTGAGCATTCTTACCGGCCAGCTGCGCCTGCCGGGCTAGTTGCGCCGCTGTAAGCTGCGCTTGTTTGGCAAAGTCTCCTTCGGCAAACTACAGTCGTTGAACATTGCATTAGTAAAGGAGTTGCGTGCATAGAGTAGTCCGGGGCTTATAAAGTCAGCTTACCTTGGTAGCTGTAGGCTGAATGTACCCGTCGTTAACCGTCTTGGCTGTCTTGGACACGGTGGACGTGAACCAGCCGAAGCCTTTGGAAATGGCAGCAAATGGATCCTGCTGCACCTCGTCAAAGTTGGGAAGCGCACTGTTGCCATTGCTCTTGCTCGACGCTGGCATGTTGCCAAAGCCCGCATACTTGCCGCCCTGGCTTGGGGCCAGGTCGTCGGGTCGCAAGGCATTGTCCGCGCCGAGCTTGGCAAAGTACTTGTCGTCCACCTTGACCTTACCCCCCGACTGCGCCGGGCTCTGACTGCGGCTGTTCCGGTTGGCGGTGCCGCTCAGCGGCGTGCCCGTCCGGGAAGACGATGACGGGGTGGCCGCCGACGCCTTGACAGCGGCCGGCTGCGGCTGCGGCGGTTTCTTCTCGCCTGGCACATACTCTCTGCCCTCGACCTTGCACGACAAGCGCTCCTTGTACTCCTCGCCGACCTCGCCGCTATACCGCTCCGCAATGGTGGCATCGTCCCACGAGAGGCCGCGCATTTGTGTGTCGTCGTGCGTGTCGAAAAAGTCCCGCCAGTTCTCGTTTCCTCCCAGCCGCATTCGCTCAATCTCGCTAGCCTTGAAGGCATCCATCGAGATACTCCTCACAAAAGAAATGTGCACGCCCAGACCGCGGTGCACACCCGCGCACGACAGGCAGATGAAGACGCCAAACTTCGGCGACGCCCATTGCGGAGACGGGGCGTTGCAGTCACAGCAGACGTTATTCTTGGATTCTTTTTGAATCGCGGCCAGCTTTTTGCGGAGAACGGGGTGTCAGTCGGGTCGGGCGCATACGACGGCTGAGGAAAGGGGGATGTCAGGTGGCATGCGACAACTGTCCTTACCTTGGATCGCGTCTCCGGATCGACCTCCCACATTGCCTTGGACGCCATTGTGTCTGGCTTTCCCGTGTAAAGTAGTTGATATTTTCTTGCCTTTGCTGAGCCAGATGTTCAACGCCACTCCCTTGGGTGAAGTGTGAAGTGGCAGCGCTGGCAATATCGAGGGACGGAGTGGACGTTTGTGCCTGGACGACCGCCCCAGATTATTATGGGACACCGACGGATCATAGGCGGGGCAACCGCCAGGAGCCGCCCTGTGTGGAAGCTGGAAACCAACATGATGACCATGTTGAGATGAATATTCATAAGTACGCACAAACACCCACCAACAGCCAGTCACGCATACAGGGAGTCAATTAATTCAGCTTCATTAGTCTACAGTCCCATTAAATGAAAAAGCAAGAACTTCAAGGAGCAGAACACATTAAAAGGTGGTAAGCACTACCTTAGCTGTGAAGACATCTATGCCATGCTCATCATGCACCAATATCGATACGAAATCGCGAGCAAAATAATTGAAGAAAGCCACCCAATATCAAAGCGTCCCTTGAGTCGTTCACATCACACTCGTGCGAGAAAAAAAGAATATTGCGTTGGAAGTAGTCATATTTCGTCGAACTTGCGTGCCAAATCGTTGGCTGTGCTCATAGGCAAGGCTAAGATACTAGCGTGCCAGTTGTGCCTTAAGGATTCGTTTAGGCGGCAGCAGTGGCGGCAGGAGCCTCAGCAGCAGCCTCCTTATCAGCGGCCTCGCCCTCGGGGGCGTTGGCCTCCTCATCAGTCTTGTCAGGGCTGTCAATAGCAACCTTGACAGCGATCTCACGGCCCTCAATCTCCTTGCCGTTCATCTCGCTAACGGCCTTCTGCTGCAGCTCCTCAGTAGCCAGGGTAACGAAACCAAAGCCACGGCCCTTGCGTGCCTCACCACGAGCCTGCAGCTTCTTGATCATGAAGCGGGGGATGGGGCGCAGAGCGATCTTGGCAGAAGAAGGCTCGTAAGCCTTGAAGAGCTCAATAAGCTAGAGGTCGAAATGCAATTAGCCATGTTCCCTGTGTACTCGTAATTTGTTTCTTTTTTCCATACCTTCTCCTCGGTCAGGTCGTAGGGCAGATTAGCGACCATGACCTTGGTCTTGGAGGCAATGCCATCAGCAGGGGGACCGCGCTCACGGCGCTCGCGGGGCTCACGGGGCTCACGGGGCGCGCGAGGCTCTTTCTTAGCCTTGTTTGTCGTGTCAGTTGCTTTCTTGTTGGTAATGTCTTTAAGTGGCTGAACCTCAGTAGCGGCGGCGGCGTCCGCATCGGTGGCAGGTGCGGGGGTTGCGGCAACCTCAGCAGTTCCAGCAGTTCCAGTCTCGCCTTCCTTCTTCTCCTCACCCTCCTATGACAGTTGTTAGATGGTCGTGCGACCTACAAGCTGCGAATGTAGGGCAACTCACAGCGCGGCCAGTACGGCCACCACGACCGCCACGGCCGCCGCGGCCACCACGGCCACGGCCACGACCAGCAGTACGACGGCGACCATCGGTACCGGCACCTTCACCGTTGGCACCTTCAGCCTTCTCGCCAGCCAGCTCAGGCTTGCGAGCGAGCTGGACAGAGACCTTGCGCTCAAGGATCTCCTTGCCGGAGAGCTCCTCGATGGCGCGCTCTGCCTCAGTAGGGGTCGAGAGGTCGACGAAGGCGTAGCCGACAGGACGGTCGGTGCGGGGGTTCTTGGGGATGGAGACAGACTCGCTGGAGAGGAGCAAGAGTTAGCATTCGTCGGGGCGATGGATAGAGATGATGAGCGACTGGGAGCCAAGCCTGAGTGATTGGTCGCAGAGGCAAACGACGGCGTGGGCGAGGCTTGAAGGGCGGAGGTATCATGGCTGGATAGATGCAGCAACTTACACAAGATAGTTCTTGAAAAAGTCCTTCAACTCTCCCTCAGTTGTCAGGTAGGCCAGGTTGCCAATGTACAGACGACGGCCCTCTGCAGCGGAGGCAGAGGCGGCCTCGTTGGCAGCGGCCTTGTCATTGATAGAGGTGTTGCTCAGAGTGTTGGCAACGTCATTGACGGTGGCATCAGTAGCCTTCTCCACGGCGGTAGCAGACATTTTAAAGATGTGCGGGTTTGAATGGAGATGGAAATGTGCGTGGTGTAGCTTGCAGGTAGGAATGACGCTGAGAACGATTGCGAGGTTGACGGGGGTTCAGGTATCCGGCGGAGGCGGAGGATGTGAGTTGAACTCTGGTGCAATGAGGGGGGAGTTGGTCAGGGTAGCTTGGTGCCCTAGAATCGGGTGGAAATATCGACAGACGACGGTGCGTTGCGCGGAGACACAAGTTGACTTTTGTTTGTGATGAAGGAGAGGGAAAGGGGGGGAGGGACGAGATCTGGAGGAGAGGCATACTAAATAATTTTTGCCACGGGCGCCGCAGAATGCAGGCGCGGCTGGCCGGCCGTGGTGGTGGCCCAGCCCAGACCAGCTCGCACATAATAAAGGTGAGCGAGTAGGTGCGTGCCTACCTATGTACCTATTGCCAAAGTACTACCCAACTTGCCGCTTCCGTTGCCCAAGGCTTTTGCCCAAGTTGACACATGTCAAAATAATAATTAAATGACCAAGTCACATCTGTACTTGGTGAAGCGTAGTACTTGGATGGTCGAGCACTTTGCGCTACCAGTCGCAGGTAACTAATAAATGTTCCATCTACCAGTGGTGACTTCGTTGTGACCGGTCGCGACTTATGACTGTGCTGTCTGTGGAACAACATGCACGGCAGGTGCGCTGCAGGCTGCAGGCTACAGGCTCCGAGCAATCAGGGGCCGCTACACCGGCGCTAACTCCCTGTAATTTTTACGCCATATTTGGAAGGTAAACGCCGTGTATAACCACGTGAAACCACCACTCCTCTCCTATTTTCCATGATAAGAGCATCAATAACTACGTAGACAAATGACGCCGTCTCTCTAGTGAAGCCCCGGCCATGCCAAGTTTCCCTGGCACAGGCTCACTTCTTTCACACAGTGGACTCTCATCAACCACCTCTCCACATCCATCCAAGAGATGTACACCAAAAGCCTGCTAGCGTAGCACTTCATTTTGCCTTGTTCATGCTTTCAACACGTAAGAAATGGAAAGAAGGAAAACGAAAGTGTGTTGCTCTTGTATTCAATGATAAGTAAGCTTTTCCGTTCCGTCAGTTTCTCAACGCAATTTGCCGTCACACCACTACCGCAGCCGGTCACGTGGACGCTGCTCTAACAATGGCACTTTGCCTTGCCGCAGAATTGTATGCAATGAACAGACGAGATTGCTTATTATACCTGTAGTTATGCTGCCTGGCTTCACCGCCACTGCCATATTAACTCCCTGCTAGTATCCCTCACCCACCACCACCATTCCCACTTCCACACCGAATGAGCAATTCCTGCAGTCCGGCATCCTCTTTGTATCTGTCCAATGCTGTTCCTTTCCAGTCCTCCCACGTCATGCCCGCGTCCACGCCAGACGCATCCCGCAAGCCGCGAAACAGACCTAGAAACCCGTCCCAGTCGCTGAGGTCGATGCCGCAGCAAAACGCAAACAAGTGCTGCACGCGACCCTCCAGCACGAACTGCGCCAGCGGGCCATGGCCCTTTTCCTGCAGAAGCTGCGCAAAGACGGCCTCGTCGGCGCCAATCGCCCCCTTTCCGGCATAAAAGTCTGCAACGGGAAGCAGCCCGACCGGCGAGTTGAAGGCCTCGGCCGGTGCGGCCGTGTGCGCCCACTCCCAATCAATAATACCCGTGATATTGAAACTCTCGTCCACCAGAATGTGATCCCCCTTGTCGTCGTCGTGCTTGAGGTAGAACTTTTCGTTGCCTGATGCTGGCGGCGTCAGCACGGGCACCAAGTCGACGAGGAACCGATGCAGCAGATATGCTTCCACGGGTTGCGTCGCGTACATTTCTTGAGCCAGTATCCTGTCCAGTATTAGCCGCAGATGTGATCTGCGATATTGCTCGGCAGACCGGAAGGGGCTGCAGGTCTGCAGCCTACCTCCAACCACTGTGAGCAAAGATTCGTGAGCAAATGCGGCGACATGGGGCCTTCCAGGCGTCGCAAGAGACCCCAGAGCGGGTAGCGGATGCTTGTATATCTCAATCAGCACATCCGCGAGCTGCTCCATGACTTTGCGTCTTTGGTCCGGGCTTGCTGCAGGCCAATCCAGTGCTTTCCCTGGAAGCTTCTCCATGAGAATGTACCCGACCCCAACCGGGTTGCTTTCGTGCTCCAGAGCGTAGCCATGAACCTTTGGTGTCGGCACGGCTGTCGTTTCGAGAAACATCAAAGTCGCCACCTCGCTTTCGAAAATGTAGTCTCTCACGACCTGTGGTGGTGAAGTGGTATTGGATCGACGCATTCGAGCAACCCAAACTACATTGTCCGCGAAGAGAATTTCTATGTGGTAGTTCATACCACCCATGTGAGACCTCCGTTTCGCCGAGTCGTATTGAAACGGCGCCACAGAACACTCGATACCTTGTCTCAACTGCGACGCGCGTGCCACTAGAGCATCTACATTGATCTTGCTGAAAAGCGTCGACAACTCGTTGTCTTCTGCTTTGCAGAAAGCTGGGTAAAAGATGCCGTGGTCCTTTTTCACAACATTGTCAGTATTGGTAACTCGAGATGGGAGCGTGACGCACTTTCCAAGACGGGCAGTCGTGGAAACTTGGCCCGAGATGGTGCGCGCAAAGGTGGCGGTTACAGAGTACGCAATCTCCTTCGTGTCGCACAGCCGGCCTGGTGCAATCCTTGGCATGGCAATACCAGAGAGGCATCTTTGACAGAAAAATCTCGGATTATCAGAATGGCGCTGACGAAGTCTCGTTGTCGATGGGCAAGTATCAAGTGCTAGGTGCGACGAGCTGCCTTTTTATACCCCTGCGTTTCATGATTTTCGGAATAGGACCGAGAGATCAATGCAGAACAAATCGTTCCGAGGTTCCTTCACAGCAGCCATTCCAAGTGACGCAGAAATCAGGTGCCTGTGCTAACACTTGTGTGAGTGCGGTCTGGCCTGTGTGCGTGTGACACAAGCAGGCGAGACAGTGCGACCAAAATCCAATATCCTGGTTATTCTTTTTTTTTTTTAGCATTCCCGTGCTTTGTCGGTCTTGTCTACCGAATAAATCAACAATCAAGAGCTCTGCTTGGCTGTTGGAGCAGCAAACTAGCGAGTAACCGAGAGCCCGGTCAACGAGTTTGGCCCAACATCAGGACCGAGCTGCGACATTTCCTGTTTATCCCTCCAGCCGATCAAACAAGACACCCCCTTCGCCAAATAATTCAAATTTTAGCTCAATCTTGCTTGCAGCCGCTCCATCTCGGCTCCCGGCTGCGTCATGGCTAGTAAAAGCCGGTGGCTCGCCTCGCCCAGACTCAGGCCGCCGCCGCCGCCATCGGATGCAGACCCGTTTTTCCATTCCCAAGCAAACGACTCGCCGCCACTGCCACCAAGCAAGCGCATGAATTCTTCGAGACTACAGTAGCAGCAGCGCATCGACATCGCATCAACAGCAGTCATTTGCCAATCCTCCCGTCGAGGCTGCCGTCCGCCGCCGTCACCGTCATATGGAAGTTTTACCCGACTCACCCATCCCGGAGCGCTAACGAGCCTCCGCCGCCGCTCCGCGGTGCCTTGCCCAGCATGCAGGACAAGATGGCTGCCGCACAGCACAGGACCGTCCTGGTCCTATACGGCTCCGAGACGGGCAACGCGCAGGAAATAGCCGAAGAGCTGGGCAGAACCTGTCAGCGATTGCATTTCCAAACGACCGTCGAAGAGATGAACGCCGTGACTCTGGTTCGTCCTCTGAAAGATGACATATTGCGACAAGCCTCACTGACCTGTGGATAACATCGTCACAGCCAGAACTGCTCCAGAATGAACTTGTCATATTCGTCGTCTCCACTACTGGACAGGGCGACATACCGCACAACTCTACTCTATTCTGGAAGAGGTTACTCCAAAGAAGACTGCCAGCGGATTGCCTCACACAAGTTCAATATACGTGTTTTGGACTTGGCGACAGCACATATGTCAAGTATGTTTCACGCGCTCCTCCTTGCTTTTGCCATCCAGATTGAGCCTTATTTGAAAGCTTGATTCGGCTAATACCCGAAACAGATTCAATTGGGCTGCGCGGAAACTGATTCGTCGCTTGGACCAACTCGGCGCTTCAACCTTCTACGAGACATTCGAGGCTGATGAGCAGTTTCCCGACGGGTACGCAGGCCTCCCTTTCCCGTGTCCCCTCTTGTGGTTCGTAGCTTCTCACATCACACAGCATTGAAGGGTCATTTGCCCGCTGGTCCGACGGCCTCTCCAAGCACCTCCTAGACAAGCATTCTCATCCTCCAGGGCTGGAACCCATCCCCAACGACGTCATTCTCCCCCCGCGATGGTCGTTGGAGCCCGCTTTACGGGGTATTGAGAAGACGACTGCCACCTCGAAGCAGCCGCAAGAGAATGGCGACACGTCGCCCAAAGCGTCCTCGGGCAACACCCCCCCTGCCGATCTCTTGCACGTCCCCGGTGGCTGGACAGCCACGCTTGCCGTCAACGAGCGCGCGACGCCCGAATCACACTGGCAAGATGTCCGCCTCGTATCCTTCGACGTCCCCCCTCGAGCACCGCCGTCGGCCTCCGGCGCGGCCCCGGAGCCGCTCCGCTGCCAGCCAGGCGACTGCCTCACCATCTATCCCAGAAACTTTCCCGCCGACGCCGAGCGGCTCATCGCCCTGATGGGTTGGGAGGCCGTCGCCGACGAACCCCTCGACCTGTCCAAGTGCGGCGCGCTGCCGCGCGGCCTCTTCGTACCGCCCACTCCCACCACCTTGCGCCGGCTGCTCCTCGACAACATCGATATCACCGCCATCCCGCGGCGCTCGTTCCTCAAGAGTATGTCCTTCTTCTCCACCGACGAGTACCACCGCGAGCGCCTCCTCGAGTTCACCCTGCCCGACTACGTCGACGAGTATTTTGATTACGCCACGCGCGCCCGCCGCACCATCATCGAGGTCCTTGAGGAGTTCACCTCGGTCCGCCTGCCCGCCGCGCGGCTCCTCGACATCTTTCCGCTGATTCGCGGCCGCGACTTTAGCATCGCCAACGGCGGCGACCAGCTGCTGCACCAACCCACCGGCCCGGGCTCCGGTGCTTCTTCTTGTACACGGGTGGACCTGCTCGTCGCCATGGTGCGCTACCGCACCGTCCTCCGCAAGCCGCGCGAGGGCCTCTGCTCGCGCTACCTCGCCTCCCTGCCCGTCGGCGCCGCGCTCACCGTCACCAAAAAGGATGTGCTATCGCCCGTTCACGGCGCCGCCTGCGCCCGTCGCCCGCTCATCGCCCTGGTCACCGGCACCGGCGTCGCGCCCGTCCGCAGCCTCATCCACGAGCGCCTGACCCACCAAGCGGCACGCGGTGCCGTCGGCCCCATGCTTCTCTTCTTCGGCAACCGCAACCGCGCCGCCGACTACTTCTTCGAGTCTGAGTGGGCCGCCCTTGGAGGCGAGAAGACCGCCGATGACAACGACGAGATTGACAGCCGCCTGCTCACGGTATTCCCGGCCTTCTCGCGTGACCAGCGCGAGAAGGTGTACGTGCAGGACCTGGTGCGGCGCGAGGCCGCGGCGCTGGCCGCGTTGATCCCGCGGCGGCCCGTCTTCGCCGTCTGTGGCGGGTCGTCCCGCATGGCCGAGGCGTGTCGGCGCGCCGTCTGGGAGCCCTTCCTCGACGCAGCGGGCGGTAACGAGGCGGAGCGGGCGGAGCGTAGGAGGATGCTCGACGAGGTGACGTGGTGGCAGGAGATTTGGTAGATTGGGGTGAAGGGGCTGGGTAGGGTGGTGGATGCAAGGGACAGGCGTTGAGGACGGGATGAAACAAAAAGCGCAAGGCAGGATATATCATGGAATTTATAGAATAGATATCAAGACAACAGCTTGTCGAGTTTACTGTCATACCATTCATTTATCGGACAGTTCAGTCATATATAGCGTCACCTTCCCACACTTCTTGCAAAACAAAATTGTTGATTCTATAATAGATTATTTTTCAGGAGTGTAGCTCTACCTAAATAGCTAAAAATCCGGGCTATGCGTTGTTGGCCAACGCAACCGACCCTCTTTGATCGACAAGAGGATGATGCCCTTTCCATCTCTTAGTGCTGCTTGTATGAGAGGCAAAGGCAGACAAGGCCAGAATCAGACGCGAGCCTCATAAAAGAAAGACAGGCTGCGTATCGTGTAAAAACGGAGAAAAAAAGTGTCAGACATACATGATAGCATGCTTCGTTGAACATGCTAGTTGAAACAGAAAGGGTGTGGGATATCGATGCAATAAAATGAGAGAACACCAGTTGAGAAACCAAGAAACAAAACAGCACCTCTGGCAGGCGTCAAAAGACCTTGCATGAAAAAAATAAAAGGACAGAGCTGGTAAACTTCCAATGGCCCAGCCTCATTCCGGGCCCGGCTGTAATACCGAGTGCCCAAATACGCTGCCACCCAACTCCGAATGCCGTATACTCCAAAAATCAAACCAAAATCCAAAGTCATTTTTGCTCGCAAAAATGTAGTGATCGTGTGTGGTCGTTGCATCCACATGTAAAATGGCAAGACAGATCTTGCCACATTAGATTATTTTCCTTACTTCGTACAACTTTTTCGCGTCGCCGTGAGCTCATCGCTCTTCTTCCCAGCTGTAGCGCTTCTCAGCTAACTGTGGTACGTGGACGAGGTCATCACCACCGATGCGCCCGCCGCTGCTCTGGGATCCAGAACCGCTCCTGTCGCTGGTGGGCGAAATATTCTCCTCTTCTTCCGTTGGCGCAGGCAAAACGGTGCGGATTATGGGGTGGCTGACTGTCGGCCGTCGGTTGATATTCGCAGAGTCCTGAGAACGCGAGGCCGACATTATTGACTGGCGCGTGATCTCTTCCACCATAGCATCCTCCTCGTCGGTGAAATTGCTGCCGAGGCTGCCTGTGGAAGGTCGGTTGGGCGTATGACGAGCTTGGCCTGTCCAAGACTGCCCATTTGTCCCCGTTGCATTAGACATCATGTTTTGTCTAAACAAGGACACGTTTTCTGGCAGGGGGCCAAGGCACACGACCTTCGAGGGCTCAATGGGAGTCCGTTGAAAAGAAGCTTGCGGAAGAGGGAAGGACACGTTGTCTCGTCTTTGCTGCTGATCATGAGAGTGAGATGAAGAATTGGAATTTGACCGGCTTGCACTGCCAGATTCACTCGATGTACCATTCATCGTGTTAGAGCCTGCGCGACGGCGGCCTGTAGAACCCGACCGTGAGGAGGCCGAGTTGGGGTGCAGTGATGCAGTGATGGGGGACGGTAAGTCATTGGTGTTCCAGTCAGTGCGAGGAGAAACTGGTGAGGGCAAAGTACCAGGAAGAGAGTTGGTGCCAAGACCCTCATGGGATCTCACCGGAGACACATTATGATAGTGGTATGTAGGCCGGGGATGGGGAATCGTTGTAGTCCTAACAACGTCCGTGTCGATGTGCATGTCCTTCTCAACAGGCAGAACACCGTCCGCGGGTGGTGCGTAGGCTGGAACAGGGCCGGCCAGCTGTCGAGCGAGCTTGCGTCTAGCAACCTCGTAAGCACTCAAGTTCTGTGAGTCATCTGTGCCTGCTTCTGTATCGCCTAGAATGGAGTCGTCATCATCGTGGGCGGCGAGCTCCGCGGGCGGCAGAGGTGCGGGTAACTCGTATATTTCCGAAGCTGGCACCTCAGTGGGTGCACTCGTCTCAGTGGTGGTAGTAGCGCGCCTTGAGCGCTTTCTGCGACCAATTTTGGACAAGATGCGCGAAACCGGAGTCATAGGAGAGTCGGGAGCGATGGTTGAAGACGAGTCCTGCGCCTCCACTTCCTTGGAGGCGGCCTCGCCACGCTTCTTTTGCTTGCGGCGACGTCCCCAAAAACATAGCGCTGCAACAAGTAGAGTGCAGAACGCAACAACACCAACGGCAACTCCAATCATTTGAGGCGTCGTCAGACCGTGATGTCCGTTGGTCGGCGGAGGTCGTGGGTAGGGACTATCGCTCGGTTGCTTGATTGGGGCGAGCCTGATGTCATGGTAGGGGTCCTTCGGAAAAGCAGCTTGGTGCAAGCTGAATACGCCAGAGTCGTATTTCGTGCGAATATATGCCTCTTGCAGGAAAGATCGACCAATGATGGTGTTGTTGCCGCTTGCAGCTTTGCGAAGCATGAAATAGGGCACAGCAGGCTGGCCATACTTGATGGCTTGGTTGGCAAAAGGATATTGAAGCGATCCAACAAAAGACTTGATAGGGAGGGTGATGTTGACGACTCCTGGGGCGCTGAGGGGGAGACCGAAGTTATCGTTGTTGTCAATACTAGCAAGACTGAAAGTGAAGGTATAAGCGTTGGAACTGGAATAGTCCTGATACTGGTCGTTGGTCATTGTGTATAGTTTGAATGTCTCGTTGTATGTAAGATTGAAGGCGGCTGCGAATGATTCGCAGGTACTCTCGGGCAGCCACAGATATGGGGTAGTGCTGTCGACGAGAGCCATGAAGGTATCGTTGTAGGTTGATAAGATGTTTACTGATGAACCCCAACCGTTGGGCTTGAGGCTGTTATCGACGCTGATGCCCCGAACGTTGACACGAGGTGAGTTGTCGGATTGTGTAATGGTGAAGAGCGTATCATGCTCAACCAAGCGGGCGCCGTCGAAACCACCAAGTGTGAGGGACCCGGGCATGTTCTTGTAGCTAGCTCCAGCAGTATAGCCGTAGCTATAGCTGGGGATCCAGCCAAATGTCTTGACGGCTTGCGTAAGCGCCGACTCGCCAATGTTGCCTTTGAAACGGCCTTGCGAGATTCCGAGACCGAAGAGCCCAGTGAAGTAATCGGTTGTGTTGTAGGCGGCAATAAGTACATCGCTCATGCCGAAAGCAATGTTGGTGAAGGGACTCCAGGAGTTGATGTTGTCGAGGCCGTAGGCGCCGTTGCCTCCGTATCCCAGGTACTCAAGGCCAAGAAAGTACTGTCCCCATGAGGTCCATCGTTTTGAATTTGCAGGTGTGTAGATACCACCTCGCGCCGTCGGACAGTGCGGTTCTTCTAGCGAAATGGTCAGTTCATGGTGCCGGCCGACGGTTTGGCAACGGGGTAAACGGCGTTTGTGCGGGAACCAACGTACTACTTTGACAACCACCAGGGCCGACAGCCCATAGTTCTGATAGTGAAGTACTGGGTATAATGTTGACGGGGTCGGACTCGGTTCCTAGGAGAAAAGAGACAGAAGACCAGTTGCCATCAATGCCAAGCCTATGTATTGCCAAGGGTCAGGATCAGGACTCTAGCGAGCAGAGGGTTGGCCCGAAGCCAAAACGTACCAGTCCCCGTGGGGGATAGAGACCGCAGCAGGAGCATAGGCATTGGCGACGCCGGTAGTAGCGGCGACGGATGCTACGGCGGCCATTCGACTTATCCGCATAGCGTCGCTGGGTGTCAAGCGACACGATCAAGGACGAAGTTGCTCTTAGCGAGCAGGCGCGGGAGCCGACTGGGCAGGACGGAAGCAACTTGAAGGGTCAAGAGGCGGACGGTCGTCGGAGTTGCACAGCCGGATGCGCAGGATCCATATGGGGGGGTTGTTCAAGTGGTAGAGCGGGTTGCACGGCAGGTCATGATCGGACGGCTGACAAGAACGCGATGTACTGATTGACGGGGTGTAAACGGTCGGTAGTGCCAAGTTTCGTCGAAAGATGCGCCGAATTAAAAATCGCCAAGAAATCGAGCGAGGAGAATCGAAGGTTGAAGTGTCGAGGATTGAAAAGGGACGACGTGTGGTAGGGAAACAAGGTTGGCGAAGTGAGGAAGAGGATGGATGGGTGGATGGATTGGATGGGACGGAAGAGAGCGAGAGAATGCGCTTTGGTGGGATGGGCTGGGGATGAGGACCACCTGGTACTAGTAACGGTTTAGTGGTGATCAGATGGGGGGCTTTTGGTTCTGGGGCGAGGAGAGAATGAGACCTCAGTGTCTTGTTATGGGGAGAAGAGCCAGACATTTTCCAGCCAGCATGCCCACACCAAGTCGCCAGAGACAACGCCGCTATATGACTTGTAGGTACCGGGTTATCAGCTTCCGCACCAGTTTTGCAGCATTTGCAGCATTTGCAGCTAAAAGGGTACGTCGCTCGGCCACGGGGGGTCAGCCGTCCATGCGCTGAAAACGAGGCCCAGACACCCACTGGAAAATGAAGTACGTGAGCTGCACTGGTAGGGACCTGCCTGACAGGGCAGGGAGGGGTCTCAGCGGGCAATCGCCAGGAATGTCTCCCTCGGCCACCCGCGGCCTGCACCGTTGCCAGACAGACTTTCTTGCGCCAATCGAGAGGTAGTGCAAGTGCTAACAAGTGTTAACTAACCAGCAGAAGAAGTCGTCGTGCTAATCATGAAGCGGTACTTTGGTTTCCCCGCATATTGCCAGCCTAATAGAGGTACTATACAGTAATATACGGAGGTCGATGCGCAGCCAGGTCCAGCCATGGAAGCCCACAAGCCGCGTTCCAGGGAAGCACACCAAGATGTGAGTCTGGGTCGCCGCTTTTACCACACCACATTCGCCCATAAGCTCACCCACCTAGACCATCCCCTCCCCTCCCTTCCATCCCAGTAGCAGCGCGAAAAAAGCAAGACACCCTCATCACCCTGAGTCAAAATCGCCTCTCACATTGTTGCCAATTTCCACGGTCTCACTTCTTCCTCTTGCAAGACCCCCTCGACATTCTCTGTCTGCAAAATCAATCCACGCGTACTGGTAGATTGGGGAGTCTATCCGTATGCCTTGATCGATTAACCAGTCCTTTCCACCAAACAGTTGTGATGGCTCATTCCGCAAGGGTTTTGTTCCATGCATGCATGTTTGACAGCCTACCAGCACAGTTTAGTTACCTGCGAAGGCAGCGGCTGAATCATTCAACCCATCATTTTGTCCTCCCCCACGCGGCCGCCGATCTCTCCGCCATCCTTTCCCTAACCTCTCTCCTCCCTTTCTTCTCCCGCCAGCCGCTTCTGGAAACACAGCCGAGACTCGATCAGAGGCGACGCCGAAAGTCTAAAACGGCGATGCACACACTCTTGCCAAATCCATGATTCCGGGGAACCAACAAGCTAATGGCGCACACCAGATGAAAAAAAAAAGCGATTTGGGAAAAGAAAGACCCATGGTGGCAAGTAAAGGAAACCCCGAGGCATTGGGAAAGTACCCTTCATCAACAGGGGAAAAGCAGCGCATCCACTAGTCCTAGTGCAGACGAAGATGAATCTCCAGCATACCAGCTGGAGGCAAACCGCGTCTATCGACGTGGTGAACGGGCTTGCCCGCCAAAAGTCTGTATCCATCCATACATACGTAGGGCCCCTCTGTGGCTTCTGAAGTGTTCCAAATGGCTACTCTGCCCACTCACATGGAAGCTCTGGTACCTCTGGCGATGCAAAGGTCACTCACTCTATGCAGGTGCGACTCGGGCCGACAACATGGCCTTCCAACGTGTTGAACGGTTTCCTTGTGGCTCCTATCCGGACAGTGGGCTTCCCTTCAAATTCTCAAAGAGCTAATATCTACTTAGATGATTGAACAGGGCACTATCGCACAAGTAGATGGCAGACTGGCTAGCACATGCGGTCTATTAACCTTGTTTCCTGTCCTTCACGCGATTCGCGTATCATCAGCCCTGCATTTCAGTCATTCATGGTTTCCAAACTATTGGGTAGTTACTGAGGGCGGTTCCTTTGCCCAAAGTGGTTCAATGGTCCGCCTGACGTGCAGTCTTATGTACAGTTGCATCAAGGGGGGCATGTGTTGCAATGCCTAATCAGCATCGCATAACCGTCTTTCTGCATCAGCCCGACGACGGCGCTGAAAATGCCAGACTGAGGCGAAAAAGCAACCACGCTTTCCTCGCGACCAGAGTCAAACTCTGGCCAGGCAAGCTGGAAATCGAGGCGAGTTGTTCGGCGTACGCCTGGTGGGCCCCTTCGGCTGCACACCGTCAAAGTGTCTGGAATGCGCGTTTGACCGACCTTTTGCAGATCTTTGATAGCGCGTGTATCAGTCTGACTTTATACTGGACCGGTCGGTAGCCTTCCCCGTTAACAATTAGCGCCTCGGTTCAGTTTTGGCTCGTCAATGGCAGACACGGGTTGCCACGGTGGCCGCTCAATGCTTTCGATGCCAGCTGCCGCGGCTTGGATAGAACAATGAGGTTTTAAATTATCAGGAGAAGTAGGGTCCAATATAAGCTCAATACATTTTAGCTTCCAGAGGCCAATATGTCTTTCGGCGGGAGTTATAGACGGGCCGGTACGGTGACGACGGTGACGGGTGGTGAGCCGACGGTCGCCAATTGGTGACGGTCCATCAAGGCCAGCATTAGATGGCTATGCTTGCATTGTCGAGGCTCTTTTATTATGCAGCACAAAAAGCCTATGCCTTTGCATAAGATGTACGAGATGCATAAGACGCAGGAGTATGCATGCATGTATGCATACGCGGGGGGAGGCAACACTGCTCATCTTCATCCTCATATTCACACATAATACTTGCATTCGCGACATTGTGTCCCGCACAAAGCCGCATCGTGGCATAGCTCTGCGTTGGTACATAGATTACAAGCGCATCGTCTACCCCGGCAAGAAGAGGAGCATGAAACAAGGATCATCACGGTAGCATAACGTTTTGGAAACGATGGAAGATCTCCACTGACGCGTGCATCAGTCAAGCGAGAGAGCGTTGGGACGAGCCAGGGACCCCTTGCCCGCGCCGTTCTGTACGGTCGCAACTCGGCGCAGTACGGAGCAGCTAATCTACATGTACACCTATGGAGGTACGATTACTCAGTACGGATCAGTTGCGTGTGCGTACAACCAAGGAGGGAAGCCGGGTGAGCAGGGACGGAACCAGGCGAAAAGAAGAAGGTCAAAGCCCCCGCGCGGGAGGTCATGCCCCCTCCCCTCCGACCAGCCGTCATGCCAAGTGAGCGGCTGGCTTGAGCCGTACGCTGCGGGCGAGATGGGCTCATCAGTGCGCGAAAAGCATCGTGGTGTACCGATTACTTTTGCACCTACCAGATTGGTACCAGGTGCAGGCGCAGGTGCAGGTATCGAGGTCAATCCATCTCCATCTCCAGACACAATGGCGTAGCGTGCTGCGCGGCCGATGCCATTGCGGTAGGTGGCTTATTGTGCGATGGCAGCCAGTCCGGCTTGTTGTTGGCCAGTGGTGGGTGGTGCGAGCGCGACCAAAGTCACCGAGAAGACTGATGGTTCTTCTGCCTTGTATTTTGCGCCAGCGACCTGGTTAATGACAAGGCCATGCGCAAATGTCTCGGATTCCAATCCATTGGACATGGAGACGATGGCCTGTCAGCCTGCTCTGCCCTGCCCCTTGCTCGCGCGATTGGTGAGTGCGTTCACTGGCAACTCAACTCGGCAATAGTATTGGGCAGTTAATAATGCGAGGGGGAGGCAAGACATTCGAGTGTGCATCATGATGAAATGAGCGTGTGAGACAACAGCAGGCACAGGCCCCACCAGTGCAGCCGCAAATTCCGCGCCGGTCTGGTCAGTCGTAAAAGGAGAGGAGGGTCCTGTGTGTGGTTTTTTCCTTTGCTTTCTTTTTCCTCACCTTCTTTCCAGGCTCGGTTGATGGAGGGAGGGTAGTGTCAGATGCGCTGAATTGCTACCTCGGACCACGCCAGCATTCCAGGCAAGACTGGCGGGCCCCGCCCGAATTGGAGGACGGATAAGCCCGTGATGAAATAACGTTACTGTATGTATCTGTACTTTCCAGAGAGATACTTATTGTTGACTATTACCTCCAGTAATCTATAAAAGCATGTAAAAGAACGCACATGGTTTAGTCGCAGCAGCCATATGATTTTTTTTCCATCACTACCATGAGCAGATGATGAGGCCGGGTCAGCAGGATAGTGCACGTTATTGCGTTTATTCTCTTATTATAATAAGGGGAGATGAGGATGGGGGCCACGATGCTCCCTCCGATCATCAGGCATACATACATATTACCCGTAGGTATTATTCAGCACGTACCGGACAGTATGGACCGCATCAATTCTACTGTATAACGCGCCAGGGAGAACACCAGGTTTCCGGGCCGTGTCCCCCTTGCGCGTGGATGTTTTTACTTTGAGACATCTCGCTTCTTTTTTTTCTAGTTATTTCCTTTTGACAAACTATCTGTACGAATTACAGTATTTTTAATTGTTTTCGCTGTGATACGCGCGATCGTTCAGTGTTGCTACTAGTCACGGGAGATTTTCGCAACAAGACAGTTATATCCTTATCCTTCCATATTACAAAACAGGATTGCCACGTTGGGAAATGTGTAGCGATGCGCGGAAAGAAAAAAGAACATGCGACTGCGCCCCAGTTTAAACATTTTGTGGGAAAAACGAGTTCGAATTGGGCGACACCGCAAGCGCGCCGAGGCTTTGCCCCTGCTGCTTCGGTGAGCCAGGTACTCCGTGCCTAGGTAACTAACACTGATGAAAAAAAAAAAAAAAAAAAAACCGAACGGCCATGATCCGGATGCAGGGGATAGGCGGAGAGAGGCAAGGCTTGCGCGCCGCCACAAAAAGCCGACGCCAGCTAGGCTGACTGGCTGGAGTCGGAGTCACGATGGGGCCTGCTGTTACGAGAAAACATTTCGGGATTCCAGAATCTAATATGTCGGGTTATTTCTGGGGTACGGAACAGTTGTGTAATGAAATGTCAGATCACGGTGCGTGCCGCGTCTGATGACAGCGACGTGACCGGGCCTGGCTTGAAACGGGAAGGGAACCAAGGCGGAAGGAAGGCGATCGGAGAACGGACGATGTTGAATCTGCTTCTCATTTCGGCAGACGGTGGCAGATTTGTTTGCCTGCTGGGGTCTGGCTTATTAGAGTTGCTCGGTAGTTGGCGGCTGTGCTCCGGTGCTTCGTATAACACGGCAGGTAAGCCGATGCGGCACATGGTTGATCGCACAACGGCAGAAGAATAATCTGCGAGGCTGGCTGCGGAGCACCAACCTTTGCATAGCTACTGGGTATAAAACGAGATTGATTTACAAGGAACTCGCCCATCTTGTTCATAGCCAGCTGAGGGATGGCCGGGCGCGGCCGTGAGGCGAGAGGGGAAAGCAGAATCAATCTCCGTACATCCGCCTCGCCTCGTTCATCAACCTATCCAGACGGCTTCTAGTTCAGCCATCGACAACTGATACGATGGGTGGCTATTGGGCCGGTAGAGGAGTCGTCTCCACGGATCATCTGTGGCCTCGTCCCGACTCGACTCGTGGGCCTGCTGGGCTTGGCCAACTGGGCTTGAGGTGGCTTTTCCACTGGGCCCAGTTGCCACTTGCCCTTCTGCTCATGGCGGCTCACCCGCCTTGTCCCAAATAGTCAGGTACGTTGGTCCGCCCCTCCCACTAGCCTCGAACCCAGTTGCCCAGTTGCGCTAGGCGCGGCCTTGTGAGGGCGTAACGTCGTACCGGTACTCGCGGTGATGGCCAAGTATGGCTTGATTTTGACAGGTCGATCATGGAAAATAACCCAATCACAGGAAAACAAGAGTCATGTTTGTTCACGATCATAGGTGCCAGACGAATGAATATTTTGAGACTATTTCATGATCTTCTTCTCTCATCACCGGGCTTCGCAGCAAGTACCTTTCTGCCCTTACATATCCAACTCACCCCCACCAGCGCCACTGAAAGCCACCAAAGCCACCAAGGCCGCTAAAGCCAGGGCTCCAGGGCTGCCCACGAGTAATTACAATGCGCCAGTCCAACGGCAAGTCCTTCCAGTTAGACCGCTAAAAGAACCGGAAAAGTTAGCAGGCCCTTGAAGGCTGAACTCTGGCCCTGTAACCCGGCACCAGTACCTGTGAAGGGCAAAGCATCAAGCCACTAAAGTTCAACCACCAAAAATGCTCGCACAGTCCGACAGACCACTACCTACTGCTACCGCTAGCACCTTCACCACCGCTATTGCGACCGCTAAATTCTAAATGCTCCGCCTGATTGGAACCATCTGAGCCCATCTCGCTCATCTCTCCCCCAGTGCCGTGACCCCCCCCCCCTTCCCCTCTCCAGCCCC